TTATATTACACACGAGTGATATTGTTACATATCTAATCTTGAATTTCAACCAGTTAAGGTATGTAGTGAGATTTATAGGGGTAAAAGTACAACCATAGGCGTAAATTAGTAAAAACAGAATTGATTATAAACTCGGCAAAAACGACGTGGACTCGAAAAATCCAATCCGAGTCCAAAAAATGCCTGGATTCGACTCGAATCCGAGTCCGGATCCGAATCCCGGACAATCCCTACTTGGTTTATAGTCACTTTGGTGCGGCCTAATAGTCATTCGTATAATTAGTCAACCGAAGAGGCTCTGCGAGTTGCGCATACAGCGGTACAGATACACCACTGTGAAGTGACTCACATGCCTTCTTCTATTCCTGTGTAGTGGTGCGATGAATCTCTCGTTTGTGTTCAGTGAAGGGTGGTGGTGTGAAACATGGGCGAGTCCTAAATTCAACACGAGGAAAATTCTCTCGAATTTGGGATATGAACTAAATACATCCCGATAAGCGGTAAATTCTAGTACATTTTACGGTAACTTAGGGATATGAATTTCAAGGAATTTACTGTATTTTCCAAATATGTTACCAAAAAGGTATTCACCCGACTAACAAAATAAGCCCTGAGCAAGTCAGTTTTAGGGATGGGCCGGGATTCGGATCCGGACTCGGATTCGAGTCGAATCCAGGCATTTTTTGGACTCGGATTCGATTTCGAGTCCACGTCGTTTTCACCGAGTCTATAATCAATTCTGTTTTTACTAATTTACGCCTATGTTTGTACTTTTACCCTTATAAATCTCACTACATACCTTAACTAGTTGAAATTCAAGGTTAGATATTTAACAAATATCACTCGTGTGTATTATAAACACTCCTAATAAAAAGGACGACAGATATCCAGATAATATACCGCAAGTTAAAAACTATTGATAGCTTATAACAATGATGCGACAGTCGCCTTCAAACTATCTATCCTTTTTGGTATACATGTAGTACACAATAAAATATGTGTTAGCGTAATATTTTTGAGTTTTCGATTCGCGTAAATAAATATGAAACATGCGCAGGATCAACCCAAGAGGAAATTTCATCAATACCTCTTTTAAATCGAGTTAATTACGTGCAATCCTTTCTCTAAAAAGGGAGCAATGGAAAGCATGGAGCTTTTTAGAACGTTTACATAAACTACTAAATTGCAAGTATTGTATTGACGACGAGTGGCATCTCTCTACCATTTGCGCACGCGACATATTTGAGGCTAGAAATATCTGGAATTATGGGAAATCATTGTAGTCAAAAGCTTTTTATTTTTCATATTGACATGTAAGAATTTCTAAATAGCCGACCAGAATTGACGCAAAGTGGTGGGCTGGAAATCCAATTCACAGCCAAGGCGCATATTGACCCACAGTTACATTTGTATTATGACCACCGAAAAAGAAGAAAAGTATATTTTCAAATTGATTCAACAGCCATCTGCGGAACCATTGGGGAAAAAATATGAGCTACGACGTATGTTTGTGAGCGCGCGATGCTGTAGTATGGTCAAAAACGTGTTTTTCTACTTTAACTTTGTGACGTCACGGACTCGGAGGATTCGATTCGAGTCCGTGACCTATTACTCGGATTCGTCGAATCTCTGTAATGCCGGACTTGTCCCATTCCTAGTCAGTTTATAAGATTCGTAATCAAAGGAGTTTACTCTCAGAGAATATACCATTAATAATGCCAGTGCTATTATAACGTGAGGACCACGTATCCATATACGACATTGAAAATGTTTTAAAACCGGGACAATTACAGGCCTAAGTCCTATACCCAGGGCTGCCATCGATATTAACCCCTATATAAGGACAACAGGGAAACATAATCATAAGATAACAAAGAACGAAATATAATGAACCAAAATGTATTCATGCCAGAGCAACCAGGGTTCAATCATACTTTGCACTAGCAAAGATTTGCTACATGAGTTCATTTAGTCTTAAAAACTATTAGTTCCATCTCACTTCTAAGTTGTATTCTGGTTCGAGATAAACGAACTGATCTTGGCTATTGTGGCAATAATTTGCTGTTGTTGTTGCCATTAATGCGCCTATTTATCGAATGGACCAACCTAAGCGCCCGGAATAAGAACCTCTACCCTTGAAATAAAACAAACATAAGGACACATGTCTAAAGAGGACGTTTGTTACAAATAAGGGCAAAAATATTTTCTGAGACAAAGACATTCAAAATAGAGACAAATCTTTGAAGTAAGGACGTTATGGCAGCCTGACTATAGCTGTACATGGGATTCTATTTCTGCAATTTTGCATTGAATGACGTGTTAGAAGCAATTTAAGAAGTTTTACATGGATTTTATAGTACATCACAATTTTTTTAATCCATGCGGCAACCAAAAATTTGATTGAAATATAAAATAGGTTTTGTTATATCAGAATTTTTCGCCGTCGCAAAGCCAGACATCTGTACATAATTTTATTTCATGTGGTAGGCTGTAATAAAAAGATACAGTAGGTTAGAAATTTTAAAAAACAACAAAAACAAAAAGGGGTTCATAATTTAAGGGAGCTGTATACCATTTTTAGTCAATATATATATGATGAATTTTTGAAATTATGTGCAATTGTGTCAATAATATTGAAGAAGTACCACCCTTAGTCACCCATCATATCCAACCATCCAACGTCAACATCGCACAAAATCCATAATTTCAGCGAGTATGTAAACAAGTTTTTAAAAAAGGTTTCGAAATTGTGATATGTATTTGAATGTGGTGATCGGATTATATGGTCGGAAAAATTAAAAGAGCCAAAACCTATATTATTTGACCAAGCCTTTTCATAATTTCCCGTGTACTCCTTTGTCATCTTTGACTGATAAGAAAGCCCATGCATCAATGACATCGTGTTAACTAAAAATCTATTTCTTGCAACTTCTGAACGGCGAAAAGGTCATTTTATATTAAAAAGGGTATCTTGCGCCCATGCTACTGAAGAAAGAAGTCAACTTATGATACCCAACACCAAACCATGAGATATTTGACCTATCTGATTGCTAATCCCATATCTGATATGAAGACCGTATCCCGCTATGCAGTTTTCTGTATCTGCCTCGAAATAAATATGAATATATACTATCATACAATCCTACAAAATATTCCAAACAACTATTCAAGTATGCCAATATGAGCACAAAAATATCATAAAATGTAGGTCATTAACTATGACAAACAAACCTTTTTTAAAAATTGCATCAACATTTTGTAGCAAGATTACGACGAACGCCTGCAGCCCCATATCGGAAAGATGGACGTCGTCCCCAGCCCAGTTCCCCCAGTATTGACCTAATGCTTCTAAGTTTATAATGCTCTATCTTTTAGTTATTGCCAATCGACAAATAGCATCATTGACTTCTGGAACGCAGTGAGCATGTCGGCCTGGTTGGGGAAGCACCAATGCCCGAACAACCTAAAATAAATAAATAAACTTGATCTATTAATGAAATGGAGATGGTATTTGACGCAGCATTTCAAGTTACAATGTGAATATAATAGCTTGGCTTACAGAGTTTGATAATTTTATTCCCTATTGTTGTGAAAAAGCAGCGAAACTATAAACGAAAAGATGTATCTCCCTTTGTACTCGGATACACGAGCGACACGGCATCCAAAAGTGAGTTCAAGTCTTTCTCGATTCGCTTTCCATACGTTGAACAAGGGCCATCGATATCGTTCGTACTGAGCGCAAAGATTATAATGTCTACCAGGTGGAACATTTTACCCTCCAATATCTCATACATAATTTTAAAATTTTGTACCCATCGACTTAAATTGTATTGTGTAGAGTTTGAGTACTTTTTCAATATCAATCAATAAAATCCCGTGCCACTTGGGCAGAAAGACATGTGAGTAATGTTTGAAAAGTGCATAATTTTACGTTTTTACACCTATGACGATATATGCGAAATAGGCTTTTTTCAGCAATGGATTACGCATAATTTTAAAATCTTGTACCCATCGACTTAAACTGTAATGTGTAGAGTTTGAGTACTTTTTCAATATCAATCAATAAAATCTCGTGCCACTTGGGCGGAAAGAAATGTGAGTAATGTTTGAAAAGTGCATAATTTTACGATTTTTCAACTATGACAATATATTCGAAATAGGCTTTTTTCAGCAATGGATTATGCATAATTTTAAAATTTTGTACCCTTCGACTCCAATTGTATTGTGTGGAGTTTAAGTTTTTTTTTAGTATCAATCAATAAAATCTCGCCCCTCTTGGGCGGAAAGACATGTGAGTAATGTTTGAAAAGTGCATAATTTTACGATTTTCCACCTATGACGATATATGCGAAATAGGCTTTTTCAGCAATGGATTTCGCATCATTTTAAAATTTTGTACCCATCGACTCAAATTGTAATGTGTAGAGTTTGAGAACTTTTTTAATATCAATCAATAAAATCTCGTGCCACTTGAGCGGAAGACATGTGACTAAGGTTTGAAAAGGGTATATATTTTACGAATTTTCACCTATTCCGATATATGCAAAATGGGCTCTTTTCAGCAATAGATTACGCATAATTATAAAATTTTGTTCCCGACGACTAAACTTGTAATGTGTAGAATTTAAGAAGCTTATCAATATCAAATAATAAAATCTCGGGCCACTTGAGCGGAAAGACATGTGACTGAGGTTTGAAAAGTGTATGGTTTGCGATATTTACTTTTAAAGTAATTACTCGTGCTGTATTTTTTTTAGTTTTAAACTCATATTTATAAGTTGTTGTTTTATGATTCGCACTTTACATTTTTCTGGCACGCTTTTATTATTTCAATTCACAGAAATAACGGATATAACTTTATTTTTGCATTTTTATTTTCATTCGCTTTTTTATTGCGTATGGGAATTCAGTCCCGCCTCCGATTCTGACATGATGGTTGAATTTTCGCTTGGTTGCACACAAAGGTCACCGTGAGAGTCACTGCACAGTGGTTTCAGATACCGTCGCTTGGTTTATGAAAACATCTCGTAAGGTTCGTACGAATGGCTAACCTACATTCTGCGCCGCTGTCATTTTGCGTGCTTGGTGCGGGTATTTCGGGGCTTTCAAGTGCATATTGTTTAGCGAAAAATTATCCATCAAGTAGAGTTACTGTAGTGTATGAAGAAGGTACACCTAACACGACGAGGTGAGATAATAACTTTTTGAATTACGTTTTGCAATGTAGACTCTATTTGATTATAGCAATTAATGCCGTCTGCAAGCGGTATTGGTACCGTACCCAGGGCTAATATTAGGGGCGGCTAAGTTTCCATATTTTGTGCCATGGTAAAATTCTAATTCAGTCTTTAAACAGCGGGATGTCCACATCTGTGATATTACAAAAAAAATTCATGAATTTCGAAATTCATCTCACCGAAGCAAAATGTATTAATAATGTATTACTTTACATTTAGGCATTCTGTGATATTACCAAAATTCCGTGAATTTCGAAATTCATCTAACCTCATTAAAATGTATTACTTTACATTTAAGCAATCATGGTTTTGGAATACTCAGTCTCCGTTCTTTGGACGAACTGGACAGTGCCGATACCATCAGGTTTACGAAAGCAACTGCAAGTCATTTTGCAAATATAATAAGTCAATCGCCACAACTCGCTGCTGAAATTGGATTGAGTGCAATGCCAGCGTACCTCACATACGACAGAAAGCAGGGTTCGCCAGAACAAGGTGTGTGTGCGGTAAATATGCTAGTCACCAGTTTTCGAATCCATCAGATATCATAAAATATAAACAATGTGAAAGTTTCATTTTTTTTATATATACCTGCTAGATATATCGCCATTTTCCTATGCAGAGAAAAGTATATATTTGCTGATGCAAAACCTCTCTTTGACCCAAACTTGTATCCAGTGTTTAGATTAAGCGGGTTTACGCAAACCCGTTATTGGTTTAGACTTTAGAGTCTATAGACTAGACGTACGACTCCAAAGAAATAGGCTATGTGCATCGCGACTGGCGTTATTTTTGCGTTTCCGGAGTTATATATATATAAAGCGTCTCCTGTTAACACAGCTCACGCATAGTGACCTAAGTTCATTGAACTATATTCTGCTAGAACAGTGGTTCCCAAACTGTGGGTCGCGACCCCGTGAGGATTTTCCGGGGTCGCCTAATTTCTGTCAAACATGAGCACACATGTGACTAGGATTTGAAAGTTGAAAAGTGAAAGTAGCTTTGGTCGGCACTCGGCAGGTTTCGTAAAAATGCCTAACTTCGGATTTCTCAGCAATAACTCGGCCATTTATTGTCCAAACGGAGCCGAAATTGCTTGGTAAAAATTTCATGTGGTGCTTAACCTTTCCAATGTACCGGTATTAATAAATATAATTGAGTGACAGTGTTACGAGCGCCTATAATATTTTCCTTTCAATAGTTATTTTGATAATGTAACATCCGAATGAGTAGTTGACCCGCTGGTACGCAAATCGGATTTTGCTAGGCTGCTAGAAATTATGTTGGTTTGTTAATTTGAACTAGCGTAGCCGCTTGGTTATGGAATAAACAAAGCAAAGTTGCTGTACTTGGCGATTGGCCCTTAACTAGGTCTTTGACAACAGGGCATAGTATGATCGAAACAGCCGAAAGCGGAAAACGTGTGCTTGACATGATTCTTGGATCTAAAAAGAGTTTCAGGCCAAAAGTGGCTATGTATGATACAGAGAGTTGCTTTCATTTTTTTACATTTCAAAAGGGGGGCGATCACCAAAACAACCCCCTGGCTGCGCCCCCTTTTGACAAGTATGGTATTGTTTGCCAGACGGTGTCTTGGCTGAGTAATTACACATTAGGTTTCGAACAGCTGCGAAAGCGCTTTGTTAATTCGCGCACGTGTCGAAATTCTACGAGTAGTCTACGTGTTTTGTCAACATCGCCTCCACATAAAAGTGAACATTTTGTTTTGGAATATTACGTAGTTAGACGTTTCATACATAATTTCGAGCATCAGTCAAACACAAAACCACAACAAGTTTTAGCATAATAAAGGCACTCAAAAGATGTAATTCCGTACACGTTTTTTCCCATTTTACTCTCATGCTCTGCTTTACTTTCGAATTAATAATAAAGCAATCTGTAATGTGTTAACATTGAACAAAAATAATAAGGACACTGTTGGAATATACTAAATAGGATTTTAAATTTATGCGATCTTGCTATTTTCTAAATATCGTACGCTTCCATTTTCCACATTTTATCAGGTCCGTCTATGTTTCGCCAAAGAACCGTTATAATTCTGAACTAAGGGATTTTTTTACCGTGATTAACATACGATGCCATGTTTCTTCAAATCTTCTGACGTTTCCCTGTTTTTCCCGCGCATTGCCGTATATTTTTTGGGCCAATATTCACCGTCAACGTCCACTTTCAGTCGATATACAGGTACAATTGAAACTGACATACTGATTTTCGAAGTCGCTGAACGTTTTTAGTTGTGGGGTCGCGAGTATCTCTATGCTTTGATTTTATGAAAATTGGGGTAGCCAAAAAAAAAGTTTGGGAACCACTGTGCCAGAAGACTTATGAATTGTGTTGTACTACAGATGTATTTCCCGGTGGACCAACAATGGACACTTTCGCTTATTTCATGGAAATCAGCGAACATGAAAAAAGTTCGCTGAGTATCGACAGCGATGGATTGAAATATATTTTTGAGAGGGATGATATTGAACCTAGTGACCTAGTCGTCTACAAAGCGGGAACTTGGGTTATTGACAATCACTCATATCTTCCGTGGTTGAAAAAAGAACTTGAACTTATGGCCGCCAGGTAAAATAGTTTTTCAATTTGTTGCCTGTTGGTAACCATAATCATACAATGGTGATTTCCATCATATATGAATTTTATATTTATCCCGGCGAAGAGGAAAGAGTTAAGATGGCTCATTAATACAGTATGGCGTCATGGCGAACCTTTCGTCTGGTTAACGCTCCATGTTGGATATCGGAATAGTTGTTCCAGATGCATCTGGAACGAGTTGGCTTGTTTTGGGATAGAGTCCAAAAATCTGATTCTGGACGCAATAAGCATTTGGAAACCCAAAAGTCCTCAAGATTTTATTCGAATTTCTTGAATATTTGTAAAAAGTTATTTGGTGACGTAAACGCAATGTTATACCCAATTTGTCACTCTACATCAGCTTATATTTGGGCACCATGTCATAAATATATGCAATGTACTCTGTTTTTGGTGATGCCCATGAATATATGGTACTCCCGTAGTATGCGTACCAGGTTTGGGCCAGGCCATAATTTTATTCCGATTTTCCTTATTTTAGTTATATTACTACAAGTTCGGGGACTGTCTGTGTTGGCCAAGTAAATATAACCCCTGCTCATGGGCTTCCGTCCCTTAACACCACTTGTTGTAAAGTAGGCGAACAAAATTAATTGCCTCCTTATTGGTTAGTACCAATTGGTTAATACTAATATAATTGTATTTCTTTTTTGATAGAGGAGATATCTCAAGCGTGAACTTCATACAGAGGAGAGTGAGCAATTTTTCCGAATTACTCAAACTTGAAGACTTTCATTTTATTGTCAATTGCTCTGGATTGGGATCCGAATATCTGGTTCCGGATGGGAACATGATTCCAATACGAGGTTTAAAATTTAAAGTGATTTTTTGGTATATTGCATAAATATATTGTAAGTATATGTTAGGTCTAGAAAAAATCTATCTAATTCATCATCAATGCCCTGATTTACTCTTATGTACTATTAAATTAGGTATGAAATATGGCTTATAATATATCTTTGGAATTTGGCATAGGCATCCTAAACCACCTATGGTATGTGATGTCTACTCTGTAGATCTCACATATTACATGAAGACTTTTTTACTCTTTGAATGACTTTAATCACACAAATTGCCTTAATTATTTTTTAAGAACATATCTTATTACCGAATTGTTGGTTTCAGGTCAATACCTGTTGGTGAAACCGAATGCAACCACGGATCTACGGTATGGGGGACATACGTTCATTTGTCCAAAACCTGGCCGAGTTGCTCTTGGATCAGTGTATCAAAAAGGTCGCCGTGAAACCAGCATAAACCATTTTGACAAGGAAGACATCTTACGTCGTTGTTGCGCTTTAAATCCGCAAATTCGAAATTCTGAAATTATTGGAGAGAGCGTTGGAATTCGTCCAGGTCGGTATGGTGGACCGAGGGTAGAATTAGATCGCCAAACACTGCGATCTTCGAGAGGAAATGATTCTGTTCCGATTATACATAATTACGGACATGGTGCCAAAGGTATTTTGCAACATTGGGGCTGTGCTCTCGAGGTTGTCAAGTTGGCTGAGAGTCTCACAAGCATCAAATCGAAGCTATGAAATTGTGCGCAAATCGCAATGTTGCATTGGTGTGTTATTTATTTTAGTAATTTAAATACATATGTGTGATTACTATATTGTTAAGAGCTCTATATTAAAAATAAATTAACTTTAATCAGAAATGCTTTTAAAATTCTTTGTAACAAGAGCGCACTAGCGTAAGCATGTTCGGAAGTTATCAGTGTACTTATTCTTCTGTCTGGTAAATATTGACAGAACACATGAGTGCGTAAATGATAAACTCATTTATACAACTTGCGGTTGTTGCCAACACGTTTGTACCGGTTTCGACGGGATTATCGATTTAAGCGTCACTGTTATGCAATACATGTCGGCATGATCAGGGTTTTTGAGAAGGCTAAACATGCGGAACTGTATGCTGTTTATAGACCTAAATATCCTAATGCCGTTGTTGAAGATATTGCCAAATACGTCAAGATGGAAAAAGGTATCGTACGTGGTGATAAAATAGACTTGATGGTCGACGTCGGATGTGGCACAGGACATTCTACAAATATTTTTCAACCATATGTTCGGAAGATAATAGGCTTTGATCCTAGCAAACGTCAGATCGAGCAAGCGATGAAGCGCAAGTTCCATACTAATATTTCTTACATGGTATCCCAAGCGGAAGCAATGCCCTTACGTAGCGATTCTGTGGACTTAGTTTGCTCCGGTATGTCTGCTCACTGGTTAGACTTTGAACTATTTTATCGCGAGTGTAGAAGAGTGCTTAAACCCACTGGTTGTCTTGCGTTATACGGATACTGCAGACCAGCACTGGCACAAATAGGAAGTGATCCAGATCCACGTGTTACTCCAATATTATCTGAGCTGCACTCCAAATGTGTCTGGCACGAACGTAACAGCCACGTGCACGATCGTTACTGTAAAATATTTGACAAAATCTCCACAGAAAATAAACACCGCATTGATAGCCACAAAATACAACAAAGTATTTGTTTGAAAGATTTTTTGCAATATGTATCAACGTGGTCTGGTTATCAAAAACTTTTGGATCAGAAATCATTGCCAGAATTAGATATTCTAACCGACTTTGCTAATAATTTGAAAAAGCTTTGGGGCATGGAACAATTATCAGATAATCAGGTTAATATACAAGTCACGTGGGAAGTATTTGTAATTCTTGCCGGACGACTGTGATCAACATTTTGGCATTTTGTAATATCTTTAATTTTAATATTTAAGCGATTGAATTGTGTGGTTCATAATGATTAACTATCCGAACAACTACATAATACTTTTTACACAAGCGTGACATGTAGTTCAATGCTGGAGGGCGAAAAGTATATTTTTAGATTTATTTATGTTCTGAAATAACGCAAAACTCGAAAAGGGGATAATAATCAAAAAAATGTTTTTGTTATTGCAGTTTTGGGCTAATTTTGATTATTTTGGCGAGCAGAAATGCCTGCCACACAAAATCCCTAATACATTCGTAAGAAGCTTCTGCACAAACGTATCAACTGCTTTTATATTGTATATACTTATCGTTGAACTGGGATTGGTGTTGTGTCATTTTTACCTTGGGTTTTGGTACACATAATAATTTATTTGTGAGAATTTTCTTGCAGTAAAATACACTTCTTAACGGGGGCAAATAATGGGCTAACAAAATATAATTGCGACTGCTCAACTTTTTACACGATACAAAATTCAATATTTACTTCTTCTTTGAGTATTTACAAGGTGCAGACGTGTACAAAACAAACAAAACACGAAGATTCAGTTCACTGTGCAAATAAGTGCAAGCTTCATTGGCTTGTTTGCGTTTCGCAAGGTTTGTACTTACACGTTTTGCACGCACCAATGCGCTTATCGCATATCATGTTTTATCGTCCAACAAACGTGATAAACCAAGAATTCATTCTATAACAGACATAGGACTGAATATTTAGCTTAGTTCAATTTTGTGGAAAATTTGGCTGGTTTAACACACATTATATGTAAGTATTATCTTGCTGGTTGGCAAAGGTTGGAGTCATATATTATTTCACGTTCAAGTCACTTACTTATAGATAAAATTATGAGTGCAGAGCTGATTTTTGTCGAAGATTTTAAAAAAGAAGCGAAAAAAAAAGTATCACCTTTCGGCTGGGGATACTATTCAGCGGGATCAGTCGGAGAACAAACTGTGCACGAAAACTGCGAGGCATACAAAAGGTAATTTCTCGTTCTATTGACAGATATAACTAACAGTTGTCACAAGAAAAAATAAGGCAGTCTTTCGAGGACAACTCAAACTGAACATCATTTTGGCATACAAAAAACAATAAAAAGCGGAGTCAGCTATGCACATGTTCACGTTATTCGTTTTTAGTGTCCTATGCAGCCTATTATTGTGTGTCTCAGGAAGACTCAATGACGTATATATTAGTATAGATAAAACGTCTTGAGGTGTTTTTTATTTAATTTTAGATGGAGATTTCGGCCTCGACTACTGCGATATGTGTCAGAAGTGGATATATCAACAACAGTTCTTGGTTCAAATATTCCGTTTCCTATTTGCATTGCCCCGACGGCTCATCATGCTATCGCCTGCGCCGAGGGCGAAGTTGAAACGGCTCAAGGTGTTCAAATATGATAGAAATTAATTGATTAATCAACTAGTGTTAATAATGGTCAAATAACTTTATTGCACTAACGGACAATCAAAATTCGCTGATCAAATGCAGAACCATTTTCTCACAGACCGTATAAGTTGCCCTTAAAATGTAAATTTATTTTTTATATTTTTTTCGAATCTCGGGGCTCAGGGGTATTATCAAATAATAAATGACATGTAATACTACCCGCAAAATTAAGTGACTAAATGAAACAATCATTTTTACTTAACATTTATTTCCCCAGAAATTACCTCAAAGTTAGAAAACTGCGCTTGTTTGCCGTCGGCGAAGTTTTTAAATCATGGCGTTTCTACACCTGAGCAAAATAAATGCTGCAAGATTTTTACAATTTCTATTAATCAACACTTAGATACGAAATCTAAAATAAATAATGAAATTTACTAAAAAAAAACATTAGTAACTTTTAGGTTCTTGTTGAGAAAAAGTGGACCCAAGAAAATTTTCCTTAGGTTGGAAAACACTGGCATATAAGACTTGTGATCTTTATGATATACTACAAAACAAATATTTTTCTCACTGATTTCAAGTTATTTTAATATAGTATATCATTTTTATCCCGTTTTTGTTTTAGCTGCTGAATCGCTTGGTACCGGAATGGCATTGAGTATCTATAGTAACCGTACTATGGAAGAAGTGGCTCACCAAGCACCAAACGGCATAAAATGGTGCCATGTTCAAATAGTCCGGGTATTCTTATTTGTTATACGACGATTTCTTATTTCCACTCCAAACAAAAAGGCCCTGTGAAATCTGCCACTGACAAAATCATGCCTGTCCGAGAAACGATAAATTTCGGCAAATAAATACCGCAATTCATTCGAATAATTTGGGCACTCCAATGTGTTCCAATATGGAGGCAACTAATTTTGTTCGCCTACTTTACATCAAGTCGTGTAAAGGGACTAAAACCTATGTGCAGGGGGTATATTCACTTGGCTAACACCAACAGTCCCCGGATTCGTAATAGAACTAAAATAGAGAAAATCGGAATAAAATTATGGCCTAACCCAAACCTGATACACATACTACGGGAGTACCATCTTTTGTATATATATATAGAGAGAGAAGAAATGGCTATGCCCCGATTGAGTCAACCATTTTCGTTTTTTAATTGCAGTGACTCTTGATATTTAGAACCGTGATTTGATAAAACATTACGTGAAAAGGGCGGAAAAAGCGGGTTACAACGGATTCATCGTAACCATTGATCAAGCAGTTTTAGGAAATCGTCATCATAGATATTCAGACGGAACTAGTTTCGCGTTTAAACAATTGCACCCGTAAGTTTTGCACGTTCAAATGTCCAATTTTGATGCAATTGTTCTGTTTTGTCTGTATGGTTGGTCTAATATCCATAAAAATACAAAATCACTAAACAAAGAGCGTCTAAAAAGATGCTCAAAAATCTCCATCATTATACTGTTTTACTTGCAAGCAAGGTTATATAAAAAAGACTTGAGTCTCGATAATTACCGGTTCCTTCAATTAAATACACTGTAATTTCTCGTATTAGTTCTCTTTCAGTGGCCTGTCCTGTAAATTCTAAATGCAAGGTGAGCATTAACTCATGGATATCTTAAAGGTAACATTGATCTAATTTATAAGTTGATTTCTGCCTTCTTGACTTTTTTCACAGAAGCACAAACCTATTGGAATCAACGAAACATTTTATGCCACATATGAATGAAATAAGAGCATTTCTTCATTTAACTGATGGGACCACTGAATGGGACAGCCTTGACTGGTTGAGATCAATTACTAAATTACCAATAGCAGTGAAAGGAATTTTGACAAGTAAGAAAAGAGTGAAGCGTTATTATAGATTGTTTATGTGTATAAATTTCACAATTAAAATGATTGAAACTGCGTAAATGAAACATGCGCATGCTCCTTGATTGGCTCAATAATATGACTAGCGTATCAAATAGCTGACAACATATTCTTTTCAGAATACAAAAACAAATATGGTTATCAAACAAAAAATGTTGTTCTCGTAATCTTAGTAAAGTATATTGCCTTGTTTTGTTTCAATATACACTAATGTAACTGCCATTGTTCCCGACACGAAGCAGCGAATCGAACTGCAGAATTTTTACAATCGACGCATCCTCAATTATGAATATATATAATTTTTTAGGTGAAATGGCTTTGAAGGCTGTTGAGCATAAGGTTGACGGAATAATCGTGTCAAACCACGGCGGAAGACAACTGGATGGCACTTTCGCTTCTGTAAGTTTGATTCAAACACCCACTAAGATAAATACCTCTTACTATCCCACACGCCTAAAAGTACTATTGAAAACAGTACGACATGGTATTCTCTACACTTTGCCCCAACACAGCTGTCGTCGTGGTTACTTAGATTGTTGCTGAACGGAGTCGTTTTCTTGTCGACTATTTTTGTTATTATTTTTCTGTTGGAATTTCTTATGGTTGTTGCTGCTCGATAACCAAATTTGGTTTCCTCGCTGCTCGCCTCACCCTGAAATGATTTTTCATTATTCATTATTAAATCTGTATACCAAGTGTGCTTTTAGTACGTTGAAAAAATAAACTACTGATTACTTTCAGATCGACTCCCTTCCCGAAGTTGTGAAAGCAGTGAATGGACGATGCGATGTTTACTTTGATGGAGGAATACGTAAAGGAACTGATATTGCAAAAGCAATCGCTCTTGGGGCAAAAGCGGTTTTCGTAGGAAGACCCATACTCTGGGGTCTTATTTGTGGGGTATGTTCTTTAGGTTTGTTTCTTTTGCAAGAAAACCCTGTACCAACTTTGCTACGATAACTCTTTCAAGGATTGCTCCAATCATTTGAATACAGTTTTATATTCATCCTAACCTAGAACATATCATAAAATTTAATTCATCCCATTAATTCCCCAAGTGGTGCAGTACAAACCAGTTGTCCGCTGACAAGGTTTTTATAGGGAAGGTTGAGCTCATTCTATCTTCTAGTGGTCCAGGTCTGTAGATTGCTTTGATATTTGATTTCTTAACACAAAACTGAGCTGTTTGAGTTTTTAAATAATAGGTGTATCATCAACATCAGGCATACTCGACTTTCAGCGTCGTACAGACATTCATGAATCGATTCGCCATAGTGTCGTTTTAACTCTGTTACTTGTGTCTATATGCCGAAAAAGTTTCCTAAATATCTTCTATCATTCGCAGGGAAAGGAAGGAGCACAAAGGGTGTTGGAAATATTGCGTGACGAATTGGTAACCACAATGCAGCTTTTAGGTAAGACTATCTTTCTAAATAAAGAAAATAAACAAAAACCTCCGTGGCACTCTCGGGCGTATAAAATTATACCCATGTCAGTGGGACGGCGATTATAGCTAAATTTATAATTTCACGAGTAATAGAATTTACATTTTTATCCCCGGAGGGAGGAAAGCCGAGAAAACGACTTATGCATATTGTTTTCATGGACTGTCGTCCGTTTAAAAGTACATGTCGGATATGGGTTTACGTAGATAGTTATTTGTTTCGGATTCACGGACTTAATGGTGGAGGAAGTTGTGAGCGACCTGTATGAATACATTTGTTTACTGATGATAAATACTGTATCGAGTTCATTGATATTTTCACAGGTGTAAAGTCTTTGGATGAACTGCAAACAACGCCCGACCTGGTGGTGCACGAATCATATTTATTTTCAAAATTATAATAAAATGTCAAAACTCACTATCTCTAATTATATATTCCTAATAGAAAATGTAAAATAAGAGTGAATGCAATTATTAATAATAAGAAGAGAGCAACGCCCAAATATATGGACACGTTAACCAGAGCGAAGCAATCCTTACCTTTGACACCACCGGTACCCTCAAAAAATTTCCGAGTTTTGCGTAGCAAGAATTTATAGAATCAAACCGGACAGCCAGTGTACAGCGAAATTTTGGACGAAATATCAGATTTCATACGAAATTCAGAAATAAATAAAAGTGATAGCCTTCTGGCAAAGAAATCAGTCTTTTACCACTAAGAATTTCAAAGCAATTGGTCTAGTATTCGAAGAGAAAAGCGATTTTTTAATGAAAATCTTGACGAATAACAAGAACAACAACATAATATTGAAACGATCGTTATGCCCACTGACGTGTCCAATTAGGCTGTTTAGCATCTGAGGAGGTTGGAATCTAGGTTAGCCCGATATTCACCATAACCTAATTTTATTTACCGTTGTTTCTGCATGTCAGAACTTGGACAGTTTTTAATTAATGTCTAAACCTTTTTTAATTTCGTTTGCAATTTCATGTTTTTTTATTATATATTTTTGCTCCTGTAGTGAAGCTTTCCGTTTTGCAATATACAATCCAATACTCAAGAATTGCAACATGATGATGATAAAAGAAGAATACCACCATTCGAGTTGTAAACGAAACTTCGACAGTGCAACTTCCCTGTTTTGGCGTAAAATGCACACTGTTTTCATTTATAGTCAGTAAAGTTTTTTTTAAAAAAAATACCAATTACATATTTTTGTTGCTATAGAGAGAGAGAGAGAGGGAGATTTATTGATTTGTTAACCAATACAAATATACCGGTAAATATGAATGCATACATATAAATAAACGCTGTTATTGGTAGAGACTGGAGGGAGCAATACGACCATACTGTCATCCAAGTCGGCTCCCGACAAATTCACTGTTATGCATAATGATTTGTTGTTATAATTTGTGTAATGCATGATTTATTTCAGGTTTTAGGATTCGTTATATTTGATGTATATATATATATCGCTCGTGGTGTCTATTTCAAAATCGGATTGCTGTTATTCCAGTATACTGTCTATCCATGCAAATAGTAAAAACTAACAAATGCCATATTAAATTTAACTTTTTTTCCGAATGTCATATGCAGTTTCTGTGCTATCCTAACAATTGTTGCGTTTATATCACAGCAGTGGTCTATCAAACTCTTTCGTTCTTTAAAGCGCATTCGATCTCATTCGACTAACTCAAAAATCAATTAATTTTTGAAATTTTTTTAAAGAGTATCGTGTGGGAAAGTTCAGTCTGTATTAGCATTTTCTAGTTGAGATTTTATAGTGAGTAGAATAAAGTTGATAGCAAAAGGGTAAACAAACTTTCTCGCTAAGACATTGATTTGATACTTTAATTTCTTCATTTTCGTGTACTTCATTTTCGTGTTTGCTATAAAAATTCAAATAGGTAAATAGGGCCTCATTTTAATAATGAAATATTGACCTGAAATTTCCAATGGAGAGTAGGAACATAAGAAGTTATTTGATTTAATGGTAGTGTGAGACGAGTTTACTTACGTGTCACTATCTTTCAATTTTGATTCTATATTTGCGTTTCGAAATATGCATTGAATTGTATACTAAAATTGTATCAACTTTGGCAAATGAGGCTGACAGACACTTGCCGCATGCACTGCAGTACCCGTATGGCCACCTTACTTCCTTAGCTGAACACCAAGTTTGCTGAAACATCAGCGGACAATCGTGACGGAGGCGGCCGAACGCGACAGAAAATTGATCCCGTGAATTGAAATGAAACTTCTGTTTCCCTAGGGCAGAGAGAAAATTTCTGAAATAAAATAAATTGCTATTACTTCTATTAGTTACTCCTTAATTTTCTAAGAATCCTATGAGATCTGATATTGCATCCAAAATTTCGCTGTATTATATTTTTTAATTCGTGGGAACACGGATTTTACTCCGCAATGCGTGACGGCCGTCTCCCGTTTTGATTTATCGAACTCGTTGTACGCGAAAGTTGGAAGTTTTTGAATACCGGTGACGCGCTGTAGTCTAGGTACTGTGAAAGGTATAAACACTGTAGACGCACGAATCATCAGCTAGGGCAGTCCGGATATTGTATCGGCTTTTGTGTCCATTTATTTCAGTATTGCTCTCTTAGCGTATTCTCTCATTGCTGTTCCTAGCGTATTGGTTTTGAATCCCATCTCCGGATATGGCCGATCTTTTTATATGGTGATGAAAAATTGGATCGAGATCAATTTTATATCGTGTTCCCTACGATATTACTTCAAGGTAATTATAAAAGTACATAGTATTGACTCCGGTACCTGTAACTATCGGCGTAGTTAATCAGTAATCAAATCACGACTATCTTCGTAGCTCTCGTTGCGATAATATTTTTGTAATATTATACTGTGTTGATTTCAAAATGCCAGTGAGGTTTATGAATCTTCAGTTTTACTCAGCGGCTGGATCTTATACAAGCTGTACAAGGCCAGAAACACTCAAAGAATATTCCGAACGTTTTTAAGGTAAATATGGGATTGGTATGAGACATGAAGAAAATATGAGGACACGCAGTCGCAGAGAGAGAATGATGTATCGTTTTAATTTAGGTTATAACATTTGTGGCATCGACAAGTTGATCGGGAAGAACAGAGAATGTATCTTAATTGTCATCATCGAGCAATTAAATGCACACAGTAACATCCAACATTTTTTTGTAATTTTAATCAGTCCCTGGAAGTATAAAGGCTGTAGAATCAACGGTTGATATGTATATAAATCACACAGAAAGCTATTCAGCTATAATAGGTATTACACACGCTGCGACATAAAGTGTGATAGTTCATCAAATCTAATCCTAGTGTTATTTATTTTTGAGCTGAACAAATATTAAAGAATAATGATATTTGATATAATGTTTATTCGCTACACTAAATGTATGTGTATTCGTATACGCTCTACCCAACATAATTTAATCTACTGCATTCGATCAAGCGATTTTAATATAGCTGATGTTGAGGTTTCGACTGATAGTCTTATACTGTCTGAGGGGAATAATCATATGTGAAAATATGCAGCTCAGGCCAGAGTAAAAGTGTGTGAATATAACAATATAACTTCATTAACTTGTACAACTATAAAACTAAATTTAGTTTGAATCTTGTTTTGTCAGCAGGGACACATATGTAAAAATTAAACTGAAAATGTAAAATTAATGAGTTCCTGAGTCAAAGGTTTGTCTTACAATTGAGTATAACAGTACACGAAATAAGGTTTAAAAACATTTGTCTCGCGCGGGAATGAAAGAAAACGACAAACACGAAAAGAAAACTAAATCATCTGAAGAGGTAAATTAAAATTTATTCACATGTGGTGTGGGCTTTTTCAATATTTCAATCTGCTGCTTCTCATCAATCAATGTATGGCAGTGGTTTTCAAGTTTTTTCAATTCGCAGAGCATTGGCAAAGGGCATTTTTAGACTTTTCGGGGAAAAGATTGAGAATGAGATTTGGCACAAAAAGGAAATAGCGAAACAAATAGCTTGTCGACTTAAGTTGGAAAAAGACCTAACAAATTCTAATCTAAGACCTAAGCACAATTGAGAGTTTTAAAATTAGGCCACAAAACACTGAAATACCCCCGGGAATTATATAAGACAGGTGCTGTGAGCTTTTAGTATTACTAATCACAGTCTAACAGTCCATAGCAGTGATTCTCAAATCGTGGGCGTAGATAAATATTTGAGGGAGCGTGAAGCTAATTGAAAATAAATATTGTTATTGTTGGATTTGATCTTGCCCGCTTCATTTTGAATATTTACATTTCTATATTTTTCGAAATTGCGATTCTATCTACGTGTTTTCAACGTGTTTTTCGAATAAAAATACTTTCGCCTTACCATCTGTTATTTGTAGCTTATTGCTAGTTAGGTATTGTTAAAATGGGGCGCAAGACTTGACAAGCTCTAAAAAGTTTGCGCGGCCTAAATAGTTCGAAAACCACTGGTCTAATGTGATATCTGGTTTCACCTCGGTGTGCACAAGCCGATTGAGGAAAGACGAACACGTATTTCTTCTTCAATGGTTCTCAGTTGTCCGCGTTTTTGGATTAAATGTAATAAATGAAAACCTCAACCGAACTTGTGTATGAAAAATATAGCGTTGACCCATTCATTGATTGATTCCATAGTCGATTACTGTGTGCCATATCATGCATATAATATGGTACCGTATAGTAGTCATAGCCATATTCTAGAATATTAGTTTCTTCAACAATTCTATAGTACTAGTGTACTACCATTGGTATATTGGCACTTTTTCATGTTTACTGTGGTAAGTTCATTTGGTCTGAGGAACATGTGATCTGTGTAGCACATGTCTTCAACACATATATATATGTATATATACATATGATTTTCTTGTATTGGTTTTTCTGTTTCTCCCATCCAAATTTTTCAGTCAATTGCATATCAAAATATATAGTATAAAAATGCATATAAATGACAATATATTATGTATTTTTATAGACGACACCAGAAAAATACGAAATGGAAGATTCAGAAAAACCAGTTCAAGAAGAAAACGAAAAACATACCAGAAATCAGGTGAGTAACATTATATTAATATGATTGCAATCTTGTTCATATAATTCATCATTAAAATACAATCGTTTATTTATTTTTTAGTCCACTTAAAATATACATTGTACATGCAGCATACAAAAGTTAAATATCATAGCGACAAGAAAAAAATATCGAGCGACAGTGCGACAGTGAAGATTGATTATTTTATCTCTGCAAATGCAGAATAAATGTCAACCAGGAATGATTGCGAATAATTACGGTGCATTTCATAATAGCTGTGCTTGAATATGTTCGCACTGAATTCGATTTATTATTGAGACTTACTTTTATATATACATAAGGAATATACAAACTACAAACCTTATCAAGAAAAATTGAACTCGCGTTAATGTTATTCTTCCACGTTTGCAGAACTTCGATCGTCTGTACTCACAAGTAGGATCAGAGGTGAGTATTTTCATTTTTTCGAAATACGTTATGACATTTATTACTTTGAGGTGTGCGAATGTTTTCAGTCATGTAATTTAATAAAAAAAAATGGGGAGAGTATTGGCAGAGCTTATTTATTTATTTATTTAGGAAATCTTCTACTCTGACGCCGATGATTTTGCATACAATTTAGCCGTGCAATTTACCACTAACGATGAGGAGGAGCGGTTACAATATCTGAGTCGTCTTGAAACTTGGAAAAATAAGAAACAGTGCTATGGAAATGTTCGACGTTGGTTTATCATGTCCTTGGGAGGGTGTTTTGGTGCTTTAAGAGGGAGATATAATTTGAACGCGGAAATGAAGTTAATACGCGATGTTCTGAGTGGAGTGATAACGGAAGCAGCCGCAAAATCCGCGTCAAAAAATGCTATCAAAGCGATTGCTCCTGAAGTTTCTGCTACCACAGTCCGAGAAACTGTGAAATCTGCGGCTTTGAGTGCAAGTAAAGCAGCCGTCAAAAAATCATTGAAATTTACAAAAACGTTCCAATTTGGATACTACTTTGCGTATTTCGTAGCTGGATGTGGACTTTCTGCAGCTGCTGTAAAAGGATACACGGTGTGGAAACGTCGTCATTCCAAAGATATACCAAGGAAACTTGATTAAACTCGACGAAGATTGACTATTCGATTACTAACGTTTCAGGGCTCAATCAACAATTATTGTGTCTAGTATGAAAATTTATGGCGCTTTCAACAGTTTTCAAGTCTTCAGTTATTTGATCTTCTAGGCAAATTTTTTTGTCAAAAAAGTGATACTAAAATTGATTGTATTTTTGATTTAACATTGAATCTCTTACGAATCAAAATGAAGATATTTTCACTTTGACGTAAATTATCATTTCCGATGAATATTCAAAAAGAAAACAAATCTAGCCGTTCTTGATAATGACGTTGCAATCCAAATATGATTATGAAGTGGGATTCAATGAAAAGTCCGAACCCTAAATTGACCATCCAAACTTCGTTGCTGAGACTTTATTATTGTAATAAGGGATCTAATATAAGTGTCTCTCCTTGCTCACAATTTAATTTTTTAGTATGACCATCATTCCGAACATTGGCTAAATAAAATATGAAAAATAGTTATTTACAAAACACAAAGTCCAAATGTTACTGCAGCGGGTAACAGCAGTGTATTAAGTTGGTTGACAGGCGTTATTATATGACGTCATAATTCTAGAATGGATCTCACTTCCTGTCTTCTGCTTTCAGCACGAGTTTAGTGCATTAGTGTTGTCTTGTTGTATAGTCCGGGTTTGGCTAAATAAGATTATTTTAGTGCCTAATTTGTTGTTCTGAATTATTATGCAGAAATATAAGGTTAGGATATGCCAGGGGTGGGCAAACCGCGGCTCGCCAGACTTTTTGTGCGGCTCTTCTCGCTAACATAAATTATTATCCAAATTTCAACTAAGAGAAAAACTTCAATGTAAACTCTGTTAATTTATTAAAAGTCGTAAAGAAGTTTTCGTCAATGATTAGGACAAATTATGTTTCAGTATGAAAATTGCTGTAGCGTTGAATTTTGAATTTAAGTCAGTCAAGTCAGCAAATCTTTCGTCACAATGGTCAATGTTTATTGATGCGTCGTCGGTATTGCAGCTTGATTGCGGTTAGTTAGTCTAACTAAGTTACTGTGCGATATGTCCTCAATTAAAAACGAAAGTACGAAGATGAAAACAGAGTTGTAAGTCAGAATGGGAAGAACGTACGAATTTACCAGTCAGAGGAATAAACTTTTGTGCTTAATCTGCCATAAGCTACTAAGTCAGAATAAAGTCAGCAATGTTAAACGGCTCCATCAAACGAATCATGAAAACTTCTTGCGAAACTACCCTCCTAAATCAGCTATAAGGAAACACAAATTCAATGAACTTAAATTGTGCATATATTTGAGTATAGCTGCCTTGTTTATCTATTTATTGTTATTAGACTCTTGTGTGAATTTCTTTTCTGTTCATGGTATTTTGATAATATTAATAAATTCACAAATTCTGCGGCTCTTTTAAAGTTCTGACTAACAGCATGCGGCTCTTATACTGAAAAATTGTGCCCACCCCTGGGATATGTACTGATATTAAGCTCAGTTGTATATTATTCCAATAAAAATGTAATTGTGATGTTTATATTTGAAGTTTCTTTTACTGTAATCGTGTAATAATATGGCAAAGAAGCACTGAATTCAATATCAGTTACCGCAGTTTCGAAAGTATGGTTACCACTTCAATTGGAAGATAATAGTTTACATATCGTTATGTTTTTATTAATTACCTGGACTTGTCCTGCGTATATTTGTTATTTCGGGCATATTAGATTTCTTCATGTTATTAAAAGTTTCGAAACACGAATGCTAACTGCATCAGATTGCGACACAGTATCATATCAGTATAACAGCATTCAAATGAAAGAGAGTGTTACATGCCTGTAGCAACACTCATTGAAAAGAACGCGCTTTCTAAAGCCCCAGAACAAAGAGAGCGGCATGCGGAAAAAATTCTCAAATTTCAAAACAGATATTAGTCCGCACATTCCACTGTGAAGCGCCTATATAATCGTAAGAATATCGCAAGACCGGCAGAACTATTTAAAACAAACATTAAGAAGGAGAAATGTCAGGACCGTGTTTCTCAAATAGGGCAATATCGTCCAAAGGGGCGAAGAACCAGTAGAGGGCGATGACGCACTCTCGAAATAATATGAATTATCGCAAAATTTGTTTCGAGTGAAAGGATATAAAATAATGCAATAATAACGAATCCAAAATGATTTTAATAAAGATGGGTATATCTTGGAAAACTGGCAAATAACCACTCATATGAAGTGTAACTGCATCATGGATTATTCCCGTGTCCGATATTCATGTACTACTTGTTTAATTGATTTGCAATGAATTTGTTAGCGATTTTACGATTTTTTTTGTATTGCCCAGGGGCAATTTTTTACATTGAAATAGACACAATATAGTCAGCAAGCAGTCAATTTAAACTGATAAGCGCGATAAAACAGCTAAGTGCTGCTATCGGGTGACGTAATATTCCTGTTGTCTTGAACTATATATATTAAATACATAATCCGGACACAAAACACAAATTGCGCCATAAAAATGACGAGCCTGGTTTAGCTATTAATGATCTACAGGGGTTACTATTTATTTTTCTCAAGTACTGTACTTAGGAATTATGAGGGACTGTGTTCCAATGAATATTTCGCTTGTTGTGAACATATTCCCCACATTTTAGGACACTGGAAGTTAATCTTAAGCCATAACTGTATAATTGCGGTGTCTTGTCCATTAGCAAGACCAACAAGTCAAGTCTATTTCGTTAGGTAGCAGCAGTTACCCGATGCTATTCAATGCGAAGGTGATAATGGAAACTTCGAGGTGTGAGCCAGGGTGTAATCAAAGAAAATGTTGTTTATGATGAGTTTTTTGAATTATTTACGGTTGTTTCATGATTTCTTCTCGGCTAAGGCTCTGTACAAAATGGTGTTTTAGGCGTAGAAGATACTTTTTTTTTACCAAAATCGTTCTGGTTCGACGTATTCCACCCTACGTCTTTTATTTCTTCACTTCGGGTAAAAACTGGCAGACTAGCGTTTATTCCAAGTTCTGTAAGCTGCAATGCCAAAAATATTGACCACCAAGCCAAAGTTGTAAAATTAAAATTGTGAAAATAAAAATTATTTTTTTATATTACAATCTAGTCTAGACCGATTTTACATGTTTTACTATGAGTCAAGAGCAACAAAGTAATTCATGGCAACTACATTCATCAGGAATGGTTTAATAATATTGATATCGTTTTCATTTTGCGGAATAATATATTATCTGTATGAAACTTCAGTCAGGGAAAGGTATCGTACATATTGTATGGAATCAATGCATAATAAAAGCTATTCACAAATGATTTTTTAGAAGAGCTTCTGTATAAAAATGAGTACAACAAATTTATTGAAGTTGAATACTAAACTTTAAATACAATATTCATGTATCAGGAATTATACGGGTGTACTAAATTTTTAAATCTAAATGCTGATCTGTTCCAACCATTGTATCCGATATTCCAACTTCAAAAATATATATTTAAAACAATTACTTAGACTCAGTCGTGTTGTTTGGATGTCTTATTAATACCAGCAAAATCCTATCGCAGTTAATTTACTTGAAAATTTTTACTCCAGAGGACGAAAACCAAATTTCGGTAACTATGTGTTGAATAGCAGTATCGATCTAAACAAAGTTGGGAACGAAAATACATCGATCAGCTCTTCCACTGAGCTACTATCACTCATCCTATGACGTCATTCAAGCAATTTGGTTTGGAAGAAATAAGTTTGTTAAAGCGAATGGATACACAACGGCCGTTGTTTAACATTTTAATGGAACCTTGGAAAATGTTGTGTACAAATAATACCAAAAATCTAACAGGTCACATTTTCAGCCTATTATATTTTAAACAAGTAAAATAAATAACGAAACAATTAGTATGAGTATAGCAAATTTCCTATTGTGTTTTGCAGATTCCAGATGGTCAATGATAGTTGCAGTCAAGACAGGATACGATAGAATTGTACAAAGAGATCGTATCAGAAAAACATGGCCTTCCAACACATTCCTCAACGGAGTTTGTTTATATGTTATTTTTGTTGTTGCAAATACAACAACTGCAGAAGAGAACTTTAACTTGAGAAAAGAAGAATCGGTGCATGGCGATATTTTACAGGTTGAATTGGAAGAAACTTATCGGTAAATTTTCAATTTTCACATAACCATACCAGACCTTCCACAGTCCTACTGGACGCGAAGTGGAACTATGGGTCGTTCTGTTATAATGTTGTTGTTGGTATTCTTCTTGTGTTTGTTATTGTGAAAAACTTACCTTTCTCATTAGCTACCAGACCAATTGCTTTGAAATCAGTGGTTTAAAATTGTTATTGTCGATAGAAGGTTATTACGCTTATTGGGCACGAAATATACATATGGATTGTTTTGTTATTATGTTGTGCTTCGTGATGATCTTTTTATCGTTATGAGAAAATTTCTCTTTATCTACTGGACCAATTGCTTTAAAAATTCTCATTAGTAAAGATTGTATGTTTTGCTATCAGGCTTTTGCTTTTATGTGTTTCAAATATTTTTTTTGTGTGTGCCATGACGTCATCAGAATTGCGCAGTTTGTGGCAGATTAAACATTAAAACAAGGATGGAACATAATGTTTCCACGGACTAATGATGATTATGCTTTATTCCATATCCTTTCTTTCCAAGTATAATATTTTTACAGAAACATTGGATTAAAAGCGCTTGCTTCGATGCAATGGACAGCGGATAACTTCCCAAGTAACTGGATATATTCATCTGCAGATGATGATATGTTACCAGATTTTCATCGTTTATATGAAAATATTGAAAAATTAATGTCTGAAGAAAAGAGTTTTACGAAAAATTCTAGCAATCTGTTTCGTATAATCAGTCAAACACAGAAAATTTACCAATATTTTGCGCATTTACCTACAACTCTGTCGCAAAACCAAAACGATTTGAAAATAAATGGCAGATCAGCGTGGAAGACTATCCGTATGACTATTATCCACCGTATTGTTCTGGCGGATTTTATTCAATGTCAGTGAAACAAGCCAGCGCAATTTACTCTGTTTCAAGATGGTATCCCTATTTTCATTTAGATGATGTTTGGATAACAGGATTTATGAGACTTCGTTTGTGTGATTTAATGACGGATCGGGAATTCGCATTCAATAGGACAGATATCAACTGTGGGATTTCTGCTATGGCCGGAGGCATAGTGAAGCACGGCGTTCAACTGATTTAGATTTTCAATATCTTCACTGTTCGGCGCACAACATTGTTAAAAGATGAAGAACTTATTTGTGACTTGGATTAGATTGCGCTGAGAACTTTGTGTTGAAATTTTAACATTTGAAAAAAAAAACTTAACAAATGCTTGGTTCCATTTTCTGAGATTCAGCAGTCAGGCGATCAATTTTTACAGTAATTATAATTCCATTCCCATGGTAAATTCTACCAAAAGACGAAGATCAAGACATAGGTGCGCCCAGGATAACCTCCGAACAAATAGAACGGCGTGCCAAACAATGTATACATGTCAGATTATGGCTAGGCATGAACAGCCATGAACGTTGGTCATTTAAAATATGTTTGGGACTCAAGTGTGCTAGAAAAGATGGACATCACAAATGTAAATCATCACGTATGTATATGGTGACCGTACATTTGAACCCATGTGTATATCCGCGGGTTCAATCTATATGCGGGTGCTAAAAGACATGGGTTAGGGTTAGTATATATGGGTTCAAATATCGGCAAAACAAAAATTTTTCCATAGGTGCAAGAGTATGCAGGTGCAATAGTCGTGGGTTCAAATGTACGGGAACCATATATATGAATTATTAGATACCATGGGACCGATGCTCAAATATATAGACACGAAAGTCAAATCAAAAAAGTGCGGGTATGCAATCTGTCACCCTATACTACCGGTGCCACAGTCTCCACGACTTCCCTGACCGCGGAACCTCCGCAAGGCACCTAATTTTCAATCATAATAACGTCATCGCACACGAAAAACGAACCCCACAGATCCCACAGAAATTTTTGAAATAAATAAAAGCAATTAGTCTTCTAACGAAAATTACGCTCTTTAACCACTGAGAATTTCAAAGCAATTTGTCCGGTAGTTTACAAGAAAAAGAAGAAAGAATGACTAACAAGAAAAACAACAACACATAGTAACAAAATGATACATGGGCCTACCTACCGATAGTACAGCTACAGCGGTTCCCAAACTATGGGTCGCGACCCACTGGTGGGTCGCAAAAGAAATCTTAGTGGGTCGTGAAAAGAAAGCTTTGATTAATTATACTGGTTATTAGGATAGGTGGCGACTCGAATACGTAAATCTTCAAAAAAAACAAATTAAATTTAAATTCTAATCTCTCAAAGTTTCCTTTTTACGATCTTCTCAAAGGAACAACAATTTGCAACACAAAGAATGACCATGTGGCTTTTTTACGCATAGCAGTTTTGTACACTGTACAGCACTTCTTACTAGAGCTAAGATCTGAAGCCCCAGCCCGACCCGACGTTTCGGGTCGGGTCGGGCCTGAAATGCCAATCATTACGTTCGCGTTGGGTCGGGTCGGGCTTCTCTATCGCTGACTTTTTTTGAAATAAATATATGTTAAAAAATTTTTTTTGTGTGGATACTAAACAAAAGAATACTTGTTATAAAAGAAATGATTTGAATAAAACAGAGAAGAAGCTGTAATGGACCTTTTCCCGACCATTGAATCCCGAACAATTCTTCCTATACTTTACCATACCCGGCTCGGGTCGAGTCGGGCCTGCAAATCCAGTTAATTAATCGGGCTCTGGTCGGGTTTAATACCCACGGGCCCGTGTCGGGTCGGGCTGAAATTTTTGGGCCCGATCTTACCTCTACTTCTTACCGTGTTCCCCCGGAATTTAGACAGGATTTAGATTTTTTTTTCTTGAAGAATAACAATATGGTTTTTTTGGAAGAGGTCTTTTGAGTTCATTTATCAAAAATAAAATTACATTGTAGAAAATAACGAGATTTTTTAAAACATTATATAAAAACCGACACTCATTGTTTTTATTTGTATTTCCTATACAAAAATCAAATGACAAATATCATAGTTATAATTGTGACATCACACAATCTTGAATAGCGGTGTGATCTTCACCTTACCTCAGGTCATCGAATTTTTCCTCTTCCACACATTTTAAACTTATTTTAAGGGTAGGGTTTAATTAAAATCATTTTTAAAATTCAAACTATGTCTTATTTTCAGGCCATGTCTTATTTTCGAGGGAACACGGTAGTTTTACGATGATTAGCCATTGCTGTGTTCTGTGTTATGTCCTAAAAAGTTAAATGGGTCGCCATGAGCTGTGGTATAGTAAATAGTGGGTCGCAACTCTAAAAAGTTTGGGAACCACTGCGGTAGTACATTCCGTGTTCAATACTAATGGATCAGTCCGCCTTTCCCAGTATGAAGATACTGCGCCCATATGATTGTACAAATATCGCTAGCAGCCTACTGGCATAGTTATTGAGAACAGATATTGCGCGAAACGTTGTAGGCCTACCTAGAACACAACAAGTGTCCCTAAATAAATCGATGGACATTTCTTAAACACGGCTATAAAGAAGTTATTGTAGTTCTGAATGTGAAAGACCAAGTCATAACTCGAACTTTAAATTGTCGGATTTTCAACCGGAGAATAACATTGACTGTGGCAATTCAATTACTTAATTTAGCCTTTTGCTGGCATTTTTCATCGAGTACGAGCACGTTTAAATTCTACTGAGGAGGCCATTCAAATTATCGTAGCTGAACCACTACGTCAAAAAGTCGCGGACTTCTCAAACCTTATTTTAAAAAAGTTCCTTTTATCATTCAGACTCCACAAAATCTTAATTAGATAAGACAACTTTTTAAAATGACAAACTGCTCGATTTAATTGCTGTTTGGCAACACCGTGTGACATGCTTAATGTTCTCGAGACGCAGTATCTCACTGCTGCTCGTATTTACGATAGCAACAGCGAAAAAATGCTGTTGATACATTAGCTCAAGTTGATAAACTAATATTCTGCAAATACATGGTGGTCGCTAGAAAAGTTGAATAATTTGAAGGTCAGATGAGATCGCAAATAGAATGCGTGATTACTCATTTTTCTTTGATATGTTTTTATTTCTTATAGGGGCTAGGTTGATTGATACCTTTTAGCTTCTATTCAATCATGGAAGAAGGCAGGAAACAGCTTTGTAAATATTATCTTTTGCAAAAATAAATAGCTGTTTGTGACAAATTTTCTGCTTTTCCAGCGACCTCCCTGTATATCGATTAGTAGTTGAAGCATTAGTAGCGAAAAATACCTAAAATGGCAGATCAAATAAATTTCATCGAAGACTTCGAGAAATTTGCCAAAAAAAAGATGTCACCCTATAATTGGGGTTATTACGCGGCAGGAGCTGTGGGAGAAGACTCGGTGAGAGAGAATTGTGAAGCTTTCAAAAGGTATAATACAATTATTGAACATATATAGGTTAAACATTATTCTGTATAGCAGTCTACAAGCATTCTTAGCAAACAACAATGTAAACATTTGCAAACGTTTGCTACGTGGCGCTGACTATAATATCTCACTTAGCGATATCAAAAGTGTATTTCAAAACTTGAATATTGCTAGAATTACTTTAAAAAATATGAAAAAGGGGAGAATAATGTTCTTTCCCTTTCGCTGAAATCGACACAGCAGTATTCGATATGGAGGATAAAATGTATCGATGCGGAATGATAATCGTATTCTATTTGAAAATGTTCGAAAATAAAGCCCAAAATGCCATGAGATTCACATCAAAATAACAGAAATTGGTTGGTAAATCGATCTTCTGCTTAACTGCATTGGCTAAAACAAATACATGTGCATGTACAATATATATATATACTGGCAGTCCATCAGTAACCGCAATAGGCGAGTCAAATCTTCTTATGAGTTAATAATTTACAGAAACTGCCCGGAATACGAATTAGTAGCACATATGATATTCTATTTCAGATGGAGATTTCGACCAAAATTGCTCAGAAACGTATCAAAAGTTGATATTTCAACTACGGTACTTGGCTCAAAAATCCCATTCCCAATTTGTATTGGTCCAGTAGCATATCATGGTCTTGCTTCGATTGAAGGCGAAGTAGCAACAGCAAAAGGTAGGGCATGCGTTCTAGAAAGTACACCAGGGGAGGCCAACCTGCTTTCGACTAAAATCTTCAAAATAGATCACGATCGACTGATCAATAATAAGGTCAATTACAAAAACGAATGGGCACTGAATGTGCGGATAACTGCACACACGCATACAAAAAATTCCACCGCTGCCAATAAGAAGGCTTTGTGGACACATTGTTATTAAAATCGACACAAAGTTTGTATTTTTTATGTTTCAATTTAAGGTGTCGATTTGATTATTTAATGGTACCCGGATTAAATGTTTTATCATTTAGTTAAGTTTTATTTAAATCATACAATTTAGATAAAGGGCGTGTCTCATTTTTAGTCGTAAGTGTTGAAAATTCTTCAAGAAACCTTGCCAAGTATCATCCATACAGCGAAAAATAAATATTCTCGAACCATGAATGTTACATGACTGCTCAAACTTTAGTATCTAATTTACAATTTCCTCCAAACGCGATTCTTCGCTTGCTTAGAATTAGAACAAATTGGGCATTTTGATGCCACTGCTATCATCGCAAATAAAACAAGAGAGCAATGCTCAAATATATGGACACGCAGAACAATTCCCCAAAAATCATATGCGGTGACCAACGACTAACATACCGGCGGTGACTTACCAGTACCTGTATCGGGGTACCGTGACGGTACAGGGACTGTAATAGATATTTTAGGTCCTGTGACAATTGAAACATCAGTTGAAATATCTCGTGATATGAGTCAATTATGTACCGTATTATCGGATCAGGTACCGAACCACAGTCAAACATTTCAGATAAAAACGTTACTAAATAACATGCGTCAACTTAACACCAGCCGAATCGGGGTACAATTTTCGGTACAGTGACTGTCATAGCCGTTTAGGGCTGATGGACAATTCGACTACACGGACAACTCACCAGGCCTAGGGTGGTGTAGCCAGTCTGCGGACAATTTCATTCAAACCGCTATAAAACAAAAACCAATATATCTAACCCGTTAATTTTTTCACCGTGGGTGCATTGGCGGCATTTATTCTACACGCTAAACCTCGTATTAACTTTCTACGACAAAGGGTTGAAGCTATACAAATCCCCAAAGTACGGCACTCGAAAGACGTATTTGCGACCGAACGACCAGTGTGCGACCACGGATTTCAAGCCTTGATCGTCGTTTATGCTGCGTCGAGACTATCGCATACGCAGCCATACAGCAATCAAACAGACAAAACACGGTGGTCGCAAATTGGTTGACAATTGTTGGTCTTGTGACAGCGTGAAAACATTGGGCTTCTAATTGCATTTCTGACCGTCATATATTTCAAGAACACGGTTATTTCGAACAAAACTCGTTAAATTATAAACAAAGCACCACATCACAGCAATCAAACAGACGAAAACACGGTGGCCGTAAATTGGTTGACAAAGATAATATCGACGTATCGGAAATGCACACCCCCTATTCCCCCTCCTTCAAATGTAGAAACGCGAAACTTTCAAATATGGTTAAAAGAAACACAACTCTACCCACCTGCCAAGTTTCATCTTTTTATTTCTCATATTTGTATGGATTTTCAAGCTTTTGACAGCTACGAGTCAGTTCAGTGTCACCGCGCTGCGTTACGGTACCAGAACTCCTGTCTTGTGACAGCGTGAATTGAAATTGCAAGATGGTCCGTTGGACACAAAATGGCGTCCGATATCCGCAGAACGTTTAGTGACGTCATAGCAAACAAAAACAAATCTTACAGAGCTAACAGAAATATTTGAAATAAATAAAAGTAATAGCCTTCTGGAGAAAAATTTCATCTTCAACCACTGAAAATTTCAAAGCAATTAGTCCAGTAATCAAAGAGAAAAGCGACTTTTTAAAAACGTGTCAAAGAACAAGAACAAGAACAACAACATAATATTGAAACGATCGTTATGTCCACTACGTGTCCAATTAATCACACTACTCTTGGAGTGAGACAATAACTTTTGCATACTGCTGACGTTATTGTAGGATTGTTCGTCAGTCTAGACTAGAGTTAGACACGCGATTTTAAACCTTGGCAGCGGAAAAACTTAAATTGTTACGTAATAATATGCTTTATCGGGCTTGCCCATGCAGACTCAAATACTGATGTGTATATTGTATTTTACGCATGTAAAGTACTGTATTCTTCCTGTTGTAAAACACACAACTGGTTCGAGGCAATTTTTGGGGGTATTTCAACAAAATTCACTCAACATCAGACGCGATCGACTGCTCGAGACGTGGCGATCGACCGGTCGATCGCGATCGACGTGTTGGCCACCCCCGATGTACACTAAGTTTATTTCGAATACCATAGTATTCAATAATAGTATTGTACACAATATCATACGACAGCAGTTCCCAAAGGGTGCGCGAAAATCAACAGAATTGTGTTAAACATAATAAAGATATGATTTAATATTCACATATTGTATTTATTATAATTGTTTCTTATTTCAAGTGCTCTGTATATGAATTAATAAATTCCTTTGCCTTTCTATGTAGTTTACTTTCTGTTCCGTAGTGTCTGCCTCTGTTGTTACGTAACAATAAATATACACTACTTGCTGCAATTTCGCGAGTTGCAGTTTATTTATCTGCTGAACCGAGTTTATCGAACAGGAGTGATTATTTTATTTAGAATTTCAAAGAAAAATCAGGCAGAGACGAGCAAGAGGAGTTGACATTGCCTTCATTCCTTAGACTTACGCGTTTACACATTTTAAAATGCATAAAGTACATATTAACCATCACGAAATAGAATTTTATTTAACAGCAACATTTTTTCCCCTGATAATTTGGCGCCACACGAACATTTCATTTCAATTGTCAGTTTTGTTTTAACATTTGCAATATTTTCAGCTGCGGAATCTCTAGGTGTTGGAATGGGAATGAGCATTTACAGTCATCGAACAATGGAAGAAGTCGCACAACAAGCACCGAACTGTATACGCTGGTGTCATATACAAGTCGTTGAGGTGAATGTTTTTTTTTAGAAGGAGTCTACGAGAAAGGATTTGAATAATAAGTTAGCTAGGGTGCTAATCTGTTTAGTTTAGAACAGTGGTTCTTAAACTGGGGGGCGCGAGATGCTCACAGTGGCGAGAAGTCACAAGATAGAATCGGGAATTTACATGTAACGGCTCCTGAAACTGTCTACGCGTTCGTTGAAAATACCGGCTTTTTCGTGTTATAATAAATATTTCTGTCTCGTAATAACTACAATATTTCAAAATGTATCTCTATTTTAATTCATTTGTGTTCAAGGTAACTCGCGGTTGCGGCGACTCACGACAAAATAAACTCATTATCTATCTAAAATACCACGCCAATTCGCAGACATAATAAAGTGTGATCAACTGCCAGATTATATTTAGTTTTTATATATATTGCACTCATGCGAATTCGTTGTCGTCATTGGAAAAATCTGGTATATTATCCCAGAAAGTATATTTAATTCAGTACAATTAAAATACATGTAAAGTATATTAGTAGATGAAAAATACATATTCATCGACACGAAATCCCCGTGGTACGGCTTCTGAGTCAGTCCCCGAGATTAAGCCAGTCGTTAAAAGAGCCGACTTTTTTAACGGATATATATGTAATGGTTTTTCTGTTGAATAAAATATTCAATCCATGATCGATATACTTATTTAAAATGGTTGCTTCATTCATTTGATTGTGATAAATTAAATCTGCGAATGCGTCGATAAAATAAAAGCACCAGTACTCCAAAATAACACGGTAATCCGCAACCATTAAAATGTCGATTACATTTTGTTTTGATTTGTATTCTTGCCAATTCACCAATATAAGCTGTCCCTGCAACTCTTACTCCGCTCGATCGCAATGCCGCCACTCGATTAATTTCAAGATATCACCGTTACAGATATTCCCAAGTCTGCGATCCCACGGAGTAAAATTTATATCGAGTCTTTAGTTTTGACCACTACTGGTGTGCCGCACGCACAAGGAATTAATGAGATTTTCAATGTCTAAGAAAGTGTTTTTAATCTGTCGCGGTCCACCCCAAAACAAAACTCATGGCGTTTTCCGTTTTATTTTCAGTATTTTTGTAATGCCACTTTTACAATAAAGAAATTTTTAGTTACGGATTCACTTTTTTATTCTAACTTTAGCATCTCGTCGCTGATGATTATATAATAAAAACTAACTCGTTTTCCTCAGAGGTGTCATGGTTCCATTCGAGAACATATAAAGTGATTATAATCGTCTTTGCGGCACAAGAATATGTCGAGGGAAATTTTGGAATTAGGAAGAATAAACACCGAAATCAAGATTTTTAGGGCTTAAATAACACGCCACGCTGACGTAAACAGTGGAGATTTAAACAAAATGCAATCGCAAACGCCTTAGCGACAACGATTGATTGAAATCTTACGTGTCTTATGTACACGTTTAAGCAGAAAATACATTGAAGCATAGGTTTATTGCTTGTATAGTTTTACTTAATAATTAGTTTGACTTTGCCAAGTATTGCAAACTGAGCGGAAAAACGAGAATATATGACGACGACCAACCACTATTTGGCTTTATACATACGACAGTGAAAATGAGTGAATGGTAAAGTTGTACTCCGAAGCGTCTTATGCCTAAACAATCTGAGCAATGACGCTATGAGACCAACATTCTTATAGCGATATCCGAATATATAACAACTTGTCCATCACAAAAGCATTTTTTCAAATCACAAAGAGGGGGGGGGGGGCTGGGGGGGCGCGAAGTTTGTAAAATTTTTCAAAGGGGGGCGCGGCTCAAAGAGTTCAAGAACCACTGGTTTAGAAGGACCGAAAAGTATTACTTAACTTGTTGATCCCTGAGTAAGATGACAAAATTCTGCCAAGCTGGACATCTCTTTGAGCCCAGCATAATTTGGAGGAATTTGCAAAAAAGTGTAATATCAATAAAAACACCTCTGGTAATTTTAAAAACATTTTTTGACGTTGTTTAATGAATTATTATGTTTGAAAACAATTTTTAAAACTATTTCAATGCAACAAAATTTATGAAGAATCGGAACATGATGAAACACTACGTAAGAAGAGCCGAAAAGGCTGGATTTAGTGGATTCATTGCGACGATTGACCAAGCGGTATTTGGGAAAAGACATCATACGACCGACGATGGAGAAACATACGAGTTTTCATATCAGGAGTATGTCCATGTTTGATTCTTATTTTTGAAATAAGACGACTGAGTAAAGGTTCTATATTCTATAACATGAATGGCGAAATTTTTATGATTGGGTATAATTATATTATTATCACGGATCAGAAGATATGCGTCATATATTTTCAATTTCCGTATGCAATGATTAACTGCAAAGTAGCATCTAGTTCTCGTATAGGCCTACCACAGAAAGCATTCTGCGGCCTCTTTGGTTCATGCATCTCCGAAATAGAACCATGCAACACGACGTTGCGAGAAATTAGCAGACTAATTGTATTGTCGTTTCATAAACTACGTGACCGCACCAGGAGCGCATAGGCTACACGTCGTCCAAAATGAGGGGCTTTGAAAATTAGCATACCGAACGGGAAATTTCCATGCAGTGCTTTAAAACTTTCGTCGAATTGAATATGATATGAAATGCTCAATCATAGAACACAAACACACTGACCAACTTTTCCCATCATTTTTGAATTTTGTTATCAGTGCTGTATTTTCACTCGATTTGTCGCGAAAATATGAGAATGATTTTGACAAATTTACAGGCCAAGAAATATTGCAGAATCAATCAAACACTGGAAGCCGAATATGAATACAGTTGAAGCTTTTTTGTCTTATACCAATGGTTCATCAGAGTGGGAGAGCATTGATTGGTTGAAAAGCATCACAAATCTTCCTGTATTGGTTAAAGGAATATTGACCGGTAAATTAAACTTTGTGTTCTTTATTTATAACCATAAAAACTTCTCTTTCCTAAAAACAAATTTCAGAGGAAATGGCATCAGAAGCGTTGGAACACAATGTTGATGGTATTTTAGTTTCAAACCACGGAGGACGACAGCTTGGTGGAACGTTTTCCACTGTAAGTTTTTTTCTTGTTTGACACTAAGTGAACCTATGGATCGTTTTGTTAAATTGTTGTCGTTAGTATTCTTGTTGTTGCTGTGGTTGTAATAAAATCGTCTTTCTCTTTAACCACTAGACCAATTGCTTTGAGAAGTTAAGTGGTTAGAGTTTGTTTTTGTCGCTTTATTTGAAAATTTCTATGGGATTTATTTTTCACTTGAAGTTTTGTAGCACCGCGATCTGGTGCTAAGCGAAACTACCAGCACTATAAAAGATTTCGATATTACTTCGTTGTCCATATATTTGAGCATTGATCTCTTTCAAACCCCGTAAACAGTCGTTTAAATGAATTTTAATATTTCTAGCAATTGAATATACATAGTGTAATATTTATTAATATCCGCAGCATTTACACTCTTCGAAATTTCCAAAAACGTACCTCAACTTTTAGATCGACTCCCTTCCCGAAGTGGTGAAAACAGTGAATGGACGATGCGATGTTTACTTTGATGGAGGAATTCGTAAGGGAACTGACATCGCGAAAGCAATCGCTCTTGGTGCAAAAGCTGTATTTATTGGCAGGCCTGTATATGGGGGCTTGCTTGTGGGGTATGGTCGATATCCGTATTTATAGCACTGAGTCAATGATTAATGTCGTTTCAAATATATATTTCAAATTATGGTTTTTGAAAGACATGGACTTCTAATAGGCTTTGGTTAGTTCCAGCCTGTCTCCATGCAGACTGAAAATTAAAGTACTGGAAGGTTTAACGCGGGGTCGTCCAACCCGTGGCCCGCCGAGGAGTTTAGAGTGGCCCGCGCTGTATTTTCGAAATTAAATAAAAAAAATTAGTAAAACTTTTATTTTTCGAGAGATGTAGTAAATATGAAGATTTGATACAAACAATTTGTTCATTTTTCCGAAAGCGCTCTGCTAGTCCGTTCAAACGAGTCGTGAGTACTATCACCAACTGGAAGATATCGATACATAAATAGTAGCTCACACACTTGGGCAGAATGGCAGTTTTAATGACCTCATAATCTGACAGCACGTACTCGTACAATTTTTTTTTACAGATGAACCATGTCAAATCCCCTGTGAGACCACTAATTTCTGACAGTCATATGGAAAATTCGCTTCGCATTGCTACATCGTCCTTTTCAGCAATATTGACAAACTTGTTAGCGAAAAACAGTGCCAAACTTCACATTAAAATGTCTACGTGTAGAAAAAACTTTGTTGACTTTACTGTATCTTCGTTTTTTTATTGTTTTATTATTGAGAAAGTTTGGTGCGAGGGTTTTGTTTGTTTTTTCATTAACTTTTGGTCATTGTAGCGAAACTAGAACATAATTACAATGTTAAGTGGCCCGCGCAATTATTAGTAAACTTAATGTGGCCCGTCGGCCAAAAAGGTTGGCCGACCCTGGTTTAACGTGTCAAACTAATCGACATCAAAAATTATCTGACTAAATTATCTGAGTAGAGTAGATCTGAGTAAACTGCTTTTTTATATAAAGATGGAAGCAATACTTTACACTGGTTCCGCAAAACTTTAGTTAATGAATGCATGGTCTGGGACAGAAGTATGTCATCACAAAATTCTGTCTCGCCAAGCACGACGAAACATATTTGGAAATTTGAATAATAAAGTTTGAATCGTTTTTACAGGGGGAAAATGGAGCACGAAAAGTTTTGGAAATTTTAAGAGATGAATTCACACTTGCAATGCAGTTATTGGGTATGAAAAAACAAAGGATTGACGAAGTGCAGTACAAATAATACTGCGCTACTGTTACAACTCTTTTCAAACACACACCTGCACGCCTTGAGCATACTTCAGAAACATTCTATTGTAAACCAATAACTCGACCACAAAACTTTATTTAATTAGATGCAAACTCGTTGCAGCGCGAAATCATGTTTAATTTCATTTGATACGACGTTCATCCGTCCCTGTCGTACTATATTTTTAACTTACAAAATCAGTAGATTTTTTTGCCAAGAATGAAGTGTCCGTAATTTGCAGACAAATACCGCAACCAAATTCGACTCACTGCGGATCATATATTCAAATCGACCAAGGTCTAAGATCGACTAAGGATTTTATAATAACGATTGAGTGGTTTATAATCATAACACGCACAGAATAACTAAGTTCTTTTATTTACAGGGGTGAAGACACTTCAAGAACTGCAAACAACGCCAAATTTAGTCGTACATGAGACACGAATTCTTTCAAAATTTTGATTACAAGTTTCCGATATTATGCTCGATTTCATAGTTCAGCCGTTCGATATGCTACCTGCAATTATAATCTTTTTTATGTTGCAAAATTATTCAATATATATATTCTCAAACGAAGGCATTGAGAGATATAGGCTACAAATGCAGCAAATTTATGGCGTGGATATAAAGAGAATAAGAAGACAGTCATGGGCCGGAAAGAATCAAATTTGGCAGTTTCATTCTTTGTGCAACAGGACAATTCTTGAAGAAAAGCCTTATTCAGGCTAGTACAGAATAAGCCTTCTAATTGTGTGGAACACGGTAGCACCAATAAAAGCATTTAAAACAAGAAATTATGCAAGTGCAACTTGATCCATGTTTTTTCAACCTAAAATGATTCTCCCCCCTCAAACTAAACTTTGAGAAGGACCTGCTAAGATAACTCACTGAATGAGGGTGTACTCCCGAGGTCGTACATATTTAGGACGATTTCGTTTAATAGCATACAAGGGGGTAGCTGGCCCAAACTTTTGGTAAGGGCCATTTTTTCAATACGACGGTTACCTGCGCCCTTCGTCCCGAACGAGGCCAGGTACAAGTAGAGACTGATATGTAACGACATCATAAAGAAGATCTCCACAGACCTACTTTGCTATCGAAGCAATAGGATATGATTTAGTTTAATAGCAGACAAGGGCGTCGCTGGCCCAAATATTTGGGAGGGCTATTTTTTGATACGACGGTTACTCGCGGTCCTCCTCCAAACGAGGCCAGGTAAACGTAGCGACTAAAGAACCGCTCCACAAACTCACTTCGCTGTCAAAGACATCCAAGTGCGCAATCTTATCTATTTCGAATGGTGCGATATGTGCCGAATTATCAATGAATCGCTCAAGAATATAGCAGAGTTAATTAATCTAACTCGAAAAAATTCACTTTTGTTGCTCAATCAGTCATATAAAATAATGTAGTCAAATGAACATAAATGCCTCACGACAACTTCTCCGATTTCAAGATTGTCTCGGAATTTATATACATGAAAAAACATATCAATTATCTGTAAAACGAGAGCGTATGTGAGAGTTGAAAATAGGGTCATTTCATCCAAAGCCTTTGTTTCCATATATTCAAGCATTGTTCCCTTATTTCGAATTAATTATTTCAGTCAACGGACATTTCAGATGAGGAAGTAGTAGGTCATTGAAAATGAACAGTCTAAAGTAAAAAGTCCGCATTACTGAGTGAATCAGATATTATTCAATGAACACATCACCTAAGCAAATAGGTTAATCATACGAGATAATATACCATTGGATGACGCATTGAGACAATCAAAAGCTGGAGGTATATTCATCAAGTTTTAATATGAGCAATGCAGGAAATAAATTATGATAATCAATGCTAGCTTCAATTGACGACACGGAATAACTGTGTGTTTGTGACAGATCACCGTCATGAGAGAGAGAAGAAATTTTTCCAGTACAACACTTACACAACACTAAATAACTTGCCTAATTTTTTAACCAGCAGACAACAATTATTCACTAACAATGTTGTCTCTGAGCTTATATGAAATACCACAACTAAAGACTGAAACTCATTGAGTGCTTCAACTAAAATTTATTACGGAGTACGGACGTTGACAAACTTCAAATTTGGGATGGCCAGATGGATACCTTGTTAAGTAATATTTTCGAATATTGAATGTATTCTAGGTGTAACTAGGTTCAATACGATAGAAAAATATGCAGAAATTAAAGTAAATTTGTATTAATTATTTAAGTAACGCGGAATGGTAAGATAAACATTGTCATCATTTTTTACAGTGTCATAAGCATAATAGTCGATAGTCACCACATGCTGTAAGCTATGACAATATTTTCATAAAAAAAAATATTTTAAATTATTCCTAAATTAAGAATTTACTATATTCAGTATATATATATAAATATTTCGAATGTAATCAAGCATTTAAATACTTTTTTCCTGCTTTAAATATATTTTACTAAAAATGGTATAGTAGAATTAATTATCAACTGTTCGCAACAGTGTATTATGCTAAACTTATAGTGTACCCCGAAAGGTAGGAAGAAAAATATATGTCCGAATGTCCAAATAACTCGAAATGTAAACTTAAACTTTCATTTGAAACTAAGTAAAAGAGATAAATAAGTAAAAGAGATAAATAATTCTCTAACAAGAAAAAGTCTCTCTGTGAGGTGCAGTCTATATATAATGGAGTGTGTTGTTCCACCTATATCCTAAAACAGTGCATTTCAAATGGGGTTCCACTAAACCTTAGTAACTCTAGTATTCCGCAATACACTTATTGATATTCCGTAAGTTTTATTCGTTCTACCCTACATGGTTTGTTGAGAATTTCCATTTGTGTGGATTTTGTCGTTTTTTCAATACTTATTTGTATGAAACAGTATTTTTTGCTTCAATAACTATTAAGTCGCTTGAGTAGTGTGGATATTTGAGTAAAGATTTCATTGAGCAACATGGGGCCACGATTTGTGATAGAAATGCAATAGCGGGAGTGTTATTAAATTTCATTTTTTATAGTAACCTTTCATTGTTCTTGTTGTAGTGGAAATATTTGGTTTCTCATACACTTATGAGTATTTTCGAATATTTCTCAATGTGAGTTCTGTAATGAGCCTAATAGCATATCACAAGGATGAAAGGCTGAAAAGCACTGTCCTAGACATTATTCCTGATCGAAGTTAAGATAATCAAGAAGGTTTTTGTGCTTCCTTATGTTCGATTAAATAACACCAGTAACAGATATGGTAACAGAATCATAAAGTACAGACAATGAATACTACAAAAAATGTAAAAATAGACAATGTAACACTGAACTTTATTCATGCCAAGTAAAATCCTTGACTCCTTATCGCTACTCTTAGTTTGGTTTCTAAGGCCTCCTTGCTCGAGTATCTCGGTAAATCAAGGACATTGAAGCAAGTGTGAGCTACTGGAAGATAGTCATCACCAAATGGCATCGGCTGTATTATAATCTCAAGGCCATTGATTGGAATTTTATTGTAACCAGTCAGAAACCGAACAAAATCTTTCTTTTCATCATTTGTGAGGGAATGAAAAACTTGCCAAAACCAGATTATAACTTGATGATTGTGATAGTATTCACCCTTGTATTGGGTCTTCTTCTGTAATTCTTCCCAATTGTAATTCTGATTTCCAACAACCATTTCCATCAGTTCTTCTGGTCTGAAGAGGTTCATTACTTCACCGCCACATACTTTATGAAAACCTTTGCTGAACCATTCAAAAGGAGATCTGATCGAATCATTAAAAATATAATTCATGTATGCACTAACATAATGTGATCTGTTTTCAGCAGTCACTGCAACTGAAGAACCATTTTCTATCAAATCGACATGAGTAACCTCCCCAAATAACTCTCGAGGAACAGTGAAATCAAGACCAAATGTTTCTTCCACAGTGTCTCCATCCTCTTCCATGAAATTCAATAACTGTTGCATGCCACTACCAACCATTGGCTCAAGTTCACTGAGATCTGCTAGTGTAGGTTGAAAGCCAAGCAATTTCTTGTATAATGCTAAAGGAAAATTCAAGTCTATGATTGTGCTATTATATATCGCTAACCCACATATTGTACCGATTAGCAAATAAGTTTCATCTGTTTCAATTTCATAGTCTGTAAACCATATTAGGTTTGAATCTTTAAAATGACGAAACATTCCATATTTAGGATTTAATACTTCTTGTAAAATGAGCATAAAGAATTCTTTTCTCACTCCTCCCGCATCTTGGCCCTCTTCACCTTCAAACTTCACAGTAAAGGGCCTTTTTAAATTTCCTATGGAACGAATGTTGTGAATTGCATCTTCGACAAGCCTCTGTCTTCTTACATGAATTTCTATAACAGGTGGTTCAAGATAACCTGAATCAAGCCCTAAAAATGCAGCCATATTCTGACCCCTAGCATGTAGGTATGCTTCATGCATTTGAAAACGTGCATCAAGTTGCAATAAAATGGTTTTGGCTTTTGAGTTAAAGACAAATGGATATCGACAAAAACTGAAGTCTGTACCACGATTTCGTGCCCATTGTTGATAGTCAGCTTCAAGAGGAATAAGATCATTCAATTCAGGTATATAAAATTTTTGAAAATTAACAATAGCAATATCACAAATATTGTTTACCTTATTCAACTTTGAAAGAAAGTTGAGCAACAAAAGCACCTTCGGTTTTACAATATCTGGAGGTAGTCCGATTCTGATAGTTGCAACAATACACTTTTGGCACATACTGATCGGGGTCATAAAATGTACAGGATCTAATGATCTGTACCATTGGTCAAGAATTTTTGATGGATTCTCCGCAAGAAGCAAAAGTTGTTGCACAAACGGAAACAGTAGACTATCATAACATTCAGGTTCATGTAAAAGTGGTAGTTCCGGCAATGAAAGATACAATCTAAGTGCTTCAATATCAGGTGGATTAGATGGCAATAGTGGCAGAAGTTTGGAGCTTATAAATGATTCAATTTTTTGTAGCACTCTTTTATTTTTACATTGGGTTATTTTTGCAAATAAAAGTCTTGCGCTCATCATATTAATACCGGGATATTTGGTACTAGTTTGATGATGATCAGATGAAAGAAATGACGCATTCAAGCAACCTTGAGAACTCATAACACACTCCAACTGATTTATGATATCGGCTGGTACTTGTGTATCATTACCCAATTGTGATACTCTTTCACAAAGTTCGCTATTTAATGTCCATATTCTCCGATGCTTCAATACTTCTCGGAAATCAAGTGCTGATTCATTTTGTTTAGAACACATTAATACAAAACTTTGATTACCATTGGCAGCAATTTCCTTAATGTTATAAAGTGATACTCCAGGATATTGATGTGCATTATTCTGTGAGGTATTCCGATCACACCAAGGTCCTTTCACAATGGTTGGCACTTTGACACATTCTAGTTTATCACCAATACCAAGCTGTCCCTTGATTCCACTGCCACAGGCAAACACGTTTCCAGAATCAGGAACGAATGCAATAGTGTGTAGTTGACCACATGCCACTTGTGTAACAACACTCCCCATTAGTTCGAATACTTTTCTAGGATTGACTTCAAATTCAGATATGGTTCCATGGCCAAGTTGTCCTTTGGAAGATGAACCAAATGTAAAAACACCGCCATCTTTTGTCAAAACGGCACTATGGAAATCACCAGCTGCCACAAACATAACTTCTTGTGATCTGAGCATTCGAAGAAGACATGGGCTTGTTCGATTAGCCCGATCACCCAATCCCAATTGTCCGCAGTCATTTCTGCCCCAACAAAAAACACGACCTGATACTGTTACACAAAATGAATGCCAGCCACTAGCAGCCACCTGTCCAATTGGTAGGCCACGTAGTGAAACTATTTCATAGGGCTGTGAGGATGGAGAATAACTCCCAATTCCTAGTTGACCATATTCATTGTCGCCCATAGAATAAATTGTTCCATCGTGAAGCAACATTAATGAATGAAATTTGCCACATGAAATCTGGACCACTCTCCTAGATTGCAAAAATTTGATGCTCTTAGGCACCTTTACAAGTAAATTGTTTGATGAAGAATCCTCCAGGCCAAGCTGTCCATGTTGATTTTCTCCCCAGCCATATACTTGCCCTCTGTCACTAACAGCAAACACATGATCACCACCAGAAAATATATCAACAATGTTGAATGTTTCTAAAGCTGTGACTTTGGTACTGGAATCTGAATTTCCAAATGTGTGAACAGAACCATCATTAAGAAGAATGCAACACTGACAGTCAGAAACTGCCAAAAATTTAATATTCTCCCAGTTTGAGGCAGGCACACGTTCAGGTCTTGTAAGTTCATGGCCTAATTCATAGAATTTACCGACAGCATTCTCACCCCAGGCAAACATGGTAGAATCCTGGAGCGAGCATTAGCAAACTATACTGAAATAATAAATGAATATAATCAATGACAGGTAAACATTATAAAGTGCATCTGATTACAAAACAAATGAATAAAATTAAGAACATTGTACACAGAGACATACAGTAATTTGAAATTGTTATTAAACTCAATGATAAAATTTGAACTTGAAGCATAGGAATAGAATAGATAGGAACAAAAAAGTAACCTGCATAAACACATGTTGTCTGCCAATTGCTATTATATGCTTCTTCAAGAAAACTTGCTCAAAGCAAAGGTAAAAGCACACAAATAAGTGGGTTATGAATGAAATACTGAAAGATACTATTTTTAAAAAGTTGGAAATGCTAAATGGATAAATTAATCCATTATCTGAATGAATACTTGCTAGAATAAGTGTCTATCACAACCATTAATAGTATCCAGATAGTACGTTGCCACTTTTCACAACAAAAACTTCAACAACATTTACAGATGCATTTTTAATACAGTGTATAATTGTTAGAAATGATATAAAGATTCATAGAATTATTTTTAAAAGAAGAACAAATTAACAAACGAGACTCAACTTAGTTTGAAAATTTTTCCATAATAGTGGAGAATATGAAATCGAATTACAGTAATATGTTTTACAATAATACAAGATCGGCCATCAATAAAATGCATTATTATTATTATAATTCACATTATTATATAGAAGAAATAACAAAATTAAAAAAACATGGAAAGGATAGAAAACAAACTGTGAAATGCTTTTAAGTTTCATTTCAAATAGACAAACCTTTTGACAAATAGAAAATGAACTGATCGTAGAGGAATGAAGCTATTCAATGTCCATATTACAAGTATATATCATTATCCAAACAGCAACCATTCATTTGATATTTGCTTTGTACATTCAAATCAAATAAATATCAACAAAAGATCACTTCACTTTCACTATTCAATGTCCTATATTAATTTGAAAATCAGGAACTCATTCCTTTTAAGCCAGAATAAACTTACTGTAGTAAAAATGCGACAAAGCAGTGAATTGAATTTCAACATTGAATATTCAAATTGAAAACATTTCGTATATTTATGCGTAAAATGTTATATTATAATATATTATAATAAAATTTCATAAATAATAATCAGTAAAGACTTCAGCAAGTAAACAAACAACATATTAAGCATTTCAAAATATTTTTCAGACTGCTTATAGAGTTGAGTGAATCATTACTCAAACCCACACAATCAGTATTCATCCCACTTCTACTCTTAATTAGATTTAAATGAGCAATGAATTAGTCAATCCTCTTACAACATATAAAACAAATATTGTCAGCTGCATTTGTAAGCTTCCAAAAGCAGATGCTACTTAATGCGATTACGAATGAAATGTCAAAAACACAGCAACTGAATAAATTAAAATAAATCGCTGGGAGAGACTCAAAGTACCTTATGCCACATTTTGAGATTTGTAATCATGATTTTTGTAACTGTTTTGTAATAACAGCCACACCTAAAAACGGACATAGGTTCTTTCTGAAAACATGACTAAAACAAGGACATCAGCTACTTTAGTTTTACGGCGGCGACATGTATACAATAACAAAATATACATTCACAGTAAATTTGACAGTTGAGCTTTATTCGGAAATTCAGATTAAACGTTGATAAACACCATCAATAGAAAAAGGTGACTGGGCAGTGGGTTTTCAAAGTTATCCCCCTTGTTGCATATGAAATAAATTATGTTTGCATAAGGGGAACACTATGCTAATCACGCAATAAAATTTTACTTACAGTGGAATCATGAACTGAAAAACTTGCTGGATATCACCAAAAATATTAAACACATAAAATAAAAAAGTTGTTGAATACAGATTGAAAAAAGTAAATATACATAGGAACATTTCAATTATCAAAATTACGATCAGATATTTAAGAAATTCAAGGTGGATAACATGCATGGATTGGAAACATATATTCACCAACAAGGCAATAATATTAAAATGCACTTTTCCCAATTTATATATACCATTCAAACGTAAGTATTAAATTCTAAGCTGAAACAAAATAAATATAATATACTAAAGGGTGGTGGCCTGGTCACATCAACCATAACCTCAATATATAATACAATAGGGAAGGTAGGCTATGCCAAATACCCTTCTCAATAATCAGAACTTTATATTCATACATGGATTTCATTAAATACACATATATAGACATAGTCATTGGCCAATGGCCATACCATTTTTTTTTACAAAATACCAAATTTTTTGCAATTTATCGCTACTCTGAGGCGTTCTTCTAAAACCTCTTTGCTGGAATATGAAGTCAAAAGAAGATTCAGAAAACATGTTTGAACTGCTGGTAGGATATCATCATTTGGATTTCCTTGGCCATCAAATACTTCATATATTTTCAGTGTATCATGCAAACCCAGAAGTGGGACTCTATCAGTTCCAGTAAGAAAGATTAGAAGCTTTACTTTATCTTCTTCTGTCATATGGTGAACTATTTCCCAGAACCATTCACACACTTGTTTGAAAGTGTTGGAAACTGCGTCAACAACAGCATGCTTCTGAAGTTTTTTCCAATCTAAATTCGGTTTATATGCTAATACCTCCATTAGTTCTTCTGGCCGAAAAAGTTCCATAATTGGACTGGTACATACCCTTTCAAATCCTTTTTTGAAGCTATCAAATTGTTTTTTGACAGATTTATTAAGTACGTAGTCAACTTGTAGCTTGACATATTCATTTCTGTTTGACTTGGTAACAGCCAAATGTTGACCACCTTTTTTCAAAGGTTCGCCACTGGTCGAAACAAAATAAAAATCGTATTTAGCTTGCACGGTCTCTTCACCATTTTCTTCAAAATCAATCAACTCCTGCAAACATCTGCCAAATGATGGAAATATTTGCCTGAAATCATCAAGATTGGTTTCAATTCCTTGTAGTTTTTTATACAACGCAAGAGGGAAGTTCATACTTATTATTGCATCATTATATAGAGCGAACCCACACAGCATGCCAATGAAATAATACTTTCTTGTTGCATCATTGTTGTCAGAGAACCAAAGCACATGCGTAACCTCATCTTCAGTAAATAGTTCACAGCTGTGTTGGGATATTTCTTGAAACACAAGCCTGAAAAATTCCTTTGGCAACCCTTTATACACTAGTCCTTCTTCCCCCTTAAATACGATGGATAGTGGCCAGGCTGGTTGTGATATAGTATCCATTTGTTCAATAGCATCTTCAAAAACATTTTCCGTGTTCACTGTCAACTGATTAAAGAGTGGCTCAAAGTAAAAAAGTGGCTGTGCATAAGATAGTTCGGAATATAGCAACCCTCTTTTTGCTTCACCACTGAACATAAATGGACATGAAAATATTAATGGATTTTTTTTTAGTTTCTTCTGGCTCATTTGGTCATTCAAAATATCCTGACTGAATTTGACAGGAAGGTAAAACTCATCATATGGAATAATGTGCTGCTCACTATTTAATTGATGTAATTTCTTCACTAAATTCAGTTCATTTTGAGCAGCATCAGTCGAGACCTCAAATTTTTTCAACAAACCATCTGCAATATGTAAACAGCACAACTTGACGAGTATTGAAAACGCTGACGAGGATGTTTTATACCAACTGGAAAGTTCCCCCCAACATTTTGCTTTCATTGTGACCAGTTTTCTAATAAAGAGGAAGAAGCATTTAGCTCTGCTGACAACACATTTAAAGGGTGAAATCAAAAACGGCATCAAAAGGAAAAATTTAAGTGACTCTGTATCTGGATCATCTTTAGAACGACGAGATAAAACATTGTCACACAGAACCTTAACAATAAGTTTCTCAATCGCTTCATTTTTGCTTTCAAAGATTTGAGACAAAAGTGTTTTAATTTTGTCAAAATCAAAACTGCGACTGACAACTTCATTCATCAAAACCTCCAAGTGAAACGAACCTGTGAAACATTTTTGTGAAGATATAATTAAAATGAGTTTTTCCTTGACATCAGCTGGTATTTCACTATTTCTTGGTAGTTTTGATACAACTTTGCAAAAATTTTCATCCAAGGTAAAAATATGTTGATCTGAATCAAGTATCCTGAAATCTTTTTGCTTTAAAATGTCAGCGCCAAATGATTTTAAAACAACTGTCTGACTACCACCTGCAAATACTTGTTTTACTTTATTGTTACCATTCTCATCACTACTTTGTGGTATATTAACCATCATGGGATCTGGAATTTTGTCTTTTTTGATTCCAATACCGAGTTGTCCATCTGAACAACTTCCAAACGCAAAAACCTGCTCACAATCAGGGCTGAAAGCAATGGTGTGATTTTTCCCACAAGCGATTTGTGTTACAACACTTTCACTGAATTCCTCGATTCGTTTTGGTTTTGATTCATTGTTACATGGAACACCATGTCCCAACTGACCAAATGTTCCAAGACCGAAAGAAAACATTTGTCCTTCCCTTGTTAATAAAGCACTGTGATAGTCACCAGCTGAAACATAAGCAATGGGAAGTTTTGATGACATTTTTATAATCAGTGGAGAAGAATGATCCATAAAATCACCAACACCTAACTGGCCAAAATTATTTCTTCCCCATGAATACAAGATTCCTGTTAGTGATAAACAAAATGAATGCCAACCGCCTGCTGCAATCCTCAAGATTGGAACATTCTCCAAAGTGGTGATACGTTCTGGTCCTTTGACAGGACATTTGTTTTTAAGTCCAAGCTGTCCATATTCATTATCTCCCACTGAAAACAAATCCCCATTTTTCAAGAGTATCAAAGTATGAGTATTTCCACAAGCAACCTGCACCACTTTCTTTTTGTCAGTGAATGGAACACTCATCGGTAGAGACACGAAATCATCCGCAAGTGTTAGACCTAGCTGTTCTTGATCATTACAACCCCATGCATAAGCCTTTCCATTTTCATCAATCACAAACACTTGGCCATGTACTCCAGCATAGATATTCATGATTTTAATATCTTTTAGAACATTCTGTAATTCGTTATCTGCAAGCACATCTTTTTCAGCTAAGTAAGCCCTAATTGTTCCATTTTGGTAGAGAATGTAAGCATTGTCACCTGTGAGAGCAACATTCTTGATACCATCACCTGCTATTGGAAGTTTTTCCAATGACATTACGTCTTGTTTCCGATTGAGGGAATCCACCAACGCACCCTTTCCACATGCCAGCATGTTGTCTATCATTTACTTTTGTTGCATATATATCTGAAAGATAAAATATAACATTTTCATTTTACTTGATACAGATAGAAACATAAATTCAAAACATTGCTTCTTCCATAACAGAAAGATAGCAAAAAGAAAATAATGATGAACACCAATACAAATAGCCTGGTTTTGAGCCTATTTCTAAATAGTGCTTCTTTCAATAACCAGTGATCATACAATATAACAAAAAGTAATTAAAATACTTGAAAATAGAAGCTATTGAGGCACACTAATACCCAGGACCCAAATATACGACACCAGTCAAATTTTTATACTAGCATTATTTCAGACAGGGTTGGGTTGGTTGTATAGTAGGGTAGATTTCTGAAGCAGAACTCTAATTACTAACTAAGTGAATATTTGTACAAGTGCATGTCATAAACACGAATAACTATTACAACGGCATAAGCAGTGGTGGGATTCAGCAGGTTCGCACCGGTTCTGTAGAACCGTCTCGTGGAATTTTATGAGATCAGCGAACCGGTTAGAATTACTGGTTGCTGTCAATGTTCTGTTTGTAATAGAACCGGCTGAAAAATATGACTTTTGTGATGGAACAGGGTGTCAAAAAATTTGAATCCCACCACTGGGCATAAGCAGTATAAAAACTATTTTATTGAAGTGGAGCGTAGAAAATATATAGAGACAAAATATTATTAAAACAAAGCAACAAACAAACTGTTTATCCTTAATTAAACCATAAATATATTATTTTTTTGCATACCGGTACCGATAATTTGTGAATCACAAATATGGGGATAAATTTCAGAAAGCATGAGGGCACATTTTTGACCAGGCAAAATACTTGATTTAATGTTGATAAGGTCACAGAAGCAAAATAAAAATATTAGGAATGGTTAGGATCCACTTCAATTGAATTTTGATGACAATTGGTACCCCTTTATTTTAATTAACAATAAAGAAACTAAGCGGGCTGTGATGGATGATATACGACCACAAAAGGTAATAAGAAAATGAAAAAAAATGCAAAATTTTTAAACTTTGAATACAAAGCACAATTGAATATTTAACAATGGTAATCAAAAAATCCTTTGCAAACTTCAAATGTTATGAAAGAAAAGTAAGTGATAAAAACAAAAAAATTAGAAGTTGAATTAAATGGATTAGTTCATCAGAATCAAGATATTATTTTTATGTTTATGTGACCAAGAAATTACCATAAACTTATATGTAGGCTGTGGAGTACGAGTAGGGCATGTTATGGTCGAGTCAAAGTCTTATATTCAAGCTCCCCGGAGACAGGAGTCGGCTATTTAAAAAAAAATTGAAGTTGACTATAAAAGAAAACTTGCATTTGCTAAAGTTTTTATTATCAGAACATGACTACCATATGATTTTGGAGCAGTAGATAGTGTTGAACTTTTGAACATATTTGAATTGAAGACAAATTTTTTTTTTCAACTCTTCGACTCAGGAGTCGATTCTAAATTTTACTTGCTCCACAGCACAGCTTTTTATGTAAGAAAACTGAAGCACTGTTTATGTAGCTCATATTCATAAAATCAGAATTAGATTTATTGATCAAGATACTAAAAATATAGATATAATAAAAATGCTTCATAATCAGAAAACACCCAAAATAATCAAAGTGTTGAAATAAAGAAGGAATAAAACAATGAATATATTACGGAGTTGCGGTTATTAGTTAAGAAACATGATATATGTGCAGGTATCACAATAAATTTAACAGTGAATATAATATGAGACAATTTTTTTCCTATCAACACCAAAAGTGCCATGAGAGTTTATTCAACAAAACTCAATTCATTCTAACTATGTAGATTTTTATCAACGCAACTGCTGTTTTTTTTTTTAAAGTAATTTGATTATTTGAATAGCCAATAACATGGAAGAAACATACCGGTAAGCATATTTGCAGTTTGTAATAAACGCAACACATTCCATTTCCTTACAACATACAATACATACATAAATTATACTGAAATATCATTTTGCAGCGCAAATAACAAACAAAGGAAATTACACATCACATAAATTGGTGGGTACAAGACATTCATAGATAATAATAATGTGGTAGGCCTATTACATGTATATGCTAGTTATTTCTGAAACTATCTTTTACACCGTACTGCAAGTTTCAACCTTAGTAACAATATCTATTCTCAGACATTCTTCATGTTCAAATCAGATAAATATACATGAACATGAACAAATTATAATAATCCATAAATATCATCTTGGAATTGGCATCAGTCACTTTAAATGAAATCCTTTGCATTGAATTGCCAATTTTAACCGATCTTCCAAAACTTCTTTACTTGAATAAACTGGTAATTGAAGAATATTATAACAGGTCATGGCAATAGGCAATACCTTATCATTAGCTTCAATCCTCTGGATCTTAAATTCGAATCCAGATACAGGCACCTTGTTTGAAGCGGTCAAAAAAATGAGAAACTGCTCTTTCTCTTCATCCTCAAAACTAAGCAGTACTTCCCAAAACCATTCGCACACTTCACTAAATTCATCTGACAGTAAAGAAACATTCATGGACGCTTTCACTTCTTCCCAACTAAAATCTTGTTCACCAACTACCATTTCCATGAGTTCCTCAGGTCTGAAAATATCAAAAATCTTACCAGAGCAAGCTTTTGAAAAGCCTCTTTGGAAGGCACGGAATTGCCTTTCCACAGACTTGTTCAAGATATAATCCATGTGAAGTTTCACATATTCTTCTCTATTTGCAGAAGTGACAGGTATTTCTTCACCTCCTTTCTTCAAAGGAATTCCATCAAATGATACAAAAGATGCCATAAATACTTCTTGAACTGTTTCACCATCCTCTTCTTCATACTCAAGTATTTGTTGTAAACTATTTCCAAATACTGGATCCAACTCTTTTAAATCTTCGAAGACTGGCTCGATTCCCAACAATTTTTTATACAATACAAGTGGAAAATTCACATTAACAACTGTACTGTTGAACAAAGCTAGACCACACAGCTTTCCGGCAAGGTTATATAGAGGCTCTTTGTGATCGTCATAGTTACCAGAAAACCACACAAAATTGGAGACTTCTTTTTCTGTAAACAATCCATAGCCAGTAATTAATTCAGGTATAATGTAAAAGAAATATTCTTTACTTAATGCCCCATCATCTATGCCATCTTCACCTTTAAATTGGACATGTAATGGACGTTGCAAATCATCAATATTTGCAAATTGCTTAACAGAATCTGACACAAGCGATGTCCTAGCCACTGAAATCTTGATTTTTGGTGGTTTGCTGCTACCCAACCGGAAACTTGTAGCTACTTCCATTACACTTTGCACTTGTGCAGCTTTTTTTCGAAAATCCGCATCCATAATTAGAAGCTTTGCTTTTACTTTTGCATCAACAATGAATGGGTACTCTATAAACAATAATGAAACAAATCCCAGTTTCCACTGTAAGAACAAATCCAAAAATAGCTTTTCATCAAGTATCAGAGAAAGATAGAAAACTTTATAACTGGACATAGCATGTAGTTCATTCAGTTTGTATAATTGATCCAAAATATTCAAATAACCATTTATGCATTCCGGACTAATTGAAATTTTAGATTTTATAGACCAAGCATGTGAGATTATCCTAGTGCATGATTTAACAATGGTAACGAAAGCCAATTCAGAAGATCTGTACCATTTTTTAAGTAATTTCCATAGATTGCCACTCAAGCAAAGAATCTTGTTAACAAGGAGTGTAAGAAGTTTGTTTGCTAACTCAATATTTTCAATGGTATTGATAAACATGGGCAAAGTGATGTACAGTCTCAAAGCGTCCAAATCAGGAGGCTCTTTCACTAGATGGTTAATCATTTGAGATAAACATTCAATGGATGCTTTTTTGATTTTGCAATCATTTATTTGAGTGAATACTTGTTTTGCATGTTCCAGATTAATACCATGATAATCTATGCTGGTAACTTCATCTTTGTCAGGAAAAGAACCGTTCCAGCAACTAGATGATGCAATCATTGCATGAAAAAGGTCATCATCTTTTGCCTTCGTATTATTGGATTCGCAAAATATTTTATCAAATGTTGCAATAGTGCTTTGATCATCCACAACTCTATAATCTGATGGCATATGGCATCTAGAATCGAACATTACATATGTTTGGTTACCACCCGAACATATCTTTACACCATTATTTCCATCTTTCAATGGAGATGGAAACCATGTTTTTTTAACAATTTCAGGAGTTAGAACTTTCTCAACCAATTTTCCAAGACCAAGCTGACCATATTCACAGTTTCCAAAGGTAAAAACCTGTCCACAACCAGGTACAAACGCAACAGTGTGATTATGACCGCATGCAATCTGAGTAACGATGCTGCCTTTAAATTCTTCAACTTGTTTTGAAACAGATATATTATTAGAGTCCCCGTGGCCTAATTGTCCACTGGAATTAAGTCCAAAAGTCAGCATTTCTCCTTTCCTTGTTAAAATTGCACTATGGTTATCACCAGCTGAAATATAAGCAACTGGATCTTCTGTAGACAACTTCATCAACTTTGGGGAAGCATGGCCAACAAAATCACCTACACCCAGCTGGCCATGATCATTTTTCCCCCAAGAAAATACCCTGCCAGATATAGTGACACAAAATGAATGCCATCCACCAGCTGCAAGTAGTATTACTGGCAAACCTTCAAACGAATCTATTATCGTTGGTTCAGTAACAGGACGCTTATTTCGTAAACCAAGTTGTCCATGCTTATTATCACCCACAGAATATACTTCACCATATTTGAGCAGTATCAATGAATGTGACTGGCCGCATGCAACATGAACAACCTTTTTTGTAGTAAAGATATCAAGCTGTGTAGGTACCTGGATAGTGTTAACATCTTTTAGCAAGCCCAACTGACCTTGGTATTAGAACCCCATGCATATATTATGCCTTGTTCATCGATCGCAAATGCATGATCACCGCCGGCATAAATGTTTACTATTTTGACTCCTTTCAGAACTTCTCTTTTCACAACCTTTGAACTTTCTTCTGAATCTCGTATATATTCTTGAAGAGTTCCATCAGACAATAGAAAGTATGAATTGAAATTGCCATTCACTATTTTTTTGATGTTTGAGTCTTCTAACGCAACTGATTCAGGCGAAAGTAACTGACACTTGGGATGGTAATAATCCAATATGGCACCTTTCCCAAACCCAAACATGATTTGGTAGAGAAAGATATTGCCTTATAACAATGCCTAATCATAAGCAGATGACAACAATACAAAACAATAAAAGAAATAAGGCAGCGAATGTTTTTAATAAACAAATGGAAGTTTAAAAAGTATGAGCTGGATTTGTTTTCAAAGCTAGAGAAGTTCGAGGAGTTATTTTTAAAAGTCATTTAGAACTTTTCAACCAATAGTTTCGCCGCTATGAGTTATTTCAGTATTTAGGTTGAGTTTTGAAATATTTCAGTACCGTAAAGCGGGGTGACTATGACCCATTTTTGGTCTTTCAGTCAAAATATCTCGAATATTAAAAATCTATGAATTGCTATTCCGGGTCCAAACTATGCATTTTAGAGGGGGTATACGTCGTGCATAATCATTGAACCAAAATATTTGTTTTTTCTATATTATTTTTTTTAATTTACGGTGGGCCAAAGTCACCAGCAATTTCGGTACCACTTTGGCCCAGTGCCTATTTCTCCCCATAAATTAAGCTGTACCCATACTGAGACAAAGAAAACATTTATTACAGTGGGCTTTGGCCCACAGAGACTTTTTAAAAAAACAGAAACCCCAAAAAAATTAGAACACTCAACGAAATCGGCCATTTTATAATGGCACTGCAAAAATCAAAATTAAACATGTCTGTATTCATTCATAGCAGTTGATATCATGGCAAAAAGGTCAGTTCAGTTCAATTCAGACACTTTATAGATGCCTCGCGCATTTATGAGATCTGGGGGACTGATACAACGTTTTATGCTGCTCCAGTCGTAAAAAATCTGATCTTTCCGAAATGGCCATCTCCAGTTACATCCAGACTTCTCCATGACACTCACCTCGCACCCGTCAGTTGTGCGGGTTTTGACAATTCCAGGGTATAATTCACCCTCATACGAAATTATAACATAATCACCAATGTTGCATTCTTCAAATGGCAAGTGATGAGCAGTTGAAACTACAGAGTGAGAGTTGGATGATTCAGGAGTAGAGGCTTCATCGCATTCATCGTCTGAGGAAACAATTTCAACCGTTGAATCTGAATCTTCAATATTTTGATTTGCTTGAGCTTTTTTTGAAACCGTTTTTTCAAGTCTTGCCACATCTTCCTCACATGCGCTTTTCCCAGGTTCTACCTGAACCTTCTTTCTTGTTTTAGTTTCCTTTGCCACAGAAGATCTTAAATCTGAAATTTTCTCAAGAAATTTTTCACTGATAACATCAGAATCATCATGACTCGTAGTTCTTGGTAATCTACTGAACTGTGAACTGTGCTGCAACGTTTCTTTGCGATTCTCCCCTTTTAATTGCTTCCAGAGCTCGCTGAAGTTTTTTCTCACTATAATCATGGTATCTTCTACTGCCCAAAACACGACTGAATTTTCTCACCATGATTTGAAATAAACTGTTTACATTTATAGATTAACTGGATGACTAGAATGAGAAAATAAATTCGTTTTATTTCTGAAAAATAAAACAAAAAAGTAGGTTTGTATAGGGTAATAAGGTGGGCCAAAGTCAGTACCATATTACATGGAATTTTGCATTGTGGGCAAAAAACCTCCCTCATACGCCCCCAACTAGTTTAAACTTGTTCCAAACACCATAAAAACCTTCACAGAGAATATCTCTTCCAACCTGTAAAGAATAAGGACAATTGAATGTTTCTTTTTTGGACTTCTCAATAAAAGTACTGAGTTGCGATTTTTTTTTCAATTTTTTTATTTCTGACCCTCCAAATGAAAAAGTTTTTTTTCCCAAATATTTTTCATAAAGTGACAAGATTTTTTGTTGTATAATTATTGCTGCTGTTATTAACTACAGTATCAAAACAAAATAAAATGGGAAATATCAAATAAAAGTAGATTTGGGTGGGTTTTAAACAAATTCTCAAAATGGGGCCAAAGTCAACCCGTGAGGTCAAAGTCACCCCGTTTTACGGTACCCTCTGACCCTACACCATTCCAATAAAAATAAGTTTTAAAATTCAAAGAAACTCTGTGGGATTTTAGGTTCTAAATAAGATTATATGAAAACTTGAGTTCCCAATATACTCAGAGATTTATGAAATAGAGATTTCATAATTAACATACATATTGAAGAAAGTTTGTTCAATTTTGATAATCACAGGAATCAAGTTACTACTAAGTTGGTATAACCTATAGAGACACTCTAATCTAAGGTAAAACATTATTAGGAAATATTACAGTAGTATCATATGTTATCGCAATTCGCAGTATCGGTTTAAAATTTAGTACGATAGGTACGAAACCACACGAGATCCCTTTGAATGACCCTAATGACAAAATAAAATATTATTTTTTGGATAATCAACATTTGTCTGTTTGTGTTGTTAAACGTGAACAGATACAGAATAAACTAAAAACATCTGCATAGGAAGTCACATCACAAAAATTGAAGACTTGACCAAATCAAAATATTTGTACCAGTATAGTCTACAGATAATTATAACAGTTATAATAATTCATCTGCAGAACTGTCTTCCAATAGACACTACTAAAAGAATAAGCACATAAAAGTAGGCGTACCTGGTTTTCATGTTGTATCCTGTTTTTTCTTTTAAAACGGATCATGCTTGATGGAACAAAGAGACAATAAAATAATGTTTTCGATTCTGGGTCTTTCCCTCATTCAGGACCGGGGATTATAATGTACGCTCCTCAGCAGCATTACGCAACCGCGTTTGATTACCGAATAATCGCATGACTCGAGATCAAAGGTGACGAACACAAGGTCCCTGACTCGATTTTATTACTTCCGTGAATTTGCAGACAGTTGATCCATAATTCTACTGAATATTCAGCAATTAGACTACGACCGGTTCTCAAATGAAGCTGAAGCATCTTCAATGGATGGCCTTTGACCCCAAGGAAATTGTTTCTATATTTTATCATTGCAAAATTTCTGAAACCTATTTTGAGACGGCACTTACAAGCTAGTTTACGTGTTTCAAACCATTATTTTTTTATGGTTCCAACAAAGTGGAATTTTAAATAATTAAACAATAAATAAGATAATAAATAAGGGGTACATGTATGTACAAACATCAATCACATGTATTTTTATTAAATCCAGGGTGTTCCGTTGTTCATCGAGTTGACTTCACAGTTTAATTTTAATTAGTTATTTTTTAATTGGAAAAAAAAAAAAAAACTAAGAGTTATTAAAAGCCATAAGTTATTGCATATCATGTCAAGTTCTTTTGTGTAAAAACATTGTTTTCTAAATTTTTCTATGTTTCTCCTTGCTAAAAGAGAGTTTGTTATCTTCACTATAACATTATTTACGTTTGGTACAATATTTTGAAAAATTACAGCATTGCGCTCCAACCATATTTTATATCGTGCAGTACACAATAACAATACAATAGCATTACGTTCTAAAATTGATAAATGAGAATTACAGTGATTATTTAAGTCCAATAAAATTAGGCTTACCATACGTCCCGCTTTAGGCGGGAGAGTCCCGGTGTTTAGCGTCTTGTCCCGCCGTCCCGACAAGTCAGCCAAAAGTCCCGCTTCGGCGTTCAGCCAGCATAACATACGAACATTACCAATTAACATGTTCTCGTTACTGCTGTTGCTTTGCAGCGCAGCGCTTGTCTACTTACTGAAGGTGAATGCGTTATTTTGTTTGTTTCATTGTTAGCGAACCTAACACATGTAAAATCAATACAAATTGGTCCTGCTATGACTTTTACGTGAAAGTAATATTGAACAACGTCTTTTTAAAGAAGGTGTTATCTACAGAAAAGGCGATTAGGCGAATAAGTAAATTCTCAGTTCTTGAAAGCCGCAGACTATTTTAATATTCTTTCTTCCTTTTGTTGTAGCCTACATAAAAAATCTAAATTAGAATCATTTTGTATCGTTAACGTCAATTTTTTTCTGTTTTTCGAACTGAACCCAATATTCAGACAGAGTATATGCAAATAAACTCTCGATGACAATATGGTCAATAAAGACAGCCGGGATTGCTATAAGTGTAGGCCTTTGTAGTGAAATCGGAAAATGTCAAGTTACAAAATCACTAAGGGGTCGTTGTCTATGGAGGCGTCCCGCTTTGAAGTCACAAAAATATGGTAACCCTAAATAAAATGCAGGTTTTATAATTATTACATAATATACAATGATTCATTTTAATGGGCGGGAGAAATGAAAGCATTGTTGGAATTCAATTTGATACTGTTGTTAAGTCACCGTTGTCTGGGAATCGTTAACAGACGACCAGGGGCGGACACCCGAGGGAGGGGGGGGGGGGGTCGGTTCCCCCAATAATTTTGCAAAAAATTTTAATATATACATGTTGCTTCCGCCTTACAGAATTATCATTTCCGAAAAGTGCGATAGTCAAGCGCATTTAAACGGTTAATAGTTACCGATATTATAACTGTTTTCTTACAGTAATGTGGACCAGGGCTCCTTCGGAGCACCTCGCATTTGTGAAACATGCGCGCCCGCACGGGTAATAATCACGCGCCACGGTTTTGCACAACTAATTCCTTTTTGTACAATTTAATATGGTTGTCTCATTGTCAAAATCTTTCAATAGTGTTATTGTTGGTACTTGCGAGAGAAGTGAAAGAGGTAAACTGTATTTCATTACAACAATTAATTATTATCGCTAAAAAATTAACTAGATCTAAAGTTGTTATAAACAATTTTCACCGCTGGACGTATCTTTTCACTTTATGGATTTCGTGCAAAGCCCAGCATAATTTGCGGACAATGCGGGCAGCGATTAAAGCATTTACTATGTCGAAACGCCTGTTCGACTTTTTAGACCACAGAAACTATCTAAAAAAGATCCCCCCACCCCTTCTGAATTTTTTTGAAAACTGAAAAAATCGCCAATAACGCGTGCAATTGCCTATTGCTAAAATCGCTGATTGTTTTCATCATTGTGACCTATTATTTAGGTCGTAAACGCCTTCGCGTTGGCGTTTATCCTCTCTAAATCACAAATTTTCCACAAATTTGTGACACGATGACTATGATAATTATTTTATTTTCGTACAAGCACGGACTTTTGAACCCGGCGAGAATTCTAATAAGTATCCATAAGTTGAAAAGCGGCAATATAAAATACTAAAAATAAAACTGTAAACAATTTAAGTTTTGTTGAGGCCTTTTTATCCATTACTTTTAAATTGACGTCGTTTTCGTGTTGACATTAAACAAAGCTGAGAACGCGACTTTTTCCCGGTTTGTGATGATATATATAAGATGATTAAAGCATATTCGATCAATGTTTGCATTTATTTATGTATTTTTATTGTACTGAAATAACTTTTACTACGTGAGAATTGACAGAAAATTTACGGATTTTTCAAAATGTTTTACCTTTAAAAATAATTAGAGTGACAACATTGCGATTGAGCGGAGCCAGTGTTACAAGTACATCTCAAATTTATCGAATTCGCAAAATAGGATACGGATCAAAACAATATATAAACAGGCAGTTTACCACACATTTTTTTCCCGCGGATTGCCGTGGTGTTTTAGAGTGGCTCTTGTTTTGTCGACTCAACCGCAGTTTAAATTGAAGACAATTAAATAGGCGGCTCTTTTAACGAGCGCAACCGCGGTATTGGGCAGTTCGACTTTGACCCCCCCCCCCTTTTTTTTTTAAATGCTGGCTGCGCGCCTGAACTTGTGCCTGTTTATTTTCGTATTAAATTATAAATAAAAACCCTGCAAATCATTGCGTGAATCCTGAATGTTATTTCGAGTTCAAATGATGATTTAATAAATCGGCAATAATGGCAATTCTATTAGTCAAATGATAATTCCTTGGTAAAATTTAGGAAAAAAATTCGCACAATAGCTTGTTACCTTGTTTTGCATTTCTAATTTTACGAAACGGCGTTGGTGCGCTTTATGCAGAACTAGGAATTGAAACAATAACCCAATACGACTCCTCAAATTTGTTATTTCTGTTTGTTAGCAAGAGCCGTGGGGTAATTCTCGCAGAATTCAAGAAATTGGCTCAGTGACGCGCAAGTTCCGCGTCTAAGCGAAGCATCCTAGGTACTCGATATATGAGTAGCAAAATGATATTCTATTACTTAGAGGATGACATCGACAGGTTATTCTTACGTGACGATACACAGCGCGGTGTTTTTCGGTAGGCGATCGAAGTTCCTCCCCCCAAAAATTATGGAAAGCGTCCGCCACAGCAGAGACATATTGGAATCTAACTGTAATTAATCTAAGGCAGTGGTTCTCAACCTTTTTACAGACCGCGTACCTTTACTGTTTTTTACTATGGCCGCTCACCACCGGCAAAGCCCCTTTTTTGGCGCGAAGAAAAAGACACAAGAAACGTGCTATGGGAGTATTTTATGATGTGGCACTACATCCTTTGTGGCGTAACACGCTAAACAGACAAAAACATGCCCATATCGCTTCATAAGGTGGACAATAGCGGACGAGGGCGATCTCTAAAAAAACATGCCCATATCGCTTCATAAGGTGGACAATAGCGGACGAGGGCGATCTCTAAAGACACCAGCGCTATGGACGTTTTCCCCCACCATTGACCCCGGAAAAAGTATCCCTATACTTTACTATTGCAAACTTTATGCTTTTTCTCAGAGTGTTGGCGCATATAAACTGGTTAAAGTGTTTGAGACCATCATTTGTATTAAATGCTCTTTGCCGAACTCGTTGATATATTTCCACGTCCACTTGCAGTCGATATACAGGTACATTTTCCTCATTGAGATAATTAAATATACTGATTTTTGAAGTTGCTGAACGTTTCTGGTTGTGGGTTCGCGAGTATTTGGTAGGCTTTGATTTTATGTAAATTGGAGTCACGAAAAAAAAGTTTGGGAACCACTGGCCTTATTTACCTACAGCATTCTCATCCCAGGCAAACTACACTGAAATAACAAAGAATATAATCAATAACAGGTAAACATTATAAAGTGCATCTGATTACAAAACAAATGAATAAAATTAAGAACATTGTACACAGAGACATACAGTAATATGAAATTGCTATTAAACTCAATGATAAAATTTGAACTTGAAGCATGGGAATAGAATAGATAGGAATAGAAAAGTGACTTGCATATTACAAAATCGTCCATGTAACTAATAATATATATCAATAATAATTCAAATTAATATTTATTAAAATAACAAAACTAAAGAAACGTGAAAAGGTTAGAAAACAAACTGTGAAACGCTTTTTGAGTTTCATTTCAAATAGACAAACCTTTTGACAAATAGAAAATGAACTGATCATAAATAGAATAAAGCTATTCAATGCCAAAACTACAAATATATATCATTATCCAAACAGCAACCAATTCATTTGATATTTGCTTTGTACATTCAAATAAAATATCAACAAAAGATCACTTTACTTTCACTATTCAATGTTCTTTATTAATTTGAAAATCAGGAACTCATTCCTTTCAAGCCAGAATAAACTTACTGTAGTAAAAATGCGACAAAGCAGTGAATTGAATTTCAACATTGAATATTCAAATTCAGTAAAGGCCACAGCAAGTAAACAAACAACATATTAAGAATTTCAAAATATTTCTCGGACTGCTTATAGAGTTGAGTGAATCATTACTCAAACCCACACAATCAGTATTCATCCCACTTCTACTCTTAATTAGATTTAAATGAGCAATAAATTTGTTAATCCTCTTACAACATATAAAACAAAGATTGTCAGCTGGGTTTGTAAGCTTTCAAAAGCAGATGCTACTTAATGCGATTACAAATGAAATGTCATAAACGCATCAACTGAATAAACGAGAATATCGGTTAGAAACCGAAGACTTATCGATCGATAGTTAGGGGATCCCCAAAACAGAAACTGCAGTTTCGATTCATCCGCTCTTGTAACTTGCGCACTGCGCATCGCACACACACACTCGGCGGGTTTCAAAATTCTCTCGCTTTACAAAAATCTAGATCACTATATCAATAATTGATTGATAACTCGCTAATTATACGACATAATTCGCCCAAAATCAATAGGTTTCTGGTCCGAGATAAGATGAATGCACATGCAAAATCTGGAGCAGATTCAATCTAGCTTTCGTGAGATATCGCGTGCATCTAACAGACACACAGACAGACAGACATACAGACAAATACCTATCAATATACTTACCGATCTTAAGATCGATAAGTAATTAAAATAAATCGCTGGAAGAGACTCAAGTACTATATGCCACATTTTGAGATTTGTAATCATGATTTTTGTAATTGTTTGGTTATAACAGCCACACCTAAAAATGGACATAGTAGGTTCTTTCTGAAATCAAAACCAAAACAGAACTGAAACCCTGACCCTACTCCATAACGACAGAAGATCAAGAAAGTCCATTTCTGAAAACTGTAAAATCAGCTACTTTAGTTTTACTGCGATGACATGTGTACAATAACATAATTATAAAATATACATTCACAGTAAATGTGACAGTTGAGCTTTATATGAAAACTCAAAACAGTATCTAGGCAGTGGATTTTCAAAGTTATACCCTTGATGCATATAAAAATAGTTGTATGTTTGCATAAGGGGAACACTATGCTAATCACGCAATAAAATTTTACTTACAGTGGAATCATGAACTGAAAAACTTGCTGGATATCACCAAAAATAATAAACACATAAAATAAAAAAGTTGTTGAATACAGATTAAAAAAAGTAAATATACATAGAAACATTTCAATTATCAAAATTACGATCAGATATTTAAGAAATTCAAGGTGGATAACACGCATGGATTGGAAATATATATTCAACAACAAGGCAATAATATTAAAAGACACTTTTCCCAATTTATATATACCATTCAAAAGGAAGTATTAAATTCTAAGCTGAAACAAAATAAATATAATATACTAAAGGGCGGCCTGGTCACATTAATCATAACTTCAATATAGGCTATGCCAAATGCCCTTCTCAATAATCAGAATTTTATATTCCTACATGGCTTTCATTAAATACACATACCGTATATATAGTCATTGGCCAATGGCCATACGATTCTTTTTACAAAATACCAAATGTTTTGCAATTCATCGCTACTCTCAGGCGTTCTTCTAAAACCTCTTTGCTGGAATACAAAGTCAGCTCCAGAGTCAGAAAACATGTTTGAACTACTGGTAAAAGAGCATCATTTAGATTTCCTTCGTCATCAAATACTTCATATATTTTCAGTTTATCTTTTATCCCCTCAAGTGGGACTATATCAGTTCCAGTAAGGAAGATTAGAAGCTTTGCTTTATCTTCTTCTGTCATATGGTGAACTATTTCCCAGAACCAATCACACACTTGTTTGAAAGTGTCGGAAAGTGGATGAATCACAGCATTCTTCTGAAGTTTTTTCCAATTCAATTTTTTTTTATACGCTGATACCCGCATTAATTCCTCGGGCCGAAAAAGTTTCATAACTGGACTGGTACACACCTTTTCAAAACCCTTTTTAAAGCTATCAAACTGTTTTTTGATAGATTTATTAAGTACATAATCAACTTGTAGTTTCACATATTCATTTTTGTTTGAGTTGGTAACAGCCAAATGTTGACCACGCTTTTTCAAAGGTTCGCCACTATTTGAAACAAAATGATATTTGTGTTTATCTTGCACAATCTCTTCACTGTCAATTAACTTCTGCAAACTATTGCCAAATGATGGAAATATTTGCTTGAAATCATCAAGATTTATTTCAACTCCTTGTAATTTTTTATACAAAGCAAGAGGGAACATCATACTTGCAAGAGGGTAGTCCATTATTGCAGTGTTATAGAGAGCGAGCCCACATAGCATGCCGACGTAATAATACTTTGTTTCATCAGTGTTGTTAGTGAACCACATCATACGAGATTTTTCATCTTCAATGAATAGTCCAGAGCTGGGTTGGCATATTTCTTGGAAAACAAGCCTAAAAAATTCTTTTGTCAACCCATCATAGTCCATTCCTTCTTCCCCTTCGAAAACAATGTACAGTTTCAAGGCTGGATCTTTTATAAAATCCAATTGTTTAATAGCATCTTCGAAAACATTTTCCCTGTTCACTATCAACTCGCTATAAACCGGAAAGATATAAAATGGCAGTGCATGAGATAGATCGCATGATAGCAAATCTTTTTTCACCCCAATATTGAACAGAAATGGGCATGAAAATATCAATGGAGTTTTGTTCTGTTTCTTTTGTCTCATCTGTTCATTCAAAAATTCCAGACTAAATTTGACAGAAAGGTAGAATTCATCAAAAGAAATGATGTGATGCTTACAATTCAATTTATGTAATTTCTTTACTAAATTCAGTTCATTTTGAACAGCATCACTCGAGACCTCAAATTTTTTCAACAAACCATCTGCAATATGTATACAGCACAATTTAACAAGTGCTGAAAACACTGATGAAGATGTTTTATACCAACTGGAAAGTTCCCCCCAATATTTTGCTTTCATTGTAACCAGTTTTCTAATGAAGAGAAAGAAGCATTTAGCTCTGCTGACAACACATTTGATGGGTGAAATCAAAAACGGCATCAGAAGGAAATATTTAAGTGACTCTGTATCTGGATCATCTTTAGGACGACGAGATAAAACATTGTCACACAGAACTTTAACAATAAGTTTTTCAACTGCTTCATTTTTGCTTTCAAAGATTTGAGACAAAAGTGTTTCAACTTTATCGAAATCAAAACTGCGAGAGACAACTTCATTCCTTACAACCTCCAAGTGGAACGAACCAGTCAAACATTTTTGTGATGATATAATTGAAATGAGTTTTTGCTCGATATCAGCTGGCATTTCACTATTTCTTGGCAGTTTTTGTTACTATTCTGCTTTGTTCATTTCAAGCACTGCATTCTTTCACTTTCGTTTTGCTTCATTTATTATGTTCGCTCAGGCGTGAATAATTTTCTATTGTGTTTTGTCTTCTGTTTTTACTGTTTGGGCAGCATGCTCATTATTAGTTTGTGGTTTCGTTAATCTGTATTAATCGATGTATTGACTTTGAACTGAGTTGTATTGTCAACTTTACATGGTAACAGAGGAAAATGACTTCCAAACAAATACCACCACCAAGGTTTGGAGGCGGTACTAGCTATGCAGAATGGAAAAATAAGTTGGACATGTGGATTTCCATAACAGAAGTGCCAAAGGAAAAGCAGGCAATTTTGGTGCGTCTGCAGTCGCTTGATGGAAATAATAAAGCTGAGAAAGCTGTGTCAGAGTTAACTAGTGAACAGTTGAAAGATGATGATGGGTTGGACAAACTTCTTGGAAAACTTGATGGTGCATTTCAGTCAGAGAAAACTGATGAGGCCTATTTAGCCTACACGCTATTTAGTAAATATCAGAAAAGTTCTGATATTTCAATGGTGGATTTTATCCTGGAGTTTGAACACCGGTATGCTAGACTTGTAAAATATGACATGAAGCTACCAGATACCATTCTGGCTTTTAAGATATTAGATGCTGCAGGCCTAACTGATCAACAGCGCCAAATGGTTCTTACTGTTGGAAGCGACTTGAAGTTCGAATCTATGAAATCAGCCTTAAAAAGGATTCTTTCAAAGCAAGATGGCGATGAAAAGAATTATGATTTTGATGAAGATGATGTTGCATCGAATATTAAAAAGGAAAATGCATTTGTGACTCGTGATACCGGTACTGGTAGGCCAAAATTTAAGAAAGAATTTTTTAAAGAGAGATCGAGATACGACACCGGTAGTGGCGGAGGAGCAAAGCAGCGATACAAGCATCATGAATCGACAGTAAAAGCTCAACTGAATCCACGGGACAAATACGGAAATATATCTAGATGTGCAATTTGTGAATCAAAAATGCACTGGGCCAAACAATGTCCACATAAGAAGAATCAAGTTTATTGTTCCGATGCGCAAGATGGTGTTTGCGAACAAATACAAATGGTTTTGATAACAGATGAAAATTCTTCAGATATTTTTGAAGTTGAAGCTGCCAAGGCTGCAATAGTAGATACTGCTTGCACGAAGACAGTAGCTGGTAAAAAATGGTTCAGGAATTATCTTGGGCTCTTAAACGAAAACTTGTCGAGCAGAGTTGAGATTTTTCCCTCAATGAAGAGATTTAAATTTGGAGATGGGAAAGAAATTCAAGCTGAGAAAAAGGCTATAATTCCTGTACAAATTGGCCGAACGTTGCTGAGAATGGAGGTTGAAATTGTGAATGAAGAAAACTTGCCATTGTTACTCAGCAAAAGCACACTAAAGCGTGCAGGCACTGTACTTGACATGCAGAACGATCGTGCGGTAATGCTCAAGCAAGATCTTAAGTTGCATTTATCTACCAATGGACATTATACGGTAGATATACTGCCTAAAATGAAGGCAGAAGTTGGTTGTCGTAATGAAATCCTTGCATCAGAAAGCACTGGGCATAAAGAATTTGGGAAAGCTGAAATTACAAAATTGCATAAACAGTTCGGCCATGCGTCACAAGACAAATTAAAGAAGCTCATTCAGAATGCAGGAAAATGGAATGCAGATCTTTCGAGCCTGATTGAAGAAACAGTCAGTGATTGTGAAATATGTAAAGTTTACAAAAAACCTTCGCCACGTCCAGTTGTAGGACTTTCATGGGCAAATGATTTTAATCAAACAGTGGCGGTCGATCTACATCAGCTAGGTTCTGATATGTGGTATTTGCATATGATTGATCACTTCACTCGATACAGTAGAGCTGCCATTGTGAGAAATAAATTTTCATCAACAATTGTAAAGAAATTCATGCAAAATTGGATCAGCATTTTTGGAAGTCCGGCTCGTATTCTGAGTGACAACGGCGGAGAATTTGATTCTGAAGTGTTCAAAGATATGTGTGGAAATTTTAATATAACATTCACGACGACAGCTGCATACTCACCGTGGTCTAATGGACTCTGCGAGCGACACAATAGGACATTGACAGAAACATTGATGAAGGTTAAGGCAGCTGAGAAATGTGATATGGAAACTGCACTTGCTTGGGCTGTTAGCGCAAAAAACTCACTTGTGAATAACAATGGCTTCAGCCCTAACCAGCTCGTGTTTGGAAGGAATCCCACTTTGCCATCAGTTACTCATGATGACCCACCTGCCTTGGAAGGTGAATCTATAAGTCTCACTGTAGCCAATAATATATTTGCAATGCAAGCTGCCAGGAAAGCAGTTATTGAATCAGAATCTTCCGAAAAAATAAGAAGAGCATTACGAACACAAACCCGACAGACTCGGGATGAATTCTTCACGGGAGAAGAGGTTTATTATAAGAGAGAGGATCAAAAACGTTGGAAGGGCCCTGCAAAAGTAATTGGGCAAGATGGACCGGTTATTTTTATACGACATGGCGGACAGCTAATCAGAGCACATTCATGCAGAGTCCAGCATGCCAACCGTTATCTTCAGGATTTTCCTCGGACAAAGGAGGTTTGCATTCCAACAGATTCTAATGATGGAATTGACGCTTCGTCTAATGGTAATGATCATATAGAAGATGAGGAACAGTCTGTTCCAGAAATTTCAAATGAAAGCAATGATTCTGAAAATATGGATAATGACCAAAGTGCAATTGGCAATCCAGTTCAAGCAGCAACTGGTGGCAGACGTAATCTCAACTTGACTAAAGGCAAAATTGTCTCTTTTACATTAGCTGGTGAAGACTATGAAGCCAAAATCCTGAGTCGTGCAGGTAAATCAACCGGGAAATATGGGAAAAGCTATAATGTTGAATATTGTAATCCAGAAAGTTTTAGAGGAAAATCTGGGTACGTAGATTTTGATAAAGTGGAAAATCTGAACGAGAAGGAAATGGATGAAAACACTCGTGAAGATGTGTTGGTCTTGGAAAATGTTGACTTTCTAGAAGCAAAGAAGTCAGAGTTGAAAAGCTGGAGACAAAATAAGGTCTACAATGAAGTCGAAAATGTTGGTCAACCAACAATTTCCGTACGATGGGTGTGTTCAATGAAAGATACTGAAGATGGAATCATTCCCAAAGCCAGACTTGTCGCAAGAGGCTTTGAAGAACAAACTGACGATATTGCTAAAGAATCGCCCACCTGTTCAAAAGATTCACTCAGGGTTCTTATTGCCATTGTCGCACAAAAGAAATGGAAGCTTCATACGATTGACATTAAAACAGCTTTCTTACAGGGAAATTGTGTGGATAGAGAAATATTTTTAAAGCCTCCCAAAGAGGCTGGAACTACCAAGCTATGGAAACTAAACAAATGTGTTTATGGGTTAAGTGATGCATCACTCAAATGGTACAATCGACTAAAGAAGTTTCTCGTTGACCAAGGAGCAAAAGTATCAGCATCTGATTCAGCAGTATTCTATGTATACTGCAATGGGGAATTACAAGGAATAGCTGGGATTCATGTTGATGATATTCTGTGGTCTGGCACAGAGTATTTTGAGAACAATTTGATTTCGAAACTGAGGTCAACATTTCTAATTAGCTCGGAGAAAAACGAGGCATTCAAATATTTGGGACTAGACGTACAACAATCAGCCGATGAAATATTGATCAATCAAGAATTGTATGTAAAAAACCTTGAGACCATAAAAGTGACCTCAGATGATGCAGAGTGTCTTTCGTCTTCTCAAATAGATATTTTAAGAGCGAATATTGGCCGTCTTCTTTGGGCAAGCAATCAGACACGTCCTGACGTGAGCTATGATGTTTGTCAGCTTGCTTCTAACCTTAAAGATGGGAAGAAAAAAGATTTGCTCTATATAAACAAGATAATAAGAAGACTGAAAAACCAGCAATTATCATTGAAATACAAAAATTTAGGAAATGATGAATTATTAAAGATTGTCGTCTTCGCTGATGCTGCTTATGGTAACCTGAGAGATGGTGGAAGCCAAGGTGGCAATTTGGTGTTCTTGGTTGGAGAAAATAATGAATGCTCTCTGCTAAGCTGGCAGTCCAAGAGGATTCGTCGCGTTGCCAAAAGTACTCTCACAGCGGAAACACTGTCATTGTCAGACGCAGTTGACAATGCTGTTTTTATCAAAGATATGTTTGCGGAGATATATTTTGGAAAACTCAAAAGCCTACAACTCGATGTCATAACCGACAATCGATCACTATGTGAAGCACTCCGATCCAGTAAAATGTTTCCAACAAACGCTTACGAGTTGAAATAGGGATGCTGAAGGAGATGATTCAAAACAAAGAAATCAACAGCATAAGCTGGGTCGAATCGAAAAAAACAATTGGCTGATGTTCTTACCAAAAAAGGGGCATCTCCTGAACGACTTGTTCAAACGCTTACCCTCGGACAATTACATCTTTCCTAAACTTAAAATAAAACACAGTGAATTTGTTACTATTCTGCTTTGTTCATTTCAAGCACTGCATTCTTTCACTTTCGTTTTGCTTCATTTATTATGTTCGCTCAGGCGTGAATAATTTTCTATTGTGTTTTGTCTTCTGTTTTTACTGTTTGGGCAGCATGCTCATTATTAGTTTGTGGTTTCGTTAATCTGTATTAATCGATGTATTGACTTTGAACTGAGTTGTATTGTCAACTTTACAGTTTTGATATAATTTTGCAATAATTTTCATCCAAGGTCAAAATATGTTGATCTGAATCAAGTATCCTGAAATCTTGTTGCTGTAAAATGTCAGCACCGACTGATTTTTCTAACAAAACAACTGTCTGAATACCACCTGCAAATACTTGTTTTACTTTATTGTTACCATTCTCATCACTACTTTGTGGTATATTAACCATCATGGGATCTGGAATTTTGTCTTTTTTGATTCCAATACCAAGTTGTCCATCTGAACAACTTCCAAACGCAAAAACCTGCTTACAATCAGGGCTAAAAGCAACGGTGTGATTTTGCCCACAAGCGATTTGTGTTACAACACTTCCACTGAATTCCTCGACTTGCTTTGGTTTTGACTCATTGTTACATGGAACACCATGTCCCAACTGGCCAAATGCTCCAAGACCGAAAGAAAACATCTGTCCATCCCTTGTTAATAAAGCACTGTGATAGTCACCAGCTGAAACATAAGCAATGGGAAGTTTTGATGACATTTTTATAATCAGTGGAGAAGAATGATCCATGAAATCTCCGACGCCTAACTGGCCAAAATTATTTCTTCCCCATGAATACAAGATTCCTGATAGCGATAAACAAAAAGAATGCCAACCGCCTGCTGCAATCCTCAAAATGGGAACATTCTCCAAAGTGGTGATACGTTCTGGCTCATTCACAGGACATTTGTTTTTAAGACCAAGCTGTCCATATTCATTATCTCCCATTGAAAACAAATCCCCATTTTTCAAGAGTATCAAAGTATGAGTATTTCCACAAGCGACCTGCACCACTTTCTTCTTGTTAGTGAATGGAACACTCATTGGTAGAGACACAAAATCATCCGCATCTGTTAGACCTAGCTGTCCGTGATCATTACAACCCCATGCATAAGCTATTCCATTTTCATCAATCACGAACACTTGGCCATGTACACCAGCATGGATATTCAGAATTTTTATATCTTTTATAACATTAAGTAATTCGTTATCTGCATGTGTATCTTTCTCCGCTACATAGGCCCTAATTGTTCCATCATGGTAGAGAATGTAAGCATTGTCACCTGTGAGAGCAACATTCTTGATACAATCACCTGCTATTGAAAGTTTTTCCAATGACGTTACATCTTGTTTCCGACCGAGGGAATCCACCAGCGCACCCTTTCCACATGTCAGCATGTTGTCTATCATTTACTTTTGTTGCATATATATCTGAAAGATAAAATATAACATTTCAATTTGCTTGATACAGATAGAAACATAAATTTAAAACATTGCCTGTTCCACAACAGAAAGATAGTGAAGCAAAACAGAATAATGAACAGCAATACATACAGCCTGATAGTGTACTTCTCTCAATAACCAGTGATAATTCAATATAACCAAAATCAATTGAAATACTTGAAAATAGGAGCACAAACAATACACAAATCTTAAATATATGACACCAAGGCTGTTTATAACCTTGAGTAATAAATACATTTGTCATTTATGGGGATCCAATTTCAAAAAGGATGAGGCACAATTTTAACCAGACAAACTAGTACTTGATTACATTTTTGATAACAGTTTGCTCGTTACAGGATCAAAAGCTCACAAAAGCAAAATAAAATACTAGGAATCACTAGGATCCACATAAAATTAATGGGGATGAAAATATTGAACACAACTATGAACTACTACAGAAACAAATATATAGACGGAATGGATGATATAGGACTAGATGTAGACGACGAAGAAGTCCTATATGTATATGGCGAAGAAAAATTTCAAATGTTATGAAAGAAAAGTGAAAACAAAAAAGAGGTTGAAATTAAAAAGATTGGTTCATCACAATCAAGATAACATTTTTATGTTTATGTGACCAAGAAATTCCCATAAACTTATATGTAGATCGCCGAGTCAAAGTTTTATATTCAAGCCTCCAAGAGACAGGAGTTGGCTATAAATATTCAAAAAAATTAAATTGACTATAAAAGAATAATTGCATTCGCCAAGTTTTTATTATCAAAAAATGTTTTCCATACAAGTTCGGGAGCAGTAGATAGAGTTTGACATTTTGAACATATTTAGAGTTGGAGTCAAACATTAATATATTTATAGAGATATTATAAAAATGCTTCATTTCTGAAAAATATCCAAAATAATCAAATATTGAAATAAATAAGAAAGAAAACAATGAATATAGAATAATTGCATTCGCCAAGTTTTTATTATCAAAAAATATTTTCCATACAAGTTCGGGAGCAGTAGATAGAGTTTGACATTTTGAACATATTTAGAGTTGGAGTCAAACATTAATATATTTATAGAGATATTATAAAAATGCTTCATTTCTGAAAAATATCCAAAATAATCAAATATTGAAATAAATAAGAAAGTTAACAATGAATATAGGGTCTTAAGAATTTTTTAAATTGCAAAGGGAATTTATTGATAACTTATATTGTTTTGGCCATCACAGATGTATTGAATGAAGTAAAAATACCTAAACAATCACTAATTTAAAATTAACAAACCTGGTTGAGAGTAGATATATTGAGAACTGACTTCATAAAAAAATTGAAAGGAACTTTAGGGACACCCTGTATTATGAAACATAATATATGTGCAGATTGTATAATGAATTTTGACAGCGAATATAATTGGACAAAATTTCCTGTTAACACCAAGAGCGCTATGGGATTTTCAAACAAAACTCAATACATTCTATGCAGATTTAATTCAGGCGACGGCTGTTTTTCTTAAATAATTTGATTATTTGATTTGTCAAAAACATGAAAGAAGCATAAGCATATTTGTAATAAATACAACACATTTCCTTACAACATACAACACATACATAAATTATACTGATAATCATTTTTCAGTGTGAATAACAAACAAAGGAAATTACACACCACATAAATGGGTGAGTACAAGACATTCATACCAGATAATGTGGTGTCACATATGCTAGTTACCCCTAAAACAATCTTTTGCATTGCAAGTTTCAAGCTTGATTACAAAAACCATTCACACACAAATAATTCTTCAAATTCAAATCAGATAAATATACATGAACAAATTATAATAATCCATAAATGTAATCTTTGAATTGGCATCAGTCACTTTAAATGAAATCCCTTGCATTGAATCGCCAGATTTAACCGATCTTCCAAAACTACTTTACTTGAATAAACGGGTAATTGAAGAATATTATAACAGGTCATGGCAATCGGCAATAACTTATCATTAGCTTCAATCTGCTGTATCTCAAATTTGAATCCAGATACAGGCACCTTGTTGGAAGCGGTCAGAAATATGAGAAATTGCTCTTTCTCTTCATCATTAAAACTAAGCAATACTTCCCAAAACCATTCGCACACTTCACTAAATTCATCTGAAACTGAAAAAGCATCCATGGACGCTTTCACTTCTTCCCAACTAAAATCTTGTTTACCAACTACCATTTCCATGAGCTCTTCTGGTCTGAAAATATCAAAAATTTCACCAGAGCAAGCTTTAGAAAAACCGTTTTGAAATGAGCTAAACTGCTTTTCAACAGATTTATTCACAACATAGTTCACACAGAGTCGTACATATTCATCTCTATTTACAGATGTAACAGGTATTTCATGTCCATTGGGTTTCAATGGAACACCCTTAGATGACACGAAGGTAAGTTCAAAAACTTCTTCAACTGTTTGGTCCTCTTGTTCTTCAAAATCAAGTATTTGTTGTAAGCTATTGCCAAATGTTGGTTCAAATTCCTTGAAGTCATCAAGGTCTGGCTCCTGTCCTAATAACTTTTTATACAAGACAAGTGGGAAATTTGCATTTACAACAGTGTTGTTACACAGAGCAATGCCACACAGCTTTCCCACAAGATTGTATAATGGTTCCTTTGCATCAATGTAAGAAGTAGAAAACCACAAGTAATTTGAATCATCATTCTCAGAAAACAATTCATAATTGGTCAACAGTTCCGGCATAATAAGCATGAAATATTCCTTATTTATTGCTCCATCATCTATTCCCTCTTCGCCCTGAAACTGAACATAAAATGGCCGGCTCAAATTTTCAACATTTTGCAACTGTTGCACAGAGTCAGCGACGAGTGATGACCTGTTAACAGATATACGTATTTTGGGAGGTAAACCCAAAAAAGGTAGAAATTGACCAAACATGATATCTATTCTTTCTTGAAAATTTGCTTTATTCTTCCTGTTTTTTGCATCCAACAGAAGTAGAGTAGCTTTAGACTTCGCATCACCAAGAAAGGGGTATTTCAGAAGTAAAATACGGACAACTTCCAGGTTACTTTTTATGAATTGTTCGGTTAAAGAAAGGTGAAATGCTTTATAACTAGTGATTTTAGATATTTCATTATGGCTGTTTAGTATTTTCATAACATTTTGGCATCTCAGCCCGGCATCTCCACCAGTGAGAAAAAGATATCCTAAGTTATCAAGCATCAATGCTTTGCCTAAATGTACAATATTGACAAAGGCCACTTCTGATGACTTATGCCATCTTTCCAAAACTTTCCAGACAACTTTTTCCATATGTGACAGTTTAATGAAGAAGAAACGGATCATTTCTAACTTCTGAACCGAGTCCTCCATATGCTCAAATACCATTGGCAAAGTAATATACAGTCTGATAGCATCCAAATCAGGTGGATCCGTATCCAAGCTCCGCAGCATCTCAAAGAGGTACTTCATAATAGTTTCTGAGAACTTACATCCACACATCAGCTTCAACACTTCACTTGCTTGATCAAGGTGGACCCCATGGTGATAGTGATTGGTCACTTGATTGAGGTCAGCAAATGAACTATTCCAACAACTTTTTGAATTTATCACTGAAATAATATCGGTTTCATCTTCCACATTTTCAAGGGTGCTGCAAAATACTTTTTCAAATTTTACAACACCAACTTCATCACCAATGGCCCTGAAATCTGATGGTGATGAATCAGGTATATTTGAAGTCAAGATGTAGGTTTGATTGCCTGCAGAACATATTCTGAAAACAGAGACAGTAGCTTCTTCATGTTTCGATGACCAAGAACCGTTAACAATTTCAGGAGTTTGAACTTTCTCAACCAATTTTCCAAGACCAAGCTGACCATGTTCACAGTTTCCAAAGGTAAAAACCTGTCCACAACCAGGAACAAACGCGACAGTGTTATTATTACCGCATGCAATCTGAGTAACGACGCTGCCTTTGAATTCTTCAACTGGTTTTGGAACCGATGTATTATTCGAGTCACCGTGGCCTAATTGTCCACTGGAATTAAGTCCAAAAGTCAGCATTTCTCCTTTCCTTGTTAAAATTGCACTATGGTTATCACCTGCTGAAATATGAGCAACTGGATCTTCTGTAGACAACTTCATCAACTTTGGGGAAGCATGGCCAACAAAATCACCTACACCCAGTTGGCCATGATCGTTTTTCCCCCAAGAAAATACCCTGATATAGTGACACAAAATGAATGCCATCCACCAGCTGCAAGTAGTATTACTGGCAAACCTTCAAACGAATCTATTATCGTTGGTTCAGTAACAGGACGCTTATTTCGTAAACCAAGTTGTCCATGCTTATTATCACCCACAGAATATACTTCACCATATTTGAGCAGTATCAATGAATGTGACTGGCCGCATGCAACATGAACAACCTTTTTTGTAGTAAAGATATCAAGCTGTGTAGGTACCTGGATAGTGTTAACATCTTTTAGCAAGCCCAACTGACCTTGGCTATTAGAACCCCATGCATATATTATGCCTTGTTCATCGATTGCAAACGCATGATCACCGCCGGCAAAAACATTTACTATTTTGACTGCTTTCAGGACTTCCCTTTTTACGACCTTTGAACTTTCTTCTGTATCTAGTAAATATTCATGAAGAGTTCCATCAGACAATAGAACGTATGAATTGAAATTGCCATTCACTATTTTTTTGATGTTTGGGTCTTCTAACGCAACTGATTCAGGCGAGAGTAACTGACACTTGGGATGGTAATAATCCAATATGGCACCTTTCCCAAACCCAAACATGATTTGGTAGAGAAAGATATTGCCTTATAACAATGCCTAATCATAAGCAGATAACAACAATAAGAAACATTAAAAAAAATAGGGCAGCGAATGTTTTTAATAAACAAATGGAAGTTTGAAAAGTATGAGCTGGATTTGTTTTCAAAGCTAGAGAAGTTCGAGGAGTTATTTTTAAAAGTCATTCAGAACTTTTCAACCAATAGTTTCGCCGCTATGAGTTATTTCAGTATTTAGGTTGAGTTTTGAAATATTTCAGTACCCTCTGACCCTACACCATTCCAATAAAAATAAGTTTTAAAATTCAAAGAAACTCTGTGGGATTTTAGGTTCTAAATAAGATTATATGAAAACTTGAGTTCCCAATATACTCAGAGATTTATGAAATAGAGATTTCATAATTAACATACATATTGAAGAAAGTTTGTTCAATTTTTATAATCACAGGAATCAAGTTACTACTAAGTTGGTATAACCTATAGAGACACTCTAATCTAAGGTAAAACATTATTAGGACATATTACAGTACTGCAGTAGTATTATATGTTATCGCACTTCGAAGTATCGGTTTAAAATTTAGTACGATAGGTACGAAACCACACGAGATCCCTTTGAATGACCCTAATGACAAAATAAAATATTATTTTTTGGATAATCACCATTTGTCTGTTTGTGTTGTTAAACGTGAACAGATACAGAATAAACTAAAAACATCTGCATAGGAAGTCACATCACAAAAATTGAAAACTTGACCAAATCAAAATGTTTGTACCAGTATACAGATAATTCAGTTATATCAATTCATCTGCAGAACTGTCTTCCAATAGATACTACTAAAAGAATAAGCACATAAAAGTAGGCGTACCTGGTTTTCATGTTGTATCCTGTTTTTTCTTTTAAAACGGATCATGCTTGATGGAACAAAGAGACAATAAAATAATGTTTTCGATTCTGGGTCTTTCCCTCATTCAGGACCGGGGATTATAATGTACGCTCCTCAGCAGCATTACGCAACCGCGTTTGATTACCGAATAATCGCATGACTCGAGATCAAAGGTGACGAACACAAGGTCCCTGACTCGATTTTATTACTTCCGTGAATTTGCAGACAGTTGATCCATAATTCTACTGAATATTCAGCAATTAGACTACGGCCGGTTCTCAAATGAAGCTGAAGCATCTTCATTGGATGGCCTTTGACCCCAAGGAAATTGTTTCTATATTTTATCATTGCAAAATTTCTGAAACCTATTTTGAGACGGCACTTACAAGCTAGTTTACGTGTTTCAAACCATTATTTTTTTATGGTTCCAACAAAGTGGAATTTTAAATAATTAAACAATAAATAAGATAATAAATAAGGGGTACATGTATGTACATACATCAATCACATGTATTTTTATTAAATCCAGGGTGTTCCGTTGTTCATCGAGTTGACTTCACAGTTTAATTTTAATTAGTTATTTTTTAATTGGAAACAAAAAAAAAACTAAGAGTTATTAAAAGCCATAAGTTATTGCATATCATGTCAAGTTTTTTTGTGTAAAAACATCGTTTTCTAAATTTTTCTATGTTTCTCCTAGCTAAAAGAGAGTTTGTTATCTTCACTATAACATTATTTACGTTTGGTAAAATATTTTGAAAAATTACAGCATTGCGCTCCAACCATATTTTATATCGTGCAGTACACAATAACAATACAATAGCATTACGTTCTAAAATTGATAAATGAGAATTACAGTGATTATTTAAGTCCAATAAAATTAGGCTTACCATACGTCCCGCTTTATCGCTTCCCCCAATAATTTCGCAAAAAATTTTAATATATACATGTTGCTTCCGCCTTACAGAATTATCATTTCCGAAAAGTGCGATAGTCAAGCGCAATTAAACGGTTAATAGTTACCGATATTATAACTGTTTTCTTACAGTAATGTGGACCTGGGCGCCTTCGGAGCACCTCGCATTTGTGAAACATGCGCGCCCGCACGGGTAATAATCACGCGCCACGGTTTTGCACAACTAATTCCTTTTTGTACAATTTAATATGGTTTTCTCATTGTCAAAATCTTTCAATAGTGTTATTGTTGCCACTTGCGAGAGAAGTGAAAGAGGTAAACTGTATTTCATTACAACAATTAATTATTATCGCTAAAAAATTAACTAGATCTAAAGTTGTTATAAACAATTTTCACCGCTGGACGTATCTTTTCACTTTATGGATTTCGTGCAAGGCCCAGCATAATTTGCGGACAATGCGGGCAACGGTTAAAGCATTTACTATGTCGAAACGCCTGTTCGACTTTTTAGACCACAGAAACTATCTTAAAAAGATCCCCCCACCCCTTCTGAATTTTTTTGAAAACTGAAAAAATCGCCAATAACGCGTGCAATTGCCTATTGCCAAAATCGCCGATTGTTTTCATCATTGTGACCTATTATTTAGGTCGTAAACGCCTTTGCGTTGGCGTTTATCCTCTCTAAATCACAAATTTGTGACACGATGACTATGATAATTATTTTATTTTCGTACAAGCACGGACTTTTGAACCCGGCGAGAATTCTAATAAGTATCCATAAGTTGAAAAGCGGCAATATAAAATACTAAAAATAAAACTGTAAACAATTTAAGTTTTGTTGAGGCCTTTTTATCCATTACTTTTAAATTGACGTCGTTTTCGTGTTGACATTAAACAAAGCTGAGAACGCGACTTTTTCCCGGTTTGTGATGATATATATAAGATAATTAAAGCATATTCGATCAATGTTTGCATTTATTTATGTATTTTTATTGTACTGAAATAACTTTTACTACGTGAGAATTGACAGAAAATTTACGGATTTTTCAAAATGTTTTACCTTTAAGAATAATCAGAGTGACAACATTGCGATTGAGCGGAGCCAGTGTTACAAGTACATCTCAAATTTATCGAATTCGCAAAATAGGATACGGATCAAAACAATATATAAACAGGCAGTTTACCACACATTTTTTTCCCGCGGATTGCCGTGGTGTTTTAGAGTGGCTCTTGTTTTGTCGACTCAACCGCAGTTTAAATTGAAGACAATTAAATAGGTGGCTCTTTTAACGAGCGCAACCGCGGTATTGGGCAGTTCGACTTTGACCCCCCCCTTTTCTTTTTTTTTTAAATGCTGGCTGCGCGCCTGAACTTGTGCCTGTTTATTTTCGTATTAAATTATAAATAAAAACCCTGCAAATCATTGCGTGAATCCTGAATGTTATTTCGAGTTCAAATGATGATTTAATAAATCGGCAATAATGGCAATTCTATTAGTCAAATGATAATTCCTTGGTAAAATTTAGGAAAAAAATTCGCACAATAGCTTGTTACCTTGTTTTGCATTTCTAATTTTACGAAACGGCGTTAGTGCGCTTTATGCAGAACTAGGAATTGAAACAATAACCCAATACGACTCCTCAAATTTGTTATTTCTGTTTGTTAGCAAGAGTCGTGGGGTAATTCTCGCTGAATTCAAGAAATTGGCTCAGTGACGCGCAAGTTCCGCGTCTAAGCGAAGCATCCTAGGTACTCGATATATGAGTAGCAAAATGATATTCTATTACTTAGAGAATGACATCGACAGGTTATTCTTACGTGACGATACACGGCGCGGTGTTTTTCGGTAGGCGATCCAAGTTCCTCCCCCCAAAAATTATGGAAAGTGTCCACCCCAGCAGAGACATATTGGAATCTAACTGTATTTAATCTAAGGCAGTGGTTCTCAACCTTTTTATAGACCGCGTACCTTTACTGTTTTCTACTATGGCCGCTCACCCACGGCAAAGCCCCTTTTTTGGCGCGAAGAAAAAGACACAAGAAACGTGCTATGGGAGTATTTTATGATGTGGCACTACATCCTTTGTGGCGTAACACGCTAAACAGACAAAAACATGCCCATATCGCTTCATTTAAGGTGGGCAATAGCGGACGAGGGCGATCTCTAAAGACACCAGCGCTATGTACGTTTTCCCCCACCATTGACCCCGGAAAAAGTATCCCTATACTTTACTATTGCAAACTTTATGCTTTTTCTCAGAGTGTTGGCGCATATAAACTGGTTAAAGTGTTTGAGACCATCATTTGTATTAAATGCTCTTTGCCGAACTCGTTGATATATTTCCACGTCCACTTGCAGTCGATATACAGGCACATTTTCCTCATTGAGATAATTAAATATACTGATTTTTGAAGTTGCTGAACGTTTCTGGTTGTGGGTTCGCGAGTATTTGTAGGCTTTGATTTTATGTAAATTGGAGTCACGAAAAAAAAGTTTGGGAACCACTGGCCTTATTTACCTACAGCATTCTCATCCCAGGCAAACTACACTGAAATAATAAATGAATATAATCAATAACAGGTAAACATTATAAAGTGCATCTGATTACAAAACAAATGAATAAAATTAAGAACATTGTACACAGAGACATACAGTAATATGAAATTGCTATTAAACTCAATGATAAAATTTGAACTTGAAGCATGGGAATAGAATAGATAGGAATAGAAAAGTGACTTGCATATTACAAAATCGTCCATGTAACTAATAATATATATCATTAATAATTCAAATTAATATTTATTAAAATAACAAAACTAAAGAAACGTGAAAAGGTTAGAAAACAAACTGTGAAACGCTTTTGAGTTTCATTTCAAATAGACAAACCTTTTGACAAATAGAAAATGAACTGATCATAAATAGAATAAAGCTATTCAATGCCAAAACTACAAATATATATCATTATCCAAACAGCAACCATTCATTTGATATTTGCTTTGTACATTCAAATAAAATATCAACAAAAGATCACTTTACTTTCACTATTCAATGTCCTTTATTAATTTGAAAATCAGGAACTCATTCCTTTCAAGCCAGAATAAACTTACTGTAGTAAAAATGCGACAAAGCAGTGAATTGAATTTCAACATTGAATATTCAAATTCAGTAAAGGCCACAGCAAGTAAACAAACAACATATTAAGAATTTCAAAATATTTCTCGGACTGCTTATAGAGTTGAGTGAATCATTACTCAAACCCACACAATCAGTATTCATCCCACTTCTACTCTTAATTAGATTTAAATGAGCAATAAATTTGTTAATCCTCTTACAACATATAAAACAAAGATTGTCAGCTGGGTTTGTAAGCTTTCAAAAGCAGATGCTACTTAATGCGATTACAAATGAAATGTCATAAACGCATCAACTGAATAAATTAAAATAAATCGCTGGAAGGGACTCAAGTACTATATGCCACATTTTGAGATTTGTAATCATGATTTTTGTAATTGTTTGGTTATAACAGCCACACCTAAAAATGGACATAGTAGGTTCTTTCTGAAATCAAAACCAAAACAGAACTGAAACCCTGACCCTACTCCATAACGACAGAAGATCAAGAAAGTCCATTTCTGAAAACTGTAAAATCAGCTACTTTAGTTTTACTGCGATGACATGTGTACAATAACATAATTATAAAATATACATTCACAGTAAATGTGACAGTTGAGCTTTATATGAAAACTCAAAACAGTATCTAGGCAGTGGATTTTCAAAGTTATACCCTTGATGCATATAAAAATAGTTGTATGTTTGCATAAGGGGAACACTATGCTAATCACGCAATAAAATTTTACTTACAGTGGAATCATGAACTGAAAAACTTGCTGGATATCACCAAAAATAATAAACACATAAAATAAAAAAGTTGTTGAATACAGATTAAAAAAAGTAAATATACATAGAAACATTTCAATTATCAAAATTTCGATCAGATATTTAAGAAATTCAAGGTGGATAACACGCATGGATTGGAAATATATATTCAACAACAAGGCAATAATATTAAAAGACACTTTTCCCAATTTATATATACCATTCAAAAGGAAGTATTAAATTCTAAGCTGAAACAAAATAAATATAATATACTAAAGGGCGGCCTGGTCACATTAATCATAACTTCAATATAGGATATGCCAAATGCCCTTCTCAATAATCAGAATTTTATATTCCTACATGGCTTTCATTAAATACACATATATAGTCATTGGCCAATGGCCATACGATTCTTTTTACAAAATACCAAATGTTTTGCAATTCATTGCTACTCTCAGGCGTTCTTCTAAAACCTCTTTGCTGGAATACAAAGTCAGCTCCAGAGTCAGAAAACATGTTTGAACTACTGGTAAAAGAGCATCATTTGGATTTCCTTCGTCATCAATTTGTTCATATATTTTCAGTTTATCTTTCATACCCTTAAGTGGGACTATATCAGTTCCAGTAAGGAAGATTAGAAGCTTTGCTTTATCTTCTTCTGTCATATGGTGAACGATTTCCCAGAACCAATCACACACTTGTTTGAAAGTGTCGGAAAGTGGATGAATCACAGCATTCTTCTGAAGTTTTTTCCAATTCAATTTTTTTTTTATACGCTGATACCCGCATTAATTCCTCGGGCCGAAAAAGTTTCATAACTGGACTGGTACACACCTTTTCAAAACCCTTTTTAAAGCTATCAAACTGTTTTTTGATAGATTTATTAAGCACATAGTCAACTTGTAGTTCCACATATTCATTTTTGTTTGAGTTGGTAACAGCCAAATGTTGACCACGCTTTTTCAAAGGTTCGCCACTATTTGAAACAAAATGATATTTGTGTTCATCTTGCACAATCTCTTCGCTGTCAATTAACTTCTGCAAACTATTGCCAAATGATGGAAATATTTGCTTGAAATCATCAAGATTTATTTCAGTTCCTTGTAATTTTTTATACAAAGCAAGAGGGAACATCATACTTGCAAGAGGGTAGTTCATTATTGCAGCGTTATAGAAAGCGAGCCCACATAGCATGCCGACGTAATAATACTTTGTTTCATCAGTGTTGTTAGAGAACCACATCATACGAGATTCTTCATTTTCAATGAATAGTCCCGAGCTGGGTTGGCAATATTTCTTGGAAAACAAGCCTAAAAAATTCTTTTGTCAACCCATCATAGTCCATTCCTTCTTCCCCTTTAAAAACAATGTATAGTTTCAATTCTGGTTGTTTTATAAAACTCATTTGTTCAATAGCATCTTCAAAAACATTTTCTCTGCTTACTGTTAACTGATTGACATATACCGGTTTTGGTTGTGCATAAGCTAGATCGGAAGATAGCAACCCTTTTTTCGCCTCACCAGTGAATAGAAATGGGCATGAAAATATCAATGGAATTTCTTTTTGTTTCTTCTGGCTTATCTGGTTATTCAACCATTTTTGACTGAATTTGACAGGAAGGTAGAATTCATCAAAAGGAATGATGTGATGCTTACAATTCAATTTATGTAATTTCTTTACTAAATTCAGTTCATTTTGAGCAGCATCAGTCGAGACGTCAAATTTTTTCAACAAACCATCTGCCATATGTAAACAGCACAACTTAACAAGTGTTGAAAACGCTGATGAAGATGTTTTATACCAACTGGAAAGTTCCCCCCAACATTTTGCTTTCATTGTGACCAGTTTTCTAATAAAGAGGAAGAAGCATTTAGCTCTGCTGACAACACATTTGATGGGTGAAATCAAAAACGGCATCAAAAGGAAAAATTTCAGTGACTCTGTATCTGGATCATCTTTAGAACGACGAGATAAACATTGTCACACAGAACTTTAACAATAAGTTTTCCAACTGCTTTCATTTTTGCTTTCAAAGATTTGAGACAAAAGTGTTTCAACTTTATCGAAATCAAGACTGCGAGAGACAACTTCATTCCTTACAACCTCCAAGTGGAACGAACCAGTCAAACATTTTTGTGATGATATAATTGAAAATGAGTTTTTGCTCGATATCAGCTGGCATTTCACTATTTCTTGGCAGTTTTGATATAATTTTGCAATAATTTTCATCCAAGGTCAAAATATGTTGATCTGAATCAAGTATCCTGAAATCTTGTTGCTGTAAATGTCAGCGCCGAATGATTTTCTAACAAAACAACTGTCTGACTACCACCTGCAAATACTTGTTTTACTTTATTGTTACCATTCTCATCACTACTTTTGGTATATTAACCATCATGGGATCTGGAATTTTGTCTTTTTTGATTCCAATACCAAGTTGTCCATCTGAACAACTTCCAAACGCAAAAACCTGTTTACAATCAGGGCTGAAAGCAATGGTGTGATTTTGCCCACAAGCGATTTGTGTTACAACACTTCCACTGAATTCCTCGACTTGCTTTGGTTTTGATTCATTGTTACATGGAACACCATGTCCCAACTGGCCGAATGCTCCAAGGACCGAAAGAAAACATCTGTCCATCCCTTGTTAATAAAGCACTGTGATAGTCACCAGCTGAAACATAAGCAATGGGAAGTTTTGTTGACATTTTTATAATCAATGGAGAAGAATGATCCATGAAATCTCCGACGCCTAACTGGCCAAAATTATTTCTTCCCATGAATACAAGATTCCTGATAGCGATAAACAAAAAGAATGCCAACCTCTGCTGCAATCCTCAAATGGGAACATTCTCCAAAGTGGTGATACGTTTTGGTTCTTTCACAGGACATTGTTTTTAAGTCCAAGCTGTCCATATTCATTATCTCCCATTGAAAACAAATCCCCATTTTTCAAGAGTATCAAAGTATGAGTATTTCCACAAGCGACCTGCACCACTTTCTTCTTGTTATTGAATGGAAACACTCATTGGTAGAGACACAAAATCATCCGCATCTGTTAGACCTAGCTGTCCGTGATCATTACAACCCATGCATAAGCCTTTCCATTTTCATCAATCACGAACACTTGGCCATGTACACCAGCATGGATATTCAGAATTTTTATATCTTTTATAACATTAAGTAATTCGTTATCTGCATGTGTATCTTTCTCCGCAACATAGGCCCTAATTGTTCCATCATGGTAGAGAATGTAAGCATTGTCACCTGTGAGAGCAACATTCTTGATACCATCACCTGCTATTGAAAGTTTTTCCAATGACGTTACATCTTGTTTCCGACGAGGGAATCCACCAACGCACCATTTCCACATGCCAGCATGCTGTCTATCATTTACTTTTGTTGCATATATATCTGAAAGATAAAATATAACATTTCAATTTGCCTGATACAGATAGAACATAAATTTAAAACATTGCCTGTTCCACAACAGAAAGATAGTGAAGCAAAACAGAATAATGAACAGCAATACATACAGCATGATAGTGTACTTCTCTCAATAACCAGTGATAATTCAATATAACCAAAATCAATTGAAATACTTGAAAATAGGAGCACAAACAATACACAAATCCCAAATATATGACACCAAGGCTGTTTAACCTTGAGTAATAAATACATTTGTCATTTATGGGGATCCAATTTCAAAAAGGATGAGGCACAATTTTAACCAGACAAACTAGTACTTGATTACATTTTTGATAACAGTCTGCTCGTTACAGGATCAAAAGCTCACAAAAGCAAAATAAAAGACTAGGATCCACATAAAATTAATGGGGATGAAAATATTGAACACAACTACGAACTACTACAGAAACAAATATAGACGGAATGGATGATATAGGACTAGATGTAGACGACGAAGAAGTCCTATATGTATACGGCCAAGAAAAATTCAACAATTTTCAAACATTGAATACAAAGCACAAGTGGATATTTAACAATAGTAATCAAAATATTCTTTGGGAATTTCAAATGTTATGAAAGAAAAGTGAAAACAAAAAAGAGGTTAAAATTAAAAAGATTGGTTCATCACAATCAAGATAACATTTTTATGTTTATGTGAACAAGAAATTCCCATAAACTTATATGTAGATCGTCGAGTCAAAGTTTTATATTCAAGCCTCCAAGAGACAGGAGTTGGCTATAAATATTCAAAAAAATTAAATTGACTATAAAAGAATAATTGCATTCGCCAAGTTTTTATTATCAAAAATTGTTTTCCATACAAGTTCGGGAGCAGTAGATAGAGTTTGACATTTTGAACATATTTAGAGTTGGAGTCAAACATTAATATATTTATAGAGATATTATAAAAATGCTTCATTTCTGAAAAATATCCAAAATAATCAAATATTGATATAAATAAGAAAGAAAACAATGAATATAGGGTCTTAAGAATTTTTTAAATTGCAAAGGGAATTTATTGATACCTTATATTGTTTTGGCCATCACAGATGTATTGAATGAAGTAAAAATACCTAAACAATCACTAATTTAAAATTAACAAACCTGGTTGAGAGTAGATATATTGAGAACTGACTTCATAAAAAAATTGAAAGGAACTTTAGGGACACCCTGTATTATGAAACATAATATATGTGCAGATTGTATAATGAATTTTGACAGCGAATATAATTGGACAAAATTTCCTGTTAACACCAAGAGCGCTATGGGATTTTCAAACAAAACTCAATACATTCTATGCAGATTTAATTCAGGCGACGGCTGTTTTTCTTAAATAATTTGATTATTTGATTTGTCAAAAACATGAAAGAAGCATAAGCATATTTGTAATAAATGCAACACATTTCCTTACAACATACAACACATACATAAATTATACTGATAATCATTTTTCAGTGTGAATAATAAACAAAGGAAATTACACACCACATAAATGGGTGAGTACAAGACATTCATACCAGATAATGTGGTGTCACATATGCTAGTTACCCCTAAAACAATCTTTTGCATTGCAAGTTTCAAGCTTGATTACAAAAACCATTACAACACAAATAATTCTTCAAATTCAAATCAGATAAATATACATGAACAAATTATAATAATCCATAAATGTAATCTTTGAATTGGCATCAGTCACTTTAAATGAAATCCCTTGCATTGAATCGCCAGATTTAACCGATCTTCCAAAACTACTTTACTTGAATAAACGGGTAATTGAAGAATATTATAACAGGTCATGGCAATCGGCAATAACTTATCATTAGCTTCAATCTGCTGTATCTCAAATTTGAATCCAGATACAGGCACCTTGTTTGAAGCGGTCAAGAATATGAGAAACTGCTCTTTCTCTTCATCATTAAAACAAAGCAATACTTCCCAAAACCATTCGTACACTTCACTAAATTCATCTGAAACTGAAGAAGCATCCATCCCATGGACGCTTTCACTTCTTCCCAACTAAAATCTTGTTTACCAACTACCATTTCCATGAGCTCTTCTGGTCTGAAAATATCAAAAATTTCACCAGAGCAAGCTTTAGAAAAACCGTTTTGAAATGAGCTAAACTGCTTTTCAACAGATTTATTCACAACATAGTTCACACAGAGTCGTACATATTCATCTCTATTTACAGATGTAACAGGTATTTCATGTCCATTGGGTTTCAATGGAACACCCTTAGATGACACGAAGGTAAGTTCAAAAACTTCTTCAACTGTTTGGTCCTCTTGTTCTTCAAAATCAAGTATTTGTTGTAAGCTATTGCCAAATGTTGGTTCAAATTCCTTGAAGTCATCAAGGTCTGGCTCCTGTCCTAATAACTTTTTATACAAGACAAGTGGGAAATTTGCATTTACAACAGTGTTGTTACACAGAGCAATGCCACACAGCTTTCCCACAAGATTGTATAATGGTTCCTTTGCATCAATGTAAGAAGTAGAAAACCACAAGTAATTTGAATCATCATTCTCAGAAAACAATTCATAATTGGTCAACAGTTCCGGCATAATAAGCATGAAATATTCCTTATTTATTGCTCCATCATCTATTCCCTCTTCGCCCTGAAACTGAACATAAAATGGCCGGCTCAAATTTTCAACATTTTGCAACTGTTGCACAGAGTCAGCGACGAGTGATGACCTGTTAACAGATATACGTATTTTGGGAGGTAAACCCAAAAAAGGTAGAAATTGACCAAACATGATATCTATTCTTTCTTGAAAATTTGCTTTATTCTTCCTGTTTTTTGCATCCAACAGAAGTAGAGTAGCTTTAGACTTCGCATCACCAAGAAAGGGGTATTTCAGAAGTAAAATACGGACAACTTCCAGGTTACTTTTTATGAATTGTTCGGTTAAAGAAAGGTGAAATGCTTTATAACTAGTGATTTTAGATATTTCATTATGGCTGTTTAGTATTTTCATAACATTTTGGCATCTCAGCCCGGCATCTCCACCAGTGAGAAAAAGATATCCTAAGTTATCAAGCATCAATGCTTTGCCTAAATGTACAATATTGACAAAGGCCACTTCTGATGACTTATGCCATCTTTCCAAAACTTTCCAGACAACTTTTTCCATATGTGACAGTTTAATGAAGAAGAAACGGATCATTTCTAACTTCTGAACCGAGTCCTCCATATGCTCAAATACCATTGGCAAAGTAATATACAGTCTGATAGCATCCAAATCAGGTGGATCCGTATCCAAGCTCCGCAGCATCTCAAAGAGGTACTTCATAATAGTTTCTGAGAACTTACATCCACACATCAGCTTCAACACTTCACTTGCTTGATCAAGGTGGACCCCATGGTGATAGTGATTGGTCACTTGATTGAGGTCAGCAAATGAACTATTCCAACAACTTTTTGAATTTATCACTGAAATAATATCGGTTTCATCTTCCACATTTTCAAGGGTGCTGCAAAATACTTTTTCAAATTTTACAACACCAACTTCATCACCAATGGCCCTGAAATCTGATGGTGATGAATCAGGTATATTTGAAGTCAAGATGTAGGTTTGATTGCCTGCAGAACATATTCTGAAAACAGAGACAGTAGCTTCTTCATGTTTCGATGACCAAGAACCGTTAACAATTTCAGGAGTTTGAACTTTCTCAACCAATTTTCCAAGACCAAGCTGACCATGTTCACAGTTTCCAAAGGTAAAAACCTGTCCACAACCAGGAACAAACGCGACAGTGTTATTATTACCGCATGCAATCTGAGTAACGACGCTGCCTTTGAATTCTTCAACTGGTTTTGGAACCGATGTATTATTCGAGTCACCGTGGCCTAATTGTCCACTGGAATTAAGTCCAAAAGTCAGCATTTCTCCTTTCCTTGTTAAAATTGCACTATGGTTATCACCTGCTGAAATATGAGCAACTGGATCTTCTGTAGACAACTTCATCAACTTTGGGGAAGCATGGCCAACAAAATCACCTACACCCAGTTGGCCATGATCGTTTTTCCCCCAAGAAAATACCCTGATATAGTGACACAAAATGAATGCCATCCACCAGCTGCAAGTAGTATTACTGGCAAACCTTCAAACGAATCTATTATCGTTGGTTCAGTAACAGGACGCTTATTTCGTAAACCAAGTTGTCCATGCTTATTATCACCCACAGAATATACTTCACCATATTTGAGCAGTATCAATGAATGTGACTGGCCGCATGCAACATGAACAACCTTTTTTGTAGTAAAGATATCAAGCTGTGTAGGTACCTGGATAGTGTTAACATCTTTTAGCAAGCCCAACTGACCTTGGCTATTAGAACCCCATGCATATATTATGCCTTGTTCATCGATTGCAAACGCATGATCACCGCCGGCAAAACATTTACTATTTTGACTGCTTTCAGGACTTCCCTTTTTACGACCTTTGAACTTTCTTCTGTATCTAGTAAATATTCATGAAGAGTTCCATCAGACAATAGAACGTATGAATTGAAATTGCCATTCACTATTTTTTTGATGTTTGGGTCTTCTAACGCAACTGATTCAGGCGAGAGTAACTGACACTTGGGATGGTAATAATCCAATATGGCACCTTTCCCAAACCCAAACATGATTTGGTAGAGAAAGATATTGCCTTATAACAATGCCTAATCATAAGCAGATAACAACAATAAGAAACATTAAAAAAAATAGGGCAGCGAATGTTTTTAATAAACAAATGGAAGTTTGAAAAGTATGAGCTGGATTTGTTTTCAAAGCTAGAGAAGTTCGAGGAGTTATTTTTAAAAGTCATTCAGAACTTTTCAACCAATAGTTTCGCCGCTATGAGTTATTTCAGTATTTAGGTTGAGTTTTGAAATATTTCAGTACCCTCTGACCCTACACCATTCCAATAAAAATAAGTTTTAAAATTCAAAGAAACTCTGTGGGATTTTAGGTTCTAAATAAGATTATATGAAAACTTGAGTTCCCAATATACTCAGAGATTTATGAAATAGAGATTTCATAATTAACATACATATTGAAGAAAGTTTGTTCAATTTTTATAATCACAGGAATCAAGTTACTACTAAGTTGGTATAACCTATAGAGACACTCTAATCTAAGGTAAAACATTATTAGGACATATTACAGTACTGCAGTAGTATTATATGTTATCGCACTTCGAAGTATCGGTTTAAAATTTAGTACGATAGGTACGAAACCACACGAGATCCCTTTGAATGACCCTAATGACAAAATAAAATATTATTTTTTGGATAATCACCATTTGTCTGTTTGTGTTGTTAAACGTGAACAGATACAGAATAAACTAAAAACATCTGCATAGGAAGTCACATCACAAAAATTGAAAACTTGACCAAATCAAAATGTTTGTACCAGTATACAGATAATTCAGTTATATCAATTCATCTGCAGAACTGTCTTCCAATAGATACTACTAAAAGAATAAGCACATAAAAGTAGGCGTACCTGGTTTTCATGTTGTATCCTGTTTTTTCTTTTAAAACGGATCATGCTTGATGGAACAAAGAGACAATAAAATAATGTTTTCGATTCTGGGTCTTTCCCTCATTCAGGACCGGGGATTATAATGTACGCTCCTCAGCAGCATTACGCAACCGCGTTTGATTACCGAATAATCGCATGACTCGAGATCAAAGGTGACGAACACAAGGTCCCTGACTCGATTTTATTACTTCCGTGAATTTGCAGACAGTTGATCCATAATTCTACTGAATATTCAGCAATTAGACTACGGCCGGTTCTCAAATGAAGCTGAAGCATCTTCATTGGATGGCCTTTGACCCCAAGGAAATTGTTTCTATATTTTATCATTGCAAAATTTCTGAAACCTATTTTGAGACGGCACTTACAAGCTAGTTTACGTGTTTCAAACCATTATTTTTTTATGGTTCCAACAAAGTGGAATTTTAAATAATTAAACAATAAATAAGATAATAAATAAGGGGTACATGTATGTACATACATCAATCACATGTATTTTTATTAAATCCAGGGTGTTCCGTTGTTCATCGAGTTGACTTCACAGTTTAATTTTAATTAGTTATTTTTAATTGGAAACAAAAAAAAAACTAAGAGTTATTAAAAGCCATAAGTTATTGCATATCATGTCAAGTTTTTTTGTGTAAAAACATCGTTTTCTAAATTTTTCTATGTTTCTCCTAGCTAAAAGAGAGTTTGTTATCTTCACTATAACATTATTTACGTTTGGTAAAATATTTTGAAAAATTACAGCATTGCGCTCCAACCATATTTTATATCGTGCAGTACACAATAACAATACAATAGCATTACGTTCTAAAATTGATAAATGAGAATTACAGTGATTATTTAAGTCCAATAAAATTAGGCTTACCATACGTCCCGCTTTATCGCTTCCCCCAATAATTTCGCAAAAAATTTTAATATATACATGTTGCTTCCGCCTTACAGAATTATCATTTCCGAAAAGTGCGATAGTCAAGCGCAATTAAACGGTTAATAGTTACCGATATTATAACTGTTTTCTTACAGTAATGTGGACCTGGGCGCCTTCGGAGCACCTCGCATTTGTGAAACATGCGCGCCCGCACGGGTAATAATCACGCGCCACGGTTTTGCACAACTAATTCCTTTTTGTACAATTTAATATGGTTTTCTCATTGTCAAAATCTTTCAATAGTGTTATTGTTGCCACTTGCGAGAGAAGTGAAAGAGGTAAACTGTATTTCATTACAACAATTAATTATTATCGCTAAAAAATTAACTAGATCTAAAGTTGTTATAAACAATTTTCACCGCTGGACGTATCTTTTCACTTTATGGATTTCGTGCAAGGCCCAGCATAATTTGCGGACAATGCGGGCAACGGTTAAAGCATTTACTATGTCGAAACGCCTGTTCGACTTTTTAGACCACAGAAACTATCTTAAAAAGATCCCCCCACCCCTTCTGAATTTTTTTGAAAACTGAAAAAATCGCCAATAACGCGTGCAATTGCCTATTGCCAAAATCGCCGATTGTTTTCATCATTGTGACCTATTATTTAGGTCGTAAACGCCTTTGCGTTGGCGTTTATCCTCTCTAAATCACAAATTTGTGACACGATGACTATGATAATTATTTTATTTTCGTACAAGCACGGACTTTTGAACCCGGCGAGAATTCTAATAAGTATCCATAAGTTGAAAAGCGGCAATATAAAATACTAAAAATAAAACTGTAAACAATTTAAGTTTTGTTGAGGCCTTTTTATCCATTACTTTTAAATTGACGTCGTTTTCGTGTTGACATTAAACAAAGCTGAGAACGCGACTTTTTCCCGGTTTGTGATGATATATATAAGATAATTAAAGCATATTCGATCAATGTTTGCATTTATTTATGTATTTTTATTGTACTGAAATAACTTTTACTACGTGAGAATTGACAGAAAATTTACGGATTTTTCAAAATGTTTTACCTTTAAGAATAATCAGAGTGACAACATTGCGATTGAGCGGAGCCAGTGTTACAAGTACATCTCAAATTTATCGAATTCGCAAAATAGGATACGGATCAAAACAATATATAAACAGGCAGTTTACCACACATTTTTTTCCCGCGGATTGCCGTGGTGTTTTAGAGTGGCTCTTGTTTTGTCGACTCAACCGCAGTTTAAATTGAAGACAATTAAATAGGTGGCTCTTTTAACGAGCGCAACCGCGGTATTGGGCAGTTCGACTTTGACCCCCCCCTTTTCTTTTTTTTTTTAAATGCTGGCTGCGCGCCTGAACTTGTGCCTGTTTATTTTCGTATTAAATTATAAATAAAAACCCTGCAAATCATTGCGTGAATCCTGAATGTTATTTCGAGTTCAAATGATGATTTAATAAATCGGCAATAATGGCAATTCTATTAGTCAAATGATAATTCCTTGGTAAAATTTAGGAAAAAAATTCGCACAATAGCTTGTTACCTTGTTTTGCATTTCTAATTTTACGAAACGGCGTTAGTGCGCTTTATGCAGAACTAGGAATTGAAACAATAACCCAATACGACTCCTCAAATTTGTTATTTCTGTTTGTTAGCAAGAGTCGTGGGGTAATTCTCGCTGAATTCAAGAAATTGGCTCAGTGACGCGCAAGTTCCGCGTCTAAGCGAAGCATCCTAGGTACTCGATATATGAGTAGCAAAATGATATTCTATTACTTAGAGAATGACATCGACAGGTTATTCTTACGTGACGATACACGGCGCGGTGTTTTTCGGTAGGCGATCCAAGTTCCTCCCCCAAAAATTATGGAAAGTGTCCACCCCAGCAGAGACATATTGGAATCTAACTGTATTTAATCTAAGGCAGTGGTTCTCAACCTTTTTATAGACCGCGTACCTTTACTGTTTTCTACTATGGCCGCTCACCCACGGCAAAGCCCCTTTTTTGGCGCGAAGAAAAAGACACAAGAAACGTGCTATGGGAGTATTTTATGATGTGGCACTACATCCTTTGTGGCGTAACACGCTAAACAGACAAAAACATGCCCATATCGCTTCATTTAAGGTGGGCAATAGCGGACGAGGGCGATCTCTAAAGACACCAGCGCTATGTACGTTTTCCCCCACCATTGACCCCGGAAAAAGTATCCCTATACTTTACTATTGCAAACTTTATGCTTTTTCTCAGAGTGTTGGCGCATATAAACTGGTTAAAGTGTTTGAGACCATCATTTGTATTAAATGCTCTTTGCCGAACTCGTTGATATATTTCCACGTCCACTTGCAGTCGATATACAGGCACATTTTCCTCATTGAGATAATTAAATATACTGATTTTTGAAGTTGCTGAACGTTTCTGGTTGTGGGTTCGCGAGTATTTGTAGGCTTTGATTTTATGTAAATTGGAGTCACGAAAAAAAAGTTTGGGAACCACTGGCCTTATTTACCTACAGCATTCTCATCCCAGGCAAACTACACTGAAATAATAAATGAATATAATCAATAACAGGTAAACATTATAAAGTGCATCTGATTACAAAACAAATGAATAAAATTAAGAACATTGTACACAGAGACATACAGTAATATGAAATTGCTATTAAACTCAATGATAAAATTTGAACTTGAAGCATGGGAATAGAATAGATAGGAATAGAAAAGTGACTTGCATATTACAAAATCGTCCATGTAACTAATAATATATATCATTAATAATTCAAATTAATATTTATTAAAATAACAAAACTAAAGAAACGTGAAAAGGTTAGAAAACAAACTGTGAAACGCTTTTGAGTTTCATTTCAAATAGACAAACCTTTTGACAAATAGAAAATGAACTGATCATAAATAGAATAAAGCTATTCAATGCCAAAACTACAAATATATATCATTATCCAAACAGCAACCATTCATTTGATATTTGCTTTGTACATTCAAATAAAATATCAACAAAAGATCACTTTACTTTCACTATTCAATGTCCTTTATTAATTTGAAAATCAGGAACTCATTCCTTTCAAGCCAGAATAAACTTACTGTAGTAAAAATGCGACAAAGCAGTGAATTGAATTTCAACATTGAATATTCAAATTCAGTAAAGGCCACAGCAAGTAAACAAACAACATATTAAGAATTTCAAAATATTTCTCGGACTGCTTATAGAGTTGAGTGAATCATTACTCAAACCCACACAATCAGTATTCATCCCACTTCTACTCTTAATTAGATTTAAATGAGCAATAAATTTGTTAATCCTCTTACAACATATAAAACAAAGATTGTCAGCTGGGTTTGTAAGCTTTCAAAAGCAGATGCTACTTAATGCGATTACAAATGAAATGTCATAAACGCATCAACTGAATAAATTAAAATAAATCGCTGGAAGGGACTCAAGTACTATATGCCACATTTTGAGATTTGTAATCATGATTTTGTAATTGTTTGGTTATAACAGCCACACCTAAAAATGGACATAGTAGGTTCTTTCTGAAATCAAAACCAAAACAGAACTGAAACCCTGACCCTACTCCATAACGACAGAAGATCAAGAAAGTCCATTTCTGAAAACTGTAAAATCAGCTACTTTAGTTTTACTGCGATGACATGTGTACAATAACATAATTATAAAATATACATTCACAGTAAATGTGACAGTTGAGCTTTATATGAAAACTCAAAACAGTATCTAGGCAGTGGATTTTCAAAGTTATACCCTTGATGCATATAAAAATAGTTGTATGTTTGCATAAGGGGAACACTATGCTAATCACGCAATAAAATTTTACTTACAGTGGAATCATGAACTGAAAAACTTGCTGGATATCACCAAAAATAATAAACACATAAAATAAAAAAGTTGTTGAATACAGATTAAAAAAAGTAAATATACATAGAAACATTTCAATTATCAAAATTTCGATCAGATATTTAAGAAATTCAAGGTGGATAACACGCATGGATTGGAAATATATATTCAACAACAAGGCAATAATATTAAAAGACACTTTTCCCAATTTATATATACCATTCAAAAGGAAGTATTAAATTCTAAGCTGAAACAAAATAAATATAATATACTAAAGGGCGGCCTGGTCACATTAATCATAACTTCAATATAGGATATGCCAAATGCCCTTCTCAATAATCAGAATTTTATATTCCTACATGGCTTTCATTAAATACACATATATAGTCATTGGCCAATGGCCATACGATTCTTTTTACAAAATACCAAATGTTTTGCAATTCATTGCTACTCTCAGGCGTTCTTCTAAAACCTCTTTGCTGGAATACAAAGTCAGCTCCAGAGTCAGAAAACATGTTTGAACTACTGGTAAAAGAGCATCATTTGGATTTCCTTCGTCATCAATTTGTTCATATATTTTCAGTTTATCTTTCATACCCTTAAGTGGGACTATATCAGTTCCAGTAAGGAAGATTAGAAGCTTTGCTTTATCTTCTTCTGTCATATGGTGAACGATTTCCCAGAACCAATCACACACTTGTTTGAAAGTGTCGGAAAGTGGATGAATCACAGCATTCTTCTGAAGTTTTTTCCAATTCAATTTTTTTTTATACGCTGATACCCGCATTAATTCCTCGGGCCGAAAAAGTTTCATAACTGGACTGGTACACACCTTTTCAAAACCCTTTTTAAAGCTATCAAACTGTTTTTTGATAGATTTATTAAGCACATAGTCAACTTGTAGTTCCACATATTCATTTTTGTTTGAGTTGGTAACAGCCAAATGTTGACCACGCTTTTTCAAAGGTTCGCCACTATTTGAAACAAAATGATATTTGTGTTCATCTTGCACAATCTCTTCGCTGTCAATTAACTTCTGCAAACTATTGCCAAATGATGGAAATATTTGCTTGAAATCATCAAGATTTATTTCAGTTCCTTGTAATTTTTTATACAAAGCAAGAGGGAACATCATACTTGCAAGAGGGTAGTTCATTATTGCAGCGTTATAGAAAGCGAGCCCACATAGCATGCCGACGTAATAATACTTTGTTTCATCAGTGTTGTTAGAGAACCACATCATACGAGATTCTTCATTTTCAATGAATAGTCCCGAGCTGGGTTGGCATATTTCTTGGAAAACAAGCCTAAAAAATTCTTTTGTCAACCCATCATAGTCCATTCCTTCTTCCCCTTTAAAAACAATGTATAGTTTCAATTCTGGTTGTTTTATAAAACTCATTTGTTCAATAGCATCTTCAAAAACATTTTCTCTGCTTACTGTTAACTGATTGACATATACCGGTTTTGGTTGTGCATAAGCTAGATCGGAAGATAGCAACCCTTTTTTCGCCTCACCAGTGAATAGAAATGGGCATGAAAATATCAATGGAATTTCTTTTTGTTTCTTCTGGCTTATCTGGTTATTCAACCATTTTTGACTGAATTTGACAGGAAGGTAGAATTCATCAAAAGGAATGATGTGATGCTTACAATTCAATTTATGTAATTTCTTTACTAAATTCAGTTCATTTTGAGCAGCATCAGTCGAGACGTCAAATTTTTTCAACAAACCATCTGCCATATGTAAACAGCACAACTTAACAAGTGTTGAAAACGCTGATGAAGATGTTTTATACCAACTGGAAAGTTCCCCCCAACATTTTGCTTTCATTGTGACCAGTTTTCTAATAAAGAGGAAGAAGCATTTAGCTCTGCTGACAACACATTTGATGGGTGAAATCAAAAACGGCATCAAAAGGAAAAATTTCAGTGACTCTGTATCTGGATCATCTTTAGAACGACGAGATAAAACATTGTCACACAGAACTTTAACAATAAGTTTTCCAACTGCTTCATTTTTGCTTTCAAAGATTTGAGACAAAAGTGTTTCAACTTTATCGAAATCAAGACTGCGAGAGACAACTTCATTCCTTACAACCTCCAAGTGGAACGAACCAGTCAAACATTTTTGTGATGATATAATTGAAATGAGTTTTTGCTCGATATCAGCTGGCATTTCACTATTTCTTGGCAGTTTTGATATAATTTTGCAATAATTTTCATCCAAGGTCAAAATATGTTGATCTGAATCAAGTATCCTGAAATCTTGTTGCTGTAAAATGTCAGCGCCGAATGATTTTTCTAACAAAACAACTGTCTGACTACCACCTGCAAATACTTGTTTTACTTTATTGTTACCATTCTCATCACTACTTTGTGGTATATTAACCATCATGGGATCTGGAATTTTGTCTTTTTTGATTCCAATACCAAGTTGTCCATCTGAACAACTTCCAAACGCAAAAACCTGTTTACAATCAGGGCTGAAAGCAATGGTGTGATTTTGCCCACAAGCGATTTGTGTTACAACACTTCCACTGAATTCCTCGACTTGCTTTGGTTTTGATTCATTGTTACATGGAACACCATGTCCCAACTGGCCGAATGCTCCAAGACCGAAAGAAAACATCTGTCCATCCCTTGTTAATAAAGCACTGTGATAGTCACCAGCTGAAACATAAGCAATGGGAAGTTTTGTTGACATTTTTATAATCAATGGAGAAGAATGATCCATGAAATCTCCGACGCCTAACTGGCCAAAATTATTTCTTCCCCATGAATACAAGATTCCTGATAGCGATAAACAAAAAGAATGCCAACCTCCTGCTGCAATCCTCAAAATGGGAACATTCTCCAAAGTGGTGATACGTTTTGGTTCTTTCACAGGACATTTGTTTTTAAGTCCAAGCTGTCCATATTCATTATCTCCCATTGAAAACAAATCCCCATTTTTCAAGAGTATCAAAGTATGAGTATTTCCACAAGCGACCTGCACCACTTTCTTCTTGTTATTGAATGGAACACTCATTGGTAGAGACACAAAATCATCCGCATCTGTTAGACCTAGCTGTCCGTGATCATTACAACCCCATGCATAAGCCTTTCCATTTTCATCAATCACGAACACTTGGCCATGTACACCAGCATGGATATTCAGAATTTTTATATCTTTTATAACATTAAGTAATTCGTTATCTGCATGTGTATCTTTCTCCGCAACATAGGCCCTAATTGTTCCATCATGGTAGAGAATGTAAGCATTGTCACCTGTGAGAGCAACATTCTTGATACCATCACCTGCTATTGAAAGTTTTTCCAATGACGTTACATCTTGTTTCCGACCGAGGGAATCCACCAACGCACCATTTCCACATGCCAGCATGCTGTCTATCATTTACTTTTGTTGCATATATATCTGAAAGATAAAATATAACATTTCAATTTGCCTGATACAGATAGAAACATAAATTTAAAACATTGCCTGTTCCACAACAGAAAGATAGTGAAGCAAAACAGAATAATGAACAGCAATACATACAGCATGATAGTGTACTTCTCTCAATAACCAGTGATAATTCAATATAACCAAAATCAATTGAAATACTTGAAAATAGGAGCACAAACAATACACAAATCCCAAATATATGACACCAAGGCTGTTTAACCTTGAGTAATAAATACATTTGTCATTTATGGGGATCCAATTTCAAAAAGGATGAGGCACAATTTTAACCAGACAAACTAGTACTTGATTACATTTTTGATAACAGTCTGCTCGTTACAGGATCAAAAGCTCACAAAAGCAAAATAAAAGACTAGGATCCACATAAAATTAATGGGGATGAAAATATTGAACACAACTACGAACTACTACAGAAACAAATATAGACGGAATGGATGATATAGGACTAGATGTAGACGACGAAGAAGTCCTATATGTATACGGCCAAGAAAAATTCAACAATTTTCAAACATTGAATACAAAGCACAAGTGGATATTTAACAATAGTAATCAAAATATTCTTTGGGAATTTCAAATGTTATGAAAGAAAAGTGAAAACAAAAAAGAGGTTAAAATTAAAAAGATTGGTTCATCACAATCAAGATAACATTTTTATGTTTATGTGAACAAGAAATTCCCATAAACTTATATGTAGATCGTCGAGTCAAAGTTTTATATTCAAGCCTCCAAGAGACAGGAGTTGGCTATAAATATTCAAAAAAATTAAATTGACTATAAAAGAATAATTGCATTCGCCAAGTTTTTATTATCAAAAATTGTTTTCCATACAAGTTCGGGAGCAGTAGATAGAGTTTGACATTTTGAACATATTTAGAGTTGGAGTCAAACATTAATATATTTATAGAGATATTATAAAAATGCTTCATTTCTGAAAAATATCCAAAATAATCAAATATTGATATAAATAAGAAAGAAAACAATGAATATAGGGTCTTAAGAATTTTTTAAATTGCAAAGGGAATTTATTGATACCTTATATTGTTTTGGCCATCACAGATGTATTGAATGAAGTAAAAATACCTAAACAATCACTAATTTAAAATTAACAAACCTGGTTGAGAGTAGATATATTGAGAACTGACTTCATAAAAAAATTGAAAGGAACTTTAGGGACACCCTGTATTATGAAACATAATATATGTGCAGATTGTATAATGAATTTTGACAGCGAATATAATTGGACAAAATTTCCTGTTAACACCAAGAGCGCTATGGGATTTTCAAACAAAACTCAATACATTCTATGCAGATTTAATTCAGGCGACGGCTGTTTTTCTTAAATAATTTGATTATTTGATTTGTCAAAAACATGAAAGAAGCATAAGCATATTTGTAATAAATGCAACACATTTCCTTACAACATACAACACATACATAAATTATACTGATAATCATTTTTCAGTGTGAATAATAAACAAAGGAAATTACACACCACATAAATGGGTGAGTACAAGACATTCATACCAGATAATGTGGTGTCACATATGCTAGTTACCCCTAAAACAATCTTTTGCATTGCAAGTTTCAAGCTTGATTACAAAAACCATTACAACACAAATAATTCTTCAAATTCAAATCAGATAAATATACATGAACAAATTATAATAATCCATAAATGTAATCTTTGAATTGGCATCAGTCACTTTAAATGAAATCCCTTGCATTGAATCGCCAGATTTAACCGATCTTCCAAAACTACTTTACTTGAATAAACGGGTAATTGAAGAATATTATAACAGGTCATGGCAATCGGCAATAACTTATCATTAGCTTCAATCTGCTGTATCTCAAATTTGAATCCAGATACAGGCACCTTGTTTGAAGCGGTCAAGAATATGAGAAACTGCTCTTTCTCTTCATCATTAAAACAAAGCAATACTTCCCAAAACCATTCGTACACTTCACTAAATTCATCTGAAACTGAAGAAGCATCCATCCCATGGACGCTTTCACTTCTTCCCAACTAAAATCTTGTTTACCAACTACCATTTCCATGAGCTCTTCTGGTCTGAAAATATCAAAAATTTCCCCAGAGCAAGCTATAGAAAAACCGTTTTGAAATGAGCTAAACTGCTTTTCAACAGATTTATTCACAACATAGTTCACACAGAGTCGTACATATTCATCTCTATTTACAGATGTAACAGGTATTTCATGTCCATTGGGTTTCAATGGAACACCTATAGATGACACGAAGGTAAGTTCAAAAACTTCTTCAACTGTTTGGTCCTCTTGTTCTTCAAAATCAAGTATTTGTTGTAAGCTATTGCCAAATGTTGGTTCAAATTCCTTGAAGTCATCAAGGTCTGGCTCCTGTCCCAATAACTTTTTATACAAGACAAGTGGGAAATTTGCATTTACAACAGTGTTGTTATACAGAGCAATGCCACACAGCTTTCCCACAAGATTGTATAATGGTTCCTTTGCATCAATGTAAGAAGTAGAAAACCACAAGTAATTTGAATCATCATTCTCCGAAAACAATTCATAATTGGTCAATAGTTCCGGCATAATAAGCATGAAATATTCCTTATTTATTGCTCCATCATCTATTCCCTCTTCACCCTGAAACTGAACATGAAATGGCCGGCTCAAATTTTCAACATTTTGCAACTGTTGCACAGAGTCAGCGACGAGTGATGACCTGTTAACAGATATACGTATTTTGGGAGGTAAACCCAAAAAAGGTAGAAATTGACCAAACATGATATCTATTCTTTCTTGAAAATTTGCTTTATTCTTCCTGTTTTTTGCATCTAACAGAAGTAGAGTAGCTTTAGACTTCGCATCACCAAGAAAGGGGTATTTCAGAAGTAAAATACGGACAACTTCCAGGTTACTTTTTATGAATTGTTCGGTTAAAGAAAGGTGAAATGCTTTATAACTAGTGATTTTAGATATTTCATTATGGCTGTTTAGTATTTTCATAACATTTTGGCATCTCAGCCCGGCATCTCCACCAGTGAGAAAAAGATATCCTAAGTTATCAAGCATCAATGCTTTGCCTAAATGTACAATATTGACAAAGGCCACTTCTGATGACTTATACCATCTTTCCAAAACTTTCCAGACAACTTTTTCCATATGTGACAGTTTAATGAAGAAGAAACGGATCATTTCTAACTTCTGAACCGAGTCCTCCATATGCTCAAATACCATTGGCAAAGTAATATACAGTCTGATAGCATCCAAATCAGGTGGATCCGTATCCAAGCTCCGCAGCATCTCAAAGAGGTACTTCATAATAGTTTCTGAGAACTTACATCCACACATCAGCTTCAACACTTCACTTGCTTGATCAAGGTGGACCCCATGGTGATAGTGATTGGTCACTTGATTGAGGTCAGCAAATGAACTATTCCAACAACTTTTTGAATTTATCATTGAAATAATATCGGTTTCATCATCCACATTTTCAAGGGTGCTGCAAAATACTTTTTCAAATTTTACAACACCACATTCATCACCAATGGCCCTGAAATCTGATGGTGATGAATCAGGTATATTTGAAGTCAAGATGTAGGTTTGATTGCCTGCAGAACATATTCTGAAAACAGAGACAATAGCTTCTTCATGTTTCGATGACCAAGAACCGTTAACAATTTCAGGAGTTTGAACTTTCTCAACCAATTTTCCAAGACCAAGCTGACCATGTTCACAGTTTCCAAAGGTAAAAACCTGTCCACAACCAGGAACAAACGCGACAGTGTTATTATTACCGCATGCAATCTGAGTAACGACGCTGCCTTTGAATTCTTCAACTGGTTTTGGAACCGATGTATTATTCGAGTCACCGTGGCCTAATTGTCCACTGGAATTAAGTCCAAAAGTCAGCATTTCTCCTTTCCTTGTTAAAATTGCACTATGGTTATCACCTGCTGAAATATAAGCAACTGGATCTTCTGTAGACAACTTCATCAACTTTGGAGAAGCATGGCCAACAAAATCACCTACACCCAGTTGGCCATGATCATTTTTCCCCTAAGAAAATACCCTGCCAGATATAGTGACACAAAATGAATGCCATCCACCAGCTGCAAGTAGTATTACTGGCAAACCTTCAAACGAATCTATTATCGTTGGTTCAGTAACAGGACGCTTATTTCGTAAACCAAGTTGTCCATGCTTATTATCACCCACAGAATATACTTCACCATATTTGAGCAGTATCAATGAATGTGACTGGCCGCATGCAACATGAACAACCTTTTTTGTAGTAAAGATATCAAGCTGTGTAGGTACCTGGATAGTGTTAACATCTTTTAGCAAGCCCAACTGACATTGGCTATTAGAACCCCATGCATATATTATGCTTTGTTCATCGATTGCAAACGCATGATCACCGCCAGCAAAAACATTTACTATTTTGACTGCTTTCAGGACTTCCCTTTTTACGACCTTTGAACTTTCTTCTGTATCTAGTAAATATTCATGAAGAGTTCCATCAGACAATAGAACGTATGAATTGAAATTGCCATTCACTATTTTTTTGATGTTTGGGTCTTCTAACGCAACTGATTCAGGCGAGAGTAACTGACACTTGGGATGGTAATAATCCAATATGGCACCTTTCCCAAACCCAAACATGATTTGGTAGAGAAAGATATTGCCTTATAACAATGCCCAATCATAAGCAGATAACAACAATAAGAAACATTAAAAAAAATAGGGCAGCAAATGTTTTTATAAACAAACGAAAGTTTGAAAAAGTACGAGTTAGATTTTGTTTTTAGAGCTAGAAAAGTTCGAGGAATTATTTGTAAAAGTCATTCAGAACTGTTCAACCAATAGTTTCACTGCTATGAGTTATTTCAGTATTTAGGTTGAGTTTTAAAATATTTCAGTACCCTCTGACACAACACCATTCCAACAAAAAATAAGTTTTAAAAATTCAAAGAAACTCTGTGGGATTTTAAGTTCTAAGTAGGATTATAAAAAACTTGAGTTCCCAAAACACTCAGAAATTTATGAAATAAAGATTTCATAATTAACATAATTTTTGGAGAAAGTTTGTTCAATTTTGATAATCACAGAAACAAGTTACTACTAAGTTGTTATAAACCTATAGAGACACTCTAATCTAAGGTAAAACATTATTAGGACATATTACAGTAGTATTATATGTTATCGCACTTCGAAGTATCAGTTTAATATTTATCTTGAATAGGTACTTTGAATGACCCTAATGACAAAATAAAATATAGTTTTTGGAAAATCACCCTTTGTCTGTTTGTGTAGTAAAAAGTGAACAGATACAGAATAAACTGAAAACAACTGCATAGGAAGTCACATCACAAAAATTGAAGACTTGACAAAATCAAAATGTTTGTACCAGTATACAGATAATTATAACAGTTATCATCTGCAGAACTGTCTTCTAATAGAAACTACCAAAAGAATAAGCACATAAAAGTAGGCGTACCTGGTTTTTACGTTGTATCCAGTTCCTCTTTTTGAAACGGATCATCCTTGGTGGAACAAAGAGACAATAAAAGAATGTTTTCGATTCTGGGTCTTTCCCGCATTCAGGACCGGGGGTGATAATGTACGCTCCTCAGCAGCATTACGCAACCGCGTTTGATTACCGAATAATCGCATGACTCGAGAGCATAGGTGACGAACACAAGGTCACTGACTCAATTTTATTACTTGAATTACTTGAACGTGAATTTGCAGACAGTTGATCCATAATTCTACTGAATATTCAGCAATTAGACTACGGCCGGTTCTCAAATGAAGCTGAAGCATCTTCAATGGATGTTTTCCCGGCCCTTGACCCCAAGGAAATTGTTTCTATATTTTATCATTGTAGATTTCTGAAACCTATTTTGAGACGGTTTTCGCGATTTGGCACTGCAACCTAGTTTACGTGTTTCAAACCATCATTTTGATTCTAATTATCCAATTTACCTCCATTTGAAAGTACGTAGCGGTGCATTCTTGTCTACCCCAACTTCGGGACGCAACACTGGAAACTAGAATTCATCAGAAAACAACATGATTATAGAGCTATTTATTTAATTCACACCAAAATATCGAAAATACAACTATAAAATGACAAATAGCAAAACTGACAAAAACAGCTACTGCGAATAACTATATGTTGAAAGAGGACTTGTATGGGTCACGTGACTTTGTTACTGGACGGCAATGAAACAAAAACGTCCAATTGGCTCCTATCAGTTGCAAGTTGGATTATACGTTTCCGTTTTGTTTGGCTGTTGAAAATGGTTATTTCGTATTGTTCAGTTGGCTGTACGTATAGTATAGACAACGAAATGGATCTTCGGTTATATTCCACTGATTTCAAAAGATCCGGAACGTCGCGCAATGTGGATATCATCTATTGACAGGGCTGCTTGTCAGTGGCGGCGCGTCAATAAGGCCAACCGGGGCAATGCCCCGGTTGTTTTTTCGGTATAATAAAAAATATTCGAAAAATACCTCAATATCGGTTGCACAGATTGTCTACACTAGCCATATTCTCCCGACATGGTTCATTTTTCGCTCGCAAAGCCTTCGCCGAACGTCGACGGGGCGACGCCGATTTTGCCCCGGTTGCTCATTGTATATCGTATTCTCTCTTTTATCTTCCACTCGCCGCGTTTGTCTCGTTTGTTTTCTGTTTCTTTTACTAAATCATCGGGGCCGATCGGGGCTAGCCCCGAAATTATGACGACACAATGCCGTAGTCTTCCGGGAGAACTCGAAATGTCATTTAATTAAAAATAAATAATGTTTCACTATTCCAAAAAATTAAGGTTGTTGATATCGCCTGTTATGGCATTCGGCACCAATAATAACAAATAAAATGGTGCAATAACGCCGTCTTCGCGTTCTGAATATTCGAGCTAAAATGACGGTGATTGATGTCTGCCACAAACGCTTTTGCGGGCTCTTTGCGAGAAACACAAGTATAATCACATGAGACAGATTTCGTCGCGAGAGAAAAATGCGTCCCTGATTAATAGATTAGAAATACAAAAATTGACGCACGGCGCCGTAGAGGCGGTAACCGAGTCCCAGGGATTCTAATCCTCCGGATTCCGTATTCTATATCGTCCATCCCTACCTGGGAGTATCAAAATTCTTACTTTTGTGTCATATTTCTGGTATGAACCTTTAATTACTATACCATAAATGCAATCGCAGAACAGCAGAATAACTCTGCCCTACTCCACTTTGATAACTTATGGTACCGACTCCACCACTCCCTACTTTATCCGGATGCCTCAAAATATCTTTTCAGTTATTTCAACCAACAAAACCATTCCAAATACGCGAATAAATTCAAACGAAAATCCTCTTCCGTAAGCTTCAGATTTCAGAATATAGCAAACTGATGACAATGTTATAGAAGTAAACAAAAAAAATCGAGGCTCGAGGGAAAATGGGTAAAAACTGTATTCAATTGTACGTCTCGATGAACACCTTGCTGATTAGCCAATGTTACGGAAGTAAACCCTTGCCAACGCTACGCATAATCTTGTTTATGGTTGGTGGGTTTTATTGTCACATACTCCAGCCTTGATGATTAACTACACATTATCAACTGAATAAGACAAAATAACGTGTCAAATAACGAAAAAAGTAAAACGAAATTGTTAATCATAGGCAATATTTGTTCATACTGCTTTGTTTTTTGTACAGTATTTGATCGCGCAGCGCTTGAAAATTCCGAATTACTGTAATTTTACCCCTAAAGTACCAATTGGATTTACAATATGGTAACCGTCTGCTTAAATTGCCAAGGAAACAACCTAGATCTAATCACATCAAAAAACGAACCAAACTGATGCTATCGGAAGTAGTCGTGGTATAAAAATGTATCAAACTTTTCATACCGCTTTTCGACTGTTATCGATAGCGAGAAGTGTAAGAATTTGGGGAATTCAATTTGATACCGATTTAGGTCAATTTTGTTTGGGAATGATTAAAAGGCGGCAGTTTAATCAGTATGAATGTAAGGGTATATACTGTAATTTATCTGAGGCGTCTGTGATTTGTCAAGGATAAGTATACCAGGCATAACCATATTCATTTGAATATGCTGGAATCAAGTTTTAAATCAGGATAATAAATATGACGTGCTTCGCATTCGCTATTGTTTCATAATCAATGAGATATGGATTTACAATTTTAAAATAGCATAACTATTAGGCAATGACAGTACAATATAATTGCTTCAGTTTATGGAGTGGCGAACAGTAGGTTCAATTGTTTCGCCAAATTTAGTAAGTCAAGTTAATGTTCGTTCCTCCAGTACGGAGATGATTGATCAGTAACATGTCTTTCTTCGTCTACGTTGTCTTCGGTTATTTCCAAATTATCAAAAAGATCTTCAATTTCTTTCATGTTATTAGCACCTTCAAAATCATCAGAAGTAAATTTTACTCCACGATAAGCTTTGTTTTTCAAACAATATTTCAGCAACGATTTCCAGTATTTATCCAAGCACAGCAATCTAGGATTCCCAACAATTATTAGAAGGGCTTTTGGTCTTGTGAGAGAAACGTTGAACCTTTTCGGGTCACATAGAAATCCAAGATGGAAAATAGCATCGTCAGTAAGGCCCTCTTTGCTGCTTCGTACTGTACTTATAATAATGACTAGTCTTTCTTGTCCCTGAAAGACTTCAACACTCCCAACGTCAATGTTTGGGTTTTTTATTTTGTTCCTAATTTTTTCAACTTGTTTACGATATGGAGTTACTATACCGATGTCGCATGGTTTCATTTTCCGCATACCCCGTATGTCCAATAATTTTTTCACGTAATCACCAACTACTTTGACCTCTTCGGGATTGAAATAAGAAGGGCTTGATTTTTCTTTAGTTTGGTTTCCTTGTACACCATGAAAAATGATCGGAAAGTCCTTGTTTGGAAGCTCTTCCCAGCCACACAGTTTTGTTCGAATCATTTGGTCTGCATTTACTTCCAGTTCATTATCATAAAACTTTTTATTAGGTATCTTCAGAATGCTTTCGTGGGACCTATAATTTTTCACCAATTTTGTGACGCACTGAGGGTTGTATTCTCCAGTTTCACTGTCTTTCTTATACAAAAAATTTGTACTCATGAGCCTTTCAAGTAGTGAAATTTGAAGTCCATGCATTTTGCATATCGGTGAGCGGACAATTGGCCCTAGTTGTTTCGGATCACCCGCCAACACAATTTTACCGCCAACAGCCAAATTACCAGCCACTGCTATTAGACATTCAGGTTCAAATGCTTGGCCGGATTCGTCGATAAATATGTTGGTGAAATGATTTGAAAGTGAAGATTTGGAAGCGAGTCGACCCGCAGTGACAAAGGTGCAAATAACAATGCGACGTTTTTTGATATCATATGATGATGGCATCATAAATCCTCCAATAGAATGATTTGTATCGACGTAATCTTGTATTTTCGAAGGTACATCATTCCAGCTTCTAGAAGTAGCGTAAAGTCGAAGCATTTCTCTTCTGTCTACGTGTTCGTGGAGTTTTTCGGCAAGAAGATCGCATGCATTGTTGGATAGTGCGCATACTAAAATGTTTCTTGATCGACATTTTCGCAATGTTTGCAGTATTGACTCAACCATCGTTACCGTTTTACCAGTTCCAGGTGGACCAAATATAATGTATATTGGAGGAGTTATACCGAGTACAATGTGGTGAACAGCTGTTCTCTGTTTTTCGTTCTTTTGTATTTTGGAATTGAACATTATCAACTGACGATCTGGCTGCTTGAATTGCGGAAATTCAGTTGGAAAAAGCATTTCATCAAAGTTTGGAATATTACGTATCCAATCTACAGCTCTGTGCATCAACTGTAGAGGCATTCGATTGAATGTAAATGTTACGGAAAATTGCATTTTGCTCCGAAATACTCCCAAAAGCTTTTTACTGAATCCCAAACCGACGTCTTTATCACGAACAATGTGGACATAGCCCTCATATCTATCACCATATAAATTACCATCAGCATCGTGACGGATAACGTACACTCTATCTCCCCTCAGCAACGATGGCCTTTTCTCTGCCAGTCCCGGAACCTCTAAATACAGTAGATTACGATTTAGTCGAAGTGTGGATTCAGTTGCATAAAATTTGATATCTTTCATGTACTGCAGTTCCTCGATGTATAGCAAAGTATGGAATTTCTCTGCATACAACTTGCTGTTTAGACTCTTTTTCAATTTATTTATATGTTTCTTATACTGAAATGATTTATCAACTTTATATTCCGGGAGTTGATAATTGCCTCCGGAATCTTTATCTTGAAGACAAGGCAGCGATGGGGGCAGTACCCCAGGAATCGTACTGCGTTGATATTGCATATCTATCCTAACTTTCCTTGATCCCCGTCTTGGCGAATCTTTTATTATCTCCGGGATCTTCTGACCTTGTGCTGATTTTTTTGACTTTGCGGTTGCTTCTCCAGTATTTTGATTATCTATTTTTGTGTCGCTTACTAGCGATATTTTACCTTGACTGTTATTTTCACTTATGAAGGTTGGCTCGTTGTGCGTCTTTTTATTTTTCTCGTCTTTAACGTTTTTTCTTGATGTACGGTCGTGTTGAATACCGAGCCCAGGTTTTCTCTTTTTTCTGTCTTTTTGTTTCGGCAACGTCTGGCTACTTTTGCTCCCTCCATTTGATGATGAATTTTTCAATGAAAAACGTTTTGGTTTCGAGTAATGACCCAAATATTTATCAAGCTGTGTGCGCTTAAAAACTACGATCCAATTGCTCCCCAACACACGTAAAAAATATGGCGGGTTATAGCAAAGAGGTGATAAACAGTACAAAACTTGACCGAAGGAAAAATCGGTCGAATGTTCGATTTTATATGTATTGTATTCTGCCTCCATGTCACTCCATTTCCATCTTATTTTGTTATTACTTTTCTGAGTGATAAACTTTAGAAAACTTTCCCCAACATTGCGGGCGTTAGAATTCCAAGGCATGTTTACGATTATCTATTCAATTCAAATCTAAACGTAACATAATAAGATCATACGGTGAAACGAAATAGAATTCTAACGATTCTTTAACACCAATCCCAACTACTGATGGCGATAAAAAAAATTTAATGTAAAATAAAATAATGAAGTCGTCAGGATCACCAACGTAGCCCACGCATTGCTCTCTTTCTAAGAACAACATTTTTTTTAATTGTATTTAGCATTGATTCTGCACTCCTCTCTTATATTCCCATCGCTAACCGGCTATATTTTTTTCGAAATCATATCATAATAGTAAGTTAGCAAGTAACTCTAACCAACATGAGCTGTACAATTTCATAAATCAAGCGTAAATTAAGAAAAATGGTAGCACAGACGAACGTAAGAATGTAGCTACCTAAGAATGTACGTAAGACGTAAGAATGTACGTAAGAATGTAGCTAAATAATGCTGCGCTCTTCTCGACGAAATTTCTCGAGAGCTTAATCATTTGTTACGTCATAATATATTATTTTTTAGCCATAGGTCATGGAAGGACAAATAGAGTTCAAGCAAATAACGGATTGTTAGCAAACGATAATGAACAAGAGAGCTATGCTCAAATATATGGACACGTAGCGCCACCTAACGGCAACAATTTTGATGACGTCATAGCAAAAAAAGTTATAGCCTTCTGAAGTAAATTTTTTTCTTTAACTACTGAAAATTTCAAAGCAATTGGTCCAGTAATCAAAAAAAAAAGCGACTTTTTAAAAACGTGTCGAAGAACAAGAACAACAACAACAACATAATATTGAAACGATCGCTATGTCCACTACGTGTCCATTAAACGAACACCTAGTTTCATCAGGTAATTCAGAGTCTTGAAACTTTTCATCTGAAAGAGAAGGATCTCGTTTCCATGGCCTCGTTTGTGTGCCGAATAAATGGGCTTGCGTGTCGAGTTTGGCACGCGTGTCAAGGGTTGCCCACCCCATGTTCTAGGGCGCTTGAACAATGCTTTTCTTATGGCGGGACCGCGTGGAATAAAAACCTCAAGTCTCGTAAATTTTGTCTTATACCGTGAAATTTTATGGTTAATATGTTTAAAACGGTCGTATTTATATACATTGTTAAAACAGAATTTATATGATGTATTCGGACAAATCAATAAAAGGTCCTAGGTGCGAACATAAGCGCGGTATCGTATATTGAAGCCAAGGTGGAATATGCGATTAGAGAGTGGCTTTTGATCAATTTGGGTGGAATATGGAAATGTTTGAAAGGCGTGCGATGGACTCTTTCCGACCTTTGGCCCCCGTAAAATTCTTCTTATACTTTACCATTGCAAGATTTTCGGTGCTTATTTTAAAGAGTGGTTTCGCGAGTTGGCACCTGTAAAATGGGGTATTTGTTTCAAACCATCATTCTGTATAGAATTCAACAACCTGTTTATTGAAAGTACCTGTAAAGAATTTTAGCCTAGTCTATCACAGCTATTTCCAGAACTGAAAACTATCGAATAGAATTCAAAAACGCAAAACCGAGGTAGCCTAATGCGACCACGCCTGAAAATCTGTCTGAGCGAGAAAAGTGTCTGAGCGGATGCAAAACTTACGTTACTTTTCAATGTCCTGCTGCAAACTGCAGTTTTCCACGTTCTCTTACGGCCGTAGTTTTTTGTGATATTTTATAGTGGTGCTGTTATTTTGACCTAAGTCGCATGGGGGAGGGCAGCATGATTTGCTTCATGCACCATGAAATACCTAACCACTTTAATTCCGAACTGGACCTGTAACTAAGAGACCATGATTCACCGTATAGGTTTCAATTCCATTGACACAAATCTTATTGACATCTGATTCATAATCATCACCTACAATGATATGAATAAGCTTGATTTATAATTCCATATATTCATCTTTAAGCAGAAATGACAGTGAATAGAGAGTAAGGAGTTTTCAAATTTATATAATATATATATATATATATATCGCAAATAGCCTAAATGAATTGAATTATATATACATTGTTATTCCTAAAAGATGAAATCCATACAAATAAAAATCCTAATAGCAGGTACAAAAGTCTACTAGAGTCAACTGATAAGGACTTTTAGGCCACAAGACATAAAAATATTGCACTGGCACTGCGCAAGGCGTTGAGTGTTTAAATAAATATTAATATATAAATATAAAAGTAAATTTAGTAACAGTTAACAGTAAATTCCAAGCATGATTCGATACAAGTCAAATGCTTGAAAATTCGGAATTACTTTACTTGTACCTCCAAAATTACATTTGTTTTTTTCAATATGGGGTACTCCCGAAGAATGTTAACCAGGATGGCGGACACCGGAACGTATTATGTGTGCCAGGTCAGGGTTGTGCCATAATTTAAGGTACAAATACTACGGGAGTTACTTGGCTAGTCCCCGAACTCCTAATAAAACTATAATAAGGGATATTGGAATAAAATCATGGCTTAACCCTAACATGGTACATGGACTAAGTTCCGGAGTCCGCCATTGGAATGTAAGGGTATATATATATGATACTATAAATAATCGAATGCATGTGTAAATTGTCAATGATAAGTTAGATGAACTGTTAAATATACCAGGCATTTTCATTGCAATAGGTTAGGATCAAATTTTAAATCAGGATATATGACATGACAATATGACGTACTACGCATTCGCTAATGTTTCATAATCAATGAGATATATATGGATTTAAAATAGCATTACTATTAGGCAATGACAGTACAATATAATTGCTTCAGTTTATGGAGTGGCGAACAGTAGGTTCAATTGTTTCGCCAAATTTAGTAAGTCAAGTTAATGTTCGTTCCTCCAGTACGGAGATGATTGATCAGTAACATGTCTTTCTTCGTCTACGTTGTCTTCGGTTATTTCCAAATTATCAAAAAGATCTTCAATTTCTTTCATGTTATTAGCACCTTCAAAATCATCAGAAGTAAATTTTACTCCACGATAAGCTTTGTTTTTCAAACAATATTTCAGCAACGATTTCCAGTATTTATCCAAGCACAGCAATCTAGGATTCCCAACTATAATTAGAAGGGCTTTTGGTCTTGTGAGAGAAACGTTGAACCTTTTCGGGTCACATACAAATCCAAGATGGAAAATAGCATCGTCAGTAAGGCCCTCTTTGCTGCTTCGTACTGTACTTATAATAATGACTAGTCTTTCTTGTCCCTGAAAGACTTCAACACTCCCAACGTCAATGTTTGGGTTTTTTATTTTGTTCCTAATTTTTTCAACTTGTTTACGATATGGAGTTACTATACCGATGTCGCATGGTTTCATTTTCCGCATACCCCGTATGTCCAATAATTTTTTCACGTAATCACCAACTACTTTGACCTCTTCGGGATTGAAATAAGAAGGGCTTGATTTTTCTTTAGTTTGGTTTCCTTGTACACCATGAAAAATGATCGGAAAGTCCTTGTTTGGAAGCTCTTCCCAGCCACACAGTTTTGTTCGAATCTTTTGGTCTGCATTTACTTCCAGTTCATTATCATAAAACTTTTTATTAGGTATCTTCAGAATGCTTTCGTGGGACCTATAATTTTTCACCAATTTTGTGACGCACTGAGGGTTGTATTCTCCAGTTTCACTGTCTTTCTTATACAAAAAATTTGTACTCATGAGCCTTTCAAGTAGTGAAATTTGAAGTCCATGCATTTTGCATATCGGTGAGCGGACAATTGGCCCTAGTTGTTTCGGATCACCCGCCAACACAATTTTACCGCCAACAGCCAAATTACCAGCCACTGCTATTAGACATTCAGGTTCAAATGCTTGGCCGGATTCGTCGATAAATATGTTGGTGAAATGATTTGAAAGTGAAGATTTGGAAGCGAGTCGACCCGCAGTGACAAAGGTGCAAATAACAATGCGACGTTTTTTGATATCATATGATGATGGCATCATAAATCCTCCAATAGAATGATTTGTATCGACGTAATCTTGTATTTTCGAAGGTACATCATTCCAGCTTCTAGAAGTAGCGTAAAGTCGAAGCATTTCTCTTCTGTCTACGTGTTCGTGGAGTTTTTCGGCAAGAAGATCGCATGCATTGTTGGATAGTGCGCATACTAAAATGTTTCTTGATCGACATTTTCGCAATGTTTGCAGTATTGACTCAACCATCGTTACCGTTTTACCAGTTCCAGGTGGACCAAATATAAGGTATATTGGAGGAGTTATACCGAGTACAATGTGGTGAACAGCTGTTCTCTGTTTTTCGTTCTTTTGTATTTTGGAATTGAACATTATCAACTGACGATCTGGCTGCTTGAATTGTGGAAATTCAGTTGGAAAAAGCATTTCATCAAAGTTTGGAATCTTACGTATCCAATCTACAGCTCTGTGCATCAACTGTAGAGGCATTCGATTGAATGTAAATGTTACGGAAAATTGCATTTTGCTTTGAAATACTCCCAAAAGCTTTTTACTGAATCCCAAACCGACGTCTTTTTCACGAACAATGTGGACATAGCCCTCATATCTATCACCATATAAATTACCATCAGCATCGAGACGGATAACGTACACTCTATCTCCCCTCAGCAACGATGGCCTTTTCTCTGCCAGTCCCGGAACCTCTAAATACAGTAGATTACGATTTAGTCGAAGTGTGGATTCAGTTGCATAAAATTTGATATCTTTCACGTACTGCAGTTCCTCGATGTATAGCAAAGTATGGAATTTCTCTGCATACAACTTGCTGTTTAGACTCTTTTTCAATTTATTTATATGTTTCTTATACTGAAATGATTTATCAACTTTATATTCCGGGAGTTGATAATTGCCTCCGGAATCTTTATCTTGAAGACAAGGCAGCGATGGGGGCAGTACCCCAGGAATCGTACTGCGTTGATATTGCATATCTATCCTAACTTTCCTTGATCCCCGTCTTGGCGAATCTTTTATTATCTCCGGGATCTTCTGACCTTGTGCTGATCCCTTTGTGCCATCTGTAACATCAAGCATCTCACTATTATCTGTTATTGCATTACATGTCGTTTTATTTGTCGTTACATTGGATTGGATATTTTTCAGGGGCATTCCTAGACATAAATGGTCTGTCTCTTTTAGATTTCCATTCAATTGTCCTTTCACTGCCCGAATTTTTGACTTTGCGGTTGCTTCTCCAGTATTTTGATTATCTATTTTTGTGTCGCTTACTAGCGATATTTTACCTTGACTGTTTTTTTCGCCTCGGAAGGTTGGCTCGTTTTGCGTATTTTTATTTTTCTCGTCTTTAACGTTTTTTCTTGATGTACGGTCGTGTTGAATACCGAGCCCAGGTTCTCTCTTTTTTCTGTCTTTTTGTTTCGGCAACGTCTGGCTATTTTTGCTCCCTCCATTTGCTGATGATGATGATGAATTTTTCAATGAAAAACGTTTTGGTTTCGAGTAATGACCCAAATATTTATCAAGCTGTGTGCGCTTAAAAACTACGATCCAATTGCTCCCCAACACACGTAAAAAATATGGCGGGTTATAGCAAAGAGGTGATAAACAGTACAAAACTTGACCGAAGGAAATATCGGTCGAATGTTCGATTTTATATGTATTGTATTCTGCCTCCATGTCACTCCATTTCCATCTTATTTTGTTATTACTTTTCTGAATGATAAACTTTAGAAAACTTTCCCCAACATTGCGGGCGTTAGAACTCCAAGGCATGTTTACGATTATCTAAGCAATTTGAGTCTAAACGGAACGTAGCAAGATCATACAGTGAAACAAAATAGCATTCTAACGATTCTTTTACGGCAATCCCCACTATTTATCATGATAAAAAAAATTAATGTAAAATAATAACCACAACACGGTCACTAACGTAGCCTACACATTGCTCTCTCTCTCTGAGAAATACTAACGTCGCATATTTTAAACTTATATTTAGCATTTATTTGGCAACGCAGCAATCAGCGTTGTACGGTAGTATTTCACTAACCAATTAAATGCCCATTACTTCCTTATATAAAAAGTTTGTCAAAATAAGGTATATGTTACAGTCACCATAAAAGTTTTTTATAAATTGCACTTCACATAAATTTTTGATACGGCTTTTTTACTTTGTCACATCCTTTATTTTTGCTCAGGTTCGTTGATAAAATAAAGTGAGAATCACTGGCTCGTTTCTAACCACTTTACAACATTGAATAAGATTGATACTTTACGACACGTAATAAAAACTATTCAGTCAGTGATAATTCAGTCGTTACGTAGGGAAATCACCTAAGTTAGAACTGTGCAATATGTGTCAATATACGAGTTTGTATTATATATATATGTTTCAACATGTTATACAAACATCAATCGAGGCCATATGATCACGTATTCTGATTTGTAATGCAGTTGGATAATTACGTACGTTTCGTACCTCGTAATGTGTTCATAATTCATTTCTGAATTATAAACGGCAATTCCACACAAAAATTTCTGATACGGCTTTTTTACTTTGTCACATCCTCAATTTTTGCTGAGGGTCGTTGATACAATAAAGTGAGAATCACTGGCTCGTTTCTAACCACTTTACAACATTGAATAAGATTGATACTTTACGACACTCAATAAAAACAAGAGAATAATGCTCAAATATATAGACACTTAGCGCCACATAATTTGGATAACGTCATAGCAAAAAAATAAAAGTAATAGCCTTCTTGAAAAAAATTCCATCTCTATTCACTAAAAATTTCAAAGCAATTGGTCCAGTAATTAAAAAGAAAAGCGATTTCTTCAAAACGTGTCAATGAACAAGAACAACAAAACGATCGTTATGTCCACTAAACGTGTCAAATTATTCAGTCACTGATCCATTAGTCGTTATGTAGGGAAATCACCCAAGTTGGGATTGTGCAATATGTGTCAATATATGGGTTTGTAATATATATACATGTTTCAACATGTTAGACAAACATCAATGGAGGCCATATGACCACGTATTCTGATTTGTAATGTAGTAGGATAATTACGTACGTTTCTTATCTCGTAATGTGTTCATAATTCATAAATCATTCATTATTTAACTTTGAGTTGGGTTGCGCGAGACTATCAATCTATCCTTCCTCTGTGGCTATGCAGTTATGCTAGTGCAGTAATTTTTAAACGATGTTCCGCGTAAAATTGCTTTTTTGAAGGAACTTCATAACTGAATATCAACCAGCCGATGAACTTATACAAATTACACAAGGCTGCGGGTTGATGTACTTCTAGAAACTTTCTGGATTGGGGCCTCCAGGAAATTTCCAATTCTTGCTAAAAAGTGCTTCCAATCTTGCTACCATTTTTTACTACCTATCCGCCAATTTGGCAGGATTTGGCAAAAAGTGCACGAACAACATTTCGTGAATGTAGAAACGTTAATTCAAATAAGGTATTTAGAATAACGTTCTCGGACTTAAGATGTTATCAATCATTCCACGCATGACCTGGATATAAAATTCATTATCGGAAATTAAGAGTTACGAAGACGTTTTCATTTCAATACGTTTAAAGACGTTTTCGTTCAAGATGTGCACTTTATCGTCAACTTGCGTAACGGTCACTCGGAAGGTGCCCTTTTCCAGATTTTAAATCACCTTTTAGGATTTACGCAATCACAGCTTTGCACTGTGGGTCTGGGACGTTTAATTTGCAAACGACGATAAGTTCGATTAAAGACGATGCAAATGATAAAAATCAGAATAAAATTAATTTGGGCTTTGAAATCACTCTTTAATTTCATTAACATCTGTCGCCGATGTGATAGCATAGTTATGCCAATAATATGAAACTTTGATCTCCGCCGACCCACAAGAAATAATAATTGCGCACAGGAACAAAAAGCGGAAATATAAAAACGTACAGGGGACAAAAAATTATCGAATATGACGAAATTAACCAGTAAAAATCGCTTTGTTGCCGATTTTCAATTTTTCCATTGATTTCCAAACCGACCTCCGACGTTCTGGAATCATATCGTGTGTAAAAAATATTCATTGTTATTGGACTGTATGGTATTCGTTAGAAATATTCGAATTATTTAAGTCGAAAAAATATTTGATTTCGCCCACCACTTTATTGGCCACTATAAAAGTTGAAAAACGTGGGAATAAAAAAGAGCGTTGAGAAAAAGTTGCGTGTTTGTGTCTCTTCAATTCCAGTCAGAATCAAATATTTAAAACTCATCGAAACAGCCCCAAATATCACACTAAAATACCATTCCTGTTTTAGCTTATCATAGTATGCAAAAGCAAACTCGCAAAAACATTCATTTGTACCATACTTCAGCTCTTGTAGCTCTGAATCGGAACGTGTCACGTCTTATCCAGCAAAAGTGGACAAGGTATATTATCAATTTCGTTATTTTATTTTCATGTCGGAATGATCGATGTCAGTTGAATGCACAATATAGTTTATTTATTAACAAAATCTCATTTGGTGTTCCGCCATAATTTTAGATTGAAAAAAGTGTTCCGCGGTACAAAAAAGGTTGAAAACGAGAATATCGGTCGGAGACCGAGACTTATCGATCTTAGATCGGTAATTAGTTAATAACTCGCTAATTATACGACATAATTAACCCAAAATCGATAGGCGATCTGGTCCGAGGTAAGGTGCATGCACATGCAAAATTTGGAGCAGATTCAACCACGCGTTCGTGAGATATCGCGTTCATCTAACAGACACACACACACACACACAGACATACAAATACCTATCAATATACTTACCGATCTTAAGATCAATAAGTAATGACTGTGCTAGTAGATCTGTATGTGTATACTGCAAGGATGCTGTAGCAGGAATAGACATGAATATTCTATCCAATTCAAGAGTCCTGCTGCGCACTAACACAAATGTATTTCAATTCTTATTGTTTTAATTTTCCTCGGAATCAGATATTTTAAAACTGGTAAAATAAAGCTTATAAACATATACATTCATAGAAGGAGCGTTATATTCAATTCTTCTGTGTGTCGCCTACTCATCTTAGATAACATCAATTGAAAAGCTGGTGATTTTGTTATATATTCACTTCTGGGTTAAGCTTTGTCCAAACTGAAGAAGAAGGAACTCGTGTTGATGGGTTAAACTCTAGTTAACCGGGGAATCCTGCTTTTAATTAATCTCTGTTTAGGATTGCTTTTCTTTTTCTTTGGCTTGCATGGCTAGTTTACCTTCACCTTATAGTAAACTCAGAGCGGAATGACTTAAGATGTCAATAAGCGAACAAAGCCCATACTTATTGCATAAAAACCAACATGGATAATTTCCAGATGGGAGAAGCTCCGAAAGACAAGAGTCCCAATTTTATAGATTACCGAAAGAGCAGTGAGTAGTCAGTATAGAATCTTACCTATTGATATTTGCATTTATTTGTGAATTTCTACATTCAGAACCAGCTAAATATTTAAACGTTAATTATATGCCGTCCAAAGGGGTAGGTGAGTACAAGTTGGCAAGGCTAGGTGCGTTCGAGCAAATCGAGTGCTACATAATTGACTCGGCGGTGTGGCGCATCGCGCTAAGCGTTCGGAATACGTCTACGCCGCGCCCCGTGTTCGAATCCCACGCGGGGATAATTATGTGCGGGACGATTGCTGAACTCCTCCGCCATCAAATCCATACATCTGAAATCAATAAATGGCTAACTAATCACATACTCGGCATGGACAGGTAACCGGGCGATTGAGCCGCCATATCGACTTTCCTCTCCCACGAGATAAATATGTAAATCCTATCCTATTTTACTCTTAGCGTTCCATATTATTCCAGATGGCATGCAAATATGACCGGGTTTACCTTCACGGATATTTACATCTATAGACACTTGCACTTATGGGGTTTCGCACCCATTGCTCTTTGTGACGCAATAGGAACATCCTTATGTTATGAATAGTAGTGAAGGCGAACTCATCGCAAACCCGAACGCGATTATTTAGGGTCCCCTTCCATCGGCGTAGACACCATTATGACGCAATAATACAAAGAGTGCGAAGCCCATAGAATTACCTGCTGTAGTGCAGGGGTCGGCAACCTACGGCCCGGAGTAGTACAATCTGGCGCGCGACACTTCACTGAATTATAGTAACAAAACAGCTGTTTTGACGATTATATTTTTTACGTAACAGAATTTATTGTGAGATACGTGTAGACTAAATTTTATTATAACCTAATAAGTGTATAACTCACAAATTCTCGTTTAATTAGCCTATAATTTGATTATAATTAGACAACTGGCAACAAAACGTAGGTTGATGCTAAGTGCAAAGAGTTAAGGGCGCAGAAGGTATTCAAATTGAATTTTTTGAAGTGCAATGCAATGAGGAAATAAATCTACATTCTATTCGAGAGATGTATCATTGCTTCATCTTTATCATAAAAAGTATCATCCCTTCGGTTTTCAACTTTCTAAAAATAAGTCCGGCCCGCCAATGACTTGCAACCCGCAATTTTGGCCGCGAGCGACAAAAGGTTGCCGACCCCTGGTGTAGTGTAAAGTCTAAACAACTTGTCTGTTTGCTTGTTTCGTGGAAATCCTGCTTTCGCCCTAAAAGCTCGTTGCGAGCAGCGCATCAGAAGCAGTGCATTACGAACAAGTGGGCCCAATGCGTCGTCGCATTAGAAGCAGAGCATTGCCAGGTTGAGGTCGTTTCTCGCTCTCTGTTTTTCTCTTGTTTACACTTCTTTCTCGAGGAATTGCTTTTCTTGTATCACATTCTGACATTTGGTTTAGACTATTTCACTGACCAGACTAATTAATATAGGACCAGTTTTCTGTCAGTAAAAACGCTACTTTAAATTTGTACGTTAATCCAGTAATCAGTCTTCAATTCGAATATATATTTATAGTTGGTAATAAAAATGACTGTCAGACTGTGGGTGCATTCATGAGGCGAATGTGCGTGGGTGCAAATTTCCATTAGTGGAAATGTACGGTACATGGGTGCAAAGTCCGTGGGTGGGTGCAAATGTACCTGCATACTTTTGCACCCATACATTCTGACATTTGCATTATCTTAAGCACCTATATACAGATATACTGTTATACAGACTGGTCTCGTGTAGTTTCGTAACAATTTTTTGATATGTCAATCCTAACCCCCATCTGATTACGCCATCCAATTACGCCATCCAAAAATTAAATCACTACGACCTCACAATCACGTCATAGAGCTTGCCAAATATACGCATGATCGACCGAAATGGCATTGGCGCCGACGATAAAGAACTGACTGACGTTATCGGTCTCTCTCCTATTGGAATCGTTGCGACAAGAAAACGAGAGAAATCACTGTTCGATTTCGGGTGCTCGTTTGCGCGTCTTGGATGGCAGTTCGTATAGTTTGAAGGGCTCTATTACGTCACTGTGATGTCGTAATAACGTAATTTTCGGATGGTGTAGTCAGGTGGGGGTTAGGATTGATACATGAAAAAATTGACATGCTACGCCCACTAGAAGTATGTTAGGTAAGAAACTACATGAGACCCTATACAGACTGCACCCTGTTTTTTCTCTTCTTTCTCTATCTTCTATTGATCTGTACTCTCTGACTCTGTAGTATTTTTTTAATCAGTCTTGTTTTCAGAATTTTTTTTAAAAGAATATGGAAAAAATTAGCTTGCAATTTATGGCAATTGCAGTATAATATAAGCTGCAATTAAAAAATATTTTGAGCTGCCAATCTACAACAAAGTATATTCAGATATTTCTATACATCTTCGTCTATAATCTGACAATGGATGTGGATTTGGCGACAATGGATTATTATGATAATGCTAATTTACCTGATGATTATACATATTATGATGAACAATACCCCATAGTGAGAGTTGAAGATAGAGTGGAATATTTTAACATAAAAGAAGAACTGAAGAATCTCGTTGAAAACTGTATGGGAACAGTCGTCTTACAATCAGCAAATCAACTTCGTATTTTGTTGCTTTCGTGTCTGATATTCAGAATCATTGCAAGGTTATCTTTTATATTTGCATCGAGTTTTCCAAATCTTAGAATTACCCTTCTTCATATATTGAGTATTATATTGGGATTTGTTGCTTTGTATAGTATTAATCATGAAACATTTCACACTGTTGTATTCGTGATGCTCATATATATTTTTTTAACTTACATAATATTTCATATCTTCTGTAATTTCAAATTAACATGTGGGAGAGTTGTGTCTGTGCTGACGGTTTTGTATCTATTTTCCGGAGAACTTTTGATCAGTGTTCCACAACATTGGAATCAAATTCGTGGTGTCCTGTTACTTCTATCAATGAAATCTATTTCTTTGGCGTTTAGTTTAGATAACAAAAATGTTTTGAAGCCTCCGAGTGTATTTTCATACATGGGATACTGCATGCATTCTGGTACTCTGGTATTTGGTCCTTGGGTCGAATATAAAGACTATGTCAATTCTGTATTGCAACCAAAACCAATAACTTTTACCTGGATTTTTCATGTTATCAAAAGTCTGTTTTTTGCATGCATATGTTTGTTGTTGTCAACTTGCCTTCTGTCCTATCTTTTTATTGATGCTACTCAGCCAGAATTGCCTTCAATCACACCATTTGTAGCCAATTACTGGATGTTATCTTATAAAAGTGCTATTTCTTTACACTTTAGTCATTTTTATATTTGTTACTTGTCACAAACCACATGTATGTTGTCTGGTATCGGGTCTGAAAAACATTCCGATAATCAAGTTTGGTCCGAATTTTCCATTACTAAACCTTTTGCTGTAGAAATTCCAACATCTATGCTGAATGTAGTTGTAGCTTGGAATATGCAAACAAGTAAATGGTTGAAAGAATATGTATTCGATGCTTCCAAATCTTTGGGCAGAAAGATGTCTGTATTATTAACATATGTAGCAAGTGCAATGTTGCATGGATTAAGTTTTCATCTTGCTGCTGTACTTTTATCATTAGCTTTTTATACATATGTTGAATATAACTTAAGAAAGAAGATTTCTCTTGTATTCAATTGTCCCTATGTACAATCAAGACCAAAAAAATCGGAAGTGCAATCAGCAGTGCCGCTATGGGCATATGCTTTCAATTTCATGTGGATTTTGATCAATTTAATGCATCTAGCATATCTTGGGGCAATATTTCAATCAGAAGATGAAACTATTGCGAAAGAAGGATATCCAATGAAACATACCATTGAAAAATGGGCTAACTTGAATTTTTTCAGTCACATTTTTGCATTTGCATGTTTCATTTTCAATTCTTTGATGTAGTATGAGCAGTTGTCTTATAGGAGTATACCATAATTAAAAATCATCTGAATATCAATCCAGTATAGAAGAACTATTGTGAGACTCCATTAATCATAAAATTAAAAAACTGATATTTAAATATATATTTTCATACTGCCCTTTGCAGTTACCTGTTTATTATTAATTTTTTTTCCATTTGTTTTTCATTTACAAAGATTTTTTAATCATTGCCAATTCGCTACAATAGCCAAATTACAAATATTGAATTGTTTCACATCTTAAATTATAAATCAGTCACGTGTCATGTATTATTTTTTGTGTGATGATATATTCATATAATTCCAGTTTCATATAATATTTATGAATATATACAACTGCATTCTATAGTAAAACCTATCTTTTGTTCAATAATATTAAGCATCATAGCAATAATGTTCTACCTTTAATTATACTTATTAGGCTTGTATTATCGTTACAAATTGTTTGTAGCCACTTTATATACTCTTACATATGGCAGACCCATATAATATACACACAGCCTACCCAATCTATCATACCTCAAGTAAAAAATGGTGCATACATGGCTACATCACTGCCTTCTAGTTCATATATCTCGATTTATTGACTAATTCACTATACTTCATTTGTACATTTTTGAATCATTCCACTGTTGCCCAGTTCAAATAGTTTTCAGCTAAAATTGTGACAATCTTCTACCCAGCCAATGTGATTTCCTGCTAAATTTCGCAATCTTCACTTTCTAGCAATAGTGTTGTATATGTTAGGGTAATAGGGACAATGGCTCAATCTATGAAAATTACATCAGTGTCTACAACTCCTTATGAAGATCAAAAGCCTGGTACAAGTGGATTAAGAAAACCAACAAAGGTCGCTACATTATTTTAACATAGTTACTGATCGTTTGTGACGTATCACTCAAATTATTTCACACTTTAAATTTTTTATTACTTGGATGAGATTACAACTTTTGTTTATGGTGATTTCGTCTGTTATTTGAAGGGCTTCGAAGTATGAGTCGTACTTTCAAATTTCCGGAAGTTTGAGTCGAAATTTTCAGTTCGCAGGAATTTCGAATTTGTAATGGTGATAATTGAAATAAAAAAATTCACAAAAATTAAGTTGAAGAAGCATCTGTAACAGTCCATTAAAATAGGCTTGCATACGCCAAAGCAAAACTTTTCTAATCGAAGTTTGTTTATTTAGGGGTTTGCAGACAGAGTTGAAACTTCAATCAATTTGAAGTTGAAAGAGTCTTACTATCTTTAGTCAGAGTCCAATTTTTTTCAACTCCTGATTGTAGATTTTCCTTAATTTCACAGCCTTGATTTTGAATTTCCTCGAATAAAATAAATTTTTTTCAAAATAGTAAGCTTATATCATTTGAAAGTTTATTTACAGTCTCTTTTGTTTATAACAGGTTTTTCTGACCAAGGCAAACTACACAGAAAATTTTGTACAATCAATATTAAGTGTTGTCAAACCAAATCAAGACAGTGTTTTAGTTGTTGGTGGAGATGGAAGATATTACATGAAAGATGCGATACAGATTATTGCCAAGTTATCAGCAGCCAACAAGGTAGGTATATATATATATTTTATATATCAATGGTTAGACAACTGGTCAAATTTGATTTTTGTTTGAATGGTATCTGACTTTCAGACTTTTATGCAGCACAATGGCCCTGGCCCTTTATAAAGCGTTTCACATACCTGTGTCATACCTGAATCACAGAATACACATTACATGCCTAAATCTCATGACCTCCACCCCACTCAGGGAGTAAAAAATTAGGTAGGCTATGCTGAACCAGTAAGATTCCAGACCTTCCTAATAAAAGGTAGCTGAACTAAACATATTATCATATATCAGTTTAGCTTGTAATAGGGCTTTGTTAAGAGCAAAAGCCTAAATACGCGCTACTCAAAAAAATAAAGTTATTATGGTTTTGTTGCAGAAAAATAACTACCGGTTATCAAATATTGCAAAAGCTCTTCTTGTATGCTTCTTGGTGAACAATTAAATGCCTTCGGGTCATATTCTGGTATGCAACGTGCTGCTGCGTTCCACGTCATGCAAATGTTGTAATCTAAACCGGTAGGCCCACTCAGGAAAAAAATTCGCATGACATGGTCAAGTGGAATACAACATTGTTCCAATTCAAATCATTTTAGCAAGTTATTAAATTTGTTTAAGATACCTAATAGTGCGCATGATAGTGATTATATTGAAATAATTTTGAAAATTTAAATTTTTTTTATAATTTTTGTACAGTAGGCTTATTCATTTTTTTGACTTTTTTTGTGCATTATCTGTGAAGGTTGGAAAGCTTGTGATTGGTCAAAGTGGTATTTTGTCTACACCAGCTGTTTCATGCGTCATTAGGAAACTGTCTGCCACTGGAGGTATTATCTTGACCGCTAGTCATAATCCTGGAGGTCCAGATGCAGATTTTGGAATCAAGTATAACATTTCCAATGGAGGTAATTTTGCATTGATTTTAAGCATTGTTAGGCTTTCCATCATTTCCATGAGAAATATATCACTTTCTCAAATTTCAATCCATGGTTTTAAGTTTTCTATGTCAGCCAAACAGAATACATGGGAATGAATTTTACCAAGAGTTGAAATGTAATTATTTCATAAAATCACCTTAGATTGAGCATGTACAATCGGAGGAAATTTATTTTCACAAAATAATGTTAAAAAATAGCTTTCCATGAAAATACAGTGTATTAAACAATTCAAACATTGAATTGTATGGGTCGTTATGCATGCCTGTCACAGATCATCAAGGGCCATACAGCTTGAGCCGACTTAATAGCAGCATTTGAGACATTTCCCATGAGACATTGTAAATGTAATGTACCCAAACAGAATCTACATATGTTTTAATCGTGTTAAATTTCACTTAATCACAATTTATTGAACAATTAATATCATTTAGTGTTATGTTTTCAGTATATTAAATTTTGTGTTTTTGTATCTTTTTAGGACCAGCGCCATCACAAGTCACGGATGCAATTTTCAATGAGTCAATAAGTTTGAAGAATTATGAAACATGCTCTGATCTTAATATAGATCTTGAAACGCTAGGGAAGCAAACATTCATTGTAGGAGATGATAAGGTTTGTCATGCTCCCACTTTAGAAACCATTTTTCTCATTTCATTTGCTGTAATCCTACCGTAAAATCATGCTTTGAGGAGGTTTCCTTGCTCAAAATTTGTGTGGACAAATTGTGACTGAAAAAATCGTGATTTTGTTTTGTTTAAGTAAAATGTTTCTAATGACTGAATTATCAAACTTGGTGAATTTATCACACCGCACTGCAAATTTATTGCATATCTATATTGTTGGAAAGCTTACTGCTGTGATATGGACATCTCTCATTCTAATAATGCCTCATTCTTGTTTTCAGAGAACCTTCACAGTTGATATTATCAGTTCTGTGGATGATTATGTTGATTTAATGAAAACCATTTTTGATTTTGACTCCATCAAACGATTTATTAAGACGAAAGATTTTAAGCTCAGATTTGATGCCCTTCATGGAGGTTGGTGCTATATATTTTGTTTCTCATACCGATTAATATGAACATTTTGGATAATTTCCCATTTTTTTTTATATATACATAGTAATCTGCTTCATATACTAATCTCTGTCATATTTATAAAGTGAGATGGAGAAATTTGATTTTATTTCTCAATTTTTAAATTTATCTATTCAATATGTACATAGTATTCCAGAATTTAGATTAATTAAACAAGTTCGAATCCCATGGGGGAATAAGTATGTGCAAGAGGATTGATTGCTTAACTTCTCACCATTGTGGGGTGGTTTGCATAACTGTCGTCTTGTTATGGCTTCCTCTACTATCAATCACCATTGTTGGGGGGTTTGCATAACTGTCGTCTTGTTATGGCTTCCTCTACTATCAAGTCCATGAATCTGAAATAAATAACTGACTGGTTAACTATTCCCTTCAATTATTCCCATTTTCCAAACTGATGTGGACTAATAACGGAACTAGACTAGGCTGTGGTTCACTATATGGTTGAAGCACTATATGGTTGAACCACCCCATCCACTTTCCTCTCCTCCTTTCATCATCATTAGAATATAGTACGACAAAAAATATTTTTGTTTTAACAGTGGTGGGTCCTTATGCCCGACGAGTGCTTTGTGATGAGCTGGGTTGTCCTGAGGATTATCTTGCCCACTGTGTACCTAAAGAAGATTTTGGTGGATCCCATCCCGACCCTAACCTCACCTATGCTCGTGACCTTGTTGTTGAGATGGAAAAGGGGATCTATGATTTCGGTGCTGCTTTTGATGGGGATGGAGTAAGTTGACAATTCTTAGGTATTTGAATTGGCACGCCCTGCTAAATATAGTGGAACAACAAAAATCTTTTTTCGTCGAATGTGAGAGGAGGTTTAGTTGAACAAATTCCAATAATATATCTGTAAAAAAAGTTTATCAAAAATTTGAAATTTTGAAATTTTTTGGATAAACCTTGTGAGTTATTCTATATCTCAGCAATTCCTATTTTCTATAAAAAACTCATCACTTCTCACTCACTTACTCTGGGCTATATATTATAATAACAGCTATAAATTAATAATCTTCTTTTATAGGATCGCAACATGTTGATCGGCAAAAATGGTTTCTATGTTTCTCCTTGTGATTCCCTTGCAATAATCGGAGCGAATCATGACGCAATTCCGTATTTCCGTAAACATGGTATGAAGGGAATGGCCCGTAGTATGCCAACTAGTGGTGCGATCGACTATGTTGCAAAAGAAATGAATGTGGGATTTTATGAAACACCAACAGGTTTGTACATGTTTTTTTTCATTGGTGCATGAAGTAGGCATACGATGATGAAGGCTATATTATCATACAGTTTCAATTTTGTTAATTACTATCACTAGATAATGTCTCACTGGTTAATACAAGAGTAAATTATATGATATCCAAAAGCTTATTTCCTAATTTTTGAATGTTACAATTTTTCAAGTAAACTGTCTGGAACAGGGTGACCCAAAAAAAGATCCAGGTCATTTGGACCAGATTCTAGAGAGAATCAACTTTTGCGCAAAGTGTCCTATATTATTGGAAATTTTGGGCGCAATTAACACAAACAGAAGTTCGAGTGTTAAATAAATTTCTTCATTTTCGTAGAGCTAATTAGGAAATCTTTTGTGGGTCAACCTGTATAAAGTAAAGTCAAAAAAAGATCTCAATGTCAAAGCTAAATTTTATCGAAGAAACATTCATTTACATCATTTGAATCTTTAAAAAAGTTGGAATCAAAATAACCGGACACGCATTTTTTTGGGCATACTTTTTAAATATTAAAAATTTTATGATGAACATATCTATGGGATAATGTTGAAATGTAGTTTTTTGAAATGGTCATAATGTGTCCAAAGCGTTGTTATGGTTATAATCTTACTCTTCTGTATATACGATGAAATTTGTGTATATACAATGAAAATGTAGACCACTGATTCACACATTGGCCATTTCACCTAATATGCAAATTTTCATTATGAATTGGGAATTTTTTCAAATATTTTTCTTTAGTTATCCAGGAATCAAAACCATCATTGGTGATTGGCCGTTATGTCTATCGATAATCATTTTATACATATTGTGCATGGAAGGTTGAATAAATAGTTTATAATTGATATAATAAAGAAATCATGGTATTTTAGGTTGGAAATTCTTTGGTAATTTGATGGACGATGGTAAACTGTCCCTGTGTGGAGAAGAGAGCTTTGGTACTGGATCTGATCATATAAGAGAAAAAGATGGATTATGGGCTGCTTTAGCTTGGTTGTCAATACTCTCACATTTGAATTTAACTGCTGAAGAAGTTGTAAAGAAACATTGGGAGAAATATGGTAGAAACTGTTTTACCAGGTTTGTTCCAACATTTATTGGATAATTTAGGAGAAATTAGATCACAGTGCACTCTGCAGTTATCACTCTTAATTTACGCTCGTGTAGATGATTCCTCAGCTCTAAGAAAGAAAATGTTCTGGCCAAATTAATATTCTCATAATCGGTTGTGCCACTAAATTTTGGATAGTCCAAACGCAGTTAGTCTAACTTTACTCAAGACGAGAGTATATGAGTACTCAATTTGGGTAGACTAATTGGATCCGACAAAATAACAACCACTTAAAACTCATTCGAATGTATTATTATCTGCTTAAAAGATTGTTCTCTATGACATAGTTCACTGCTTTTTTTACTGGTTACATCTGATTAGAAATATTGCTTTTGGTCTAAATATGAACTCAGATTTTTTGAACCTAAATTCATTATTCATCTATGATTTCAGTTTCAAATTATTCCTATTCACCTTGCATGATTATTTTTATCAATAAATGTGGCAATAATTAGCAGGATTGACAAAATTATTTATTAATTTTATATGTTTTATTTATAACTTCATATCCAACTTAACAATTATTAATATAGGGAAAATATCAATTCAAATTGCTTTGAGATATTCTGTTACTTCCAGGTACGACTATGAACAGGTGGATTCTTCTTCTGCCAATCAAATGATGGAAGGATTGAAGCAACTCGTTCAAGATCAATCCTTAATAGGTACTGAACATAGCAGTTGTGGACAAACTTATACTGTTTCAAAGATGGATGATTTTGAGTATACAGACCCTATTGATCAGAGTGTTGCAAAAAATCAGGCGAGTTTAATATTTTTTTGGTACTTCTTTAGTTCATAATTTGTTTTTTCAGTTCTATTACGAGTTCGTGGACTGCCTGTGTTAGCCAAGTGAATATACCTGCTGCCCATAGGTTTCAGTCCCTTTACATAACTTGATTTAAAGTATGCGAACAAAATTAGTTACCTCCATATTGGTACACACACTTCTGGAACGCCATTTTTGCAGTAGTGACATAGACATAGACATTTCATTTTTAGCCTGGGTTCAAGGGGGATCATAATTCAGCTTAATAATCATATGGCGAACGACTTCCTGACCAGTCCATGTCGTGTATGGGATTAGTTAATCAGTTTTTCGTTTCTGATGCATTGACTTGATGGTTGACAAAGCCGCCTCCGAGGAGTCATGCAATCCTATCGCACATATGCAAACCTGAAATTGTTCAGAGTGATGAGACAAGCGTTTACTTCATGTACAGTGTTTATTTTCAGTATGTTGAAAAATAAATTATCAAACTGATTTTATTCAATTGATATTTTCAGGGTATTCGAATCATATTTTCTGATGGATCAAGACTAATTTATAGGTTGAGTGGCACCGGAAGCAGTGGTGCAACTATTAGAATGTATGTCGACAGCTATATCGCAACAGGTACAGTTTTCCTATTTTCGGTCTTCTCTTATTTGCTTTAAAAAAAATCATTTTCTTCTGATATTGAATAAATATGTAGCCAAAAGCCAATTTGTTATGTGACGTTTTAGTGCTCTCTCACTCTGAACAAGGCTCTGCACACGCATCCAATCCTAGGTAAAGTTTTGAAGGACTGAAAGCTTTCAATTTCATTGTTCACCAAATTTATTACATCCTAGGTAAGGTGGTGGGAGCGGTTGCCCACATGGTTCTACTGCTCTAACCCACCCCTTTATTGAAAATCTTTTTGAATTATTTTGGGTTTCTTATGTTTGTTAATTAATCATTGGTTCTCAGGTTCAGAAAATCTCGCTGCTCCTGCATCAGAAGTATTAAAACCACTTGTTGAAATTGCATTGAAATTATCAAAAATACCACAACTTACAGGACGAGAGAAGCCAACTGTTATTACATAAAAACGAAAGTACTACCATAAATTAAATTATAACATGAATGGTGTAAACAATAGTCAAATTGGTAAAAAGTGTTCTTATATTAGTTTATATAACTTATTAATAAATGCAGTATATAATTGATAGGTGCAAAATTTTTCCATTTGTTGGTGTTATAAATATTTATTAAAAAAAAAAACAGTTACCCTAAGTAATAAACACTGTTATCTGTATGTTGTACTAAGAAAAATAATATGCCTATGTTTAGGAGACTTTAATTTTCCATTTTATTGAGCAGAGTTGCCGTGTGGATGATATTTTCAATTCAGAAAAGGGCATATAAATGCACTACAAAATTGTGCCAAAGAAAGTACAACATATTTTGTAAAAACACTAACCTCTGTATTTGGAAAATAACTGTACACAGATGTTGCAAAAATGCAAAATATGTTTCCCCCACTACACAGAATTTTTTTTCTTGTTTTGGATAGACTACAATCATGCAATACTGTCTTAAACGACAATACACTGGGGATATTTACTATTTTTCGCTTTATGTAGAAATAATTTGGTGTCCATGGCCTTGTTTTGTTAAGCTTAATGAGATTTAGTTATCAGAATCCTCAAAGTTTTTTTTAATGAATATATGGACATCCATGACTTGATAGATACTATTCAGTTCCTTTTTGTTGCAATATATATGAATGAAAGTACTACACTGTAATTATCGATATTTCACAGCGAGTAATATCCAGTGCCAAGAGTGTACAATAATTGAAACTGTTTTCAAGTGACGCCACCCAAATTCCCCACGCTAGGGTTATTCATAAATGCATATATTTTTTGTGGGGTGATATAATGAAATAATAACATATACACATTTTTCGTTTTTGGTACTATTAAAGTTTACAAAGTTTATATTATGCTTAATCAAAAGCACTAGGTAATGTTCTCAAAGTTCCAATATATAACATTTGCAAGTTTATGCCATTGTAATAATGACAAATAATAAATAGACTTCCAGTGCTACTGATGTTGTATTTGTGGAATATTGGGAGGTTTAAGCGAAAGAATTTAGATTAGTGTGAGTCGGTTTGAGAAGAGTAGTATTTGTTAGACTATTTCAGAGTTCGGACCGCACGAATTTGTACTATTTTTTGGTTCCATCACATTGGTATCGTCGGGGTATGAAAAGGTTATCTTAACACAAATCCCTGAAAATTTTAATAATTTGCTTCACAAAGCGGGACTCTAAGATACAGATAACAGCAGTGTATATGCATGGAGGTTTTCTTTAACAATCGCCGTATCAGTAAACAGATCCCTGAAATGTGACTTTTGCGGAAGCCGAAGGCTTCTTTCCATCTGATTCTTGGACTGCCTTCATTGACAACGTTGGCATATAGGGCTTTGACTCGCATAATCTATTTTTTACGCGACCTTGCTTTGAGCAAACTAAATAATCAATCATTCATAAAAGAAGTATTTGAAGGTTTCATCATGTCTAAGTTCTTTTCATACCAATATGCTTTTTGCGGCTTTTATTCAATTGTTTTTCTCCTGGATGCTACTCATAAATACCGTTTTAAAGTATATTTAGGCTTCGTTCACTTCCCAGAATTTTTCGCGTTTTATTTCTGTGGGCATTGTATTATTTTTTCGAATGAATCGAAATATAATAAAGTATAGCTATCTGTCTAGTAGGCAGTGAAGCTCCGATCATAGATTGAAAGCGGACGTTAAAACAAAAAACGTTTATTATTTTTCTATCACCATAGTGTGAAACCTTTCTAAATAAAGCCGCAGGAACGTATACGTATAGCGGTGTATTTGCAACTGCCGGCTCGCATATCTCCGTGACAGCTGCAGTAGTCGTGCCAATAACAAGCTTTCGATGTTTTGTTGACCGATCGCATACAGTCAAATAAAAATCAAATACTTCACAGGCAGGCTGCATTTCAACAAACTACGTATCCCAGTGATTAATCAGTAACTCAGGTTGTTGGCTCAGGAATATTACGGCACATACGTTGAAGGCAGAGGATTATTGAGTCTATACTTTTTAGGTAAAAGATTATGTCGCTACAGGTAACTCGGGATGTGTCTGCTGCAGACATTCTCCTAATTTGTGTGCCAAAGTGTGCTCGAAAGTTTTGTGCTATAGCTCAAACAATATGGATAATATATAAAGATTTTGTGTTTAGCCGATGGAGAGGACAGCCTATTCACATGGAGAAAGACGGTCTCTCATCTGCTTACCTGTGCTTGTCCCGATATGGGAATTGTTAACCAGTTGTTCCAGACGCATGAACTTAATGACGTATGAAAATGTAACCGACAATTACGTGAACCGCCCCGCGACCACGGAAAGTCCCAGATAATCATCCCCTTCCTTTTTAATGGTGGCTATTTTACATACCGTATTTCCCGGCGAATAAGTCGCTTTTCTAGACCCGAATTTTTGGCTTGATTTTGGGGTGGGGGTCGTCTTATTAGGCGAGTATGATAACTTTTTTGGTGTTGCCTCATTATTCAATTCGTACCATAACATACCAAATACCTTCGGCGATAACATCCCTACGTCCTCATCATTGCCGTGTTATTTTATATCGGTAATGTTCTCATATGGTGGCCGCAATCGCGAGTTAGGCTGAACAAAATTAGATTGAAATTTAAGGACAGTTTGAATTCTCCTAGTTGTTATGAATTGAATACTACGCTACAAGAAAAGTCATTATGGGCTATTTTAACCAATGCGCAAGTCTTATTGGCAGGTTATATGCAAAAACCCATTTTTCAGGCTTAAAAACGGGTCTCGTCTTCTTGTCGGGTAGACTTATTCGCCGGGAAATACTGTAATCCTCGTTCACAATCATCAGGACCAGAATCGCGAATCATAAAATGGGGACGTTTAATTTCAAAGTACTTCACAACTGTGCCTACGCGTCCAGAACGTGTTATCTGTTTTAATTGAGCTATTGACCGTGATTTCGCAAATTTACCCGTTTGGGCACAACTAAATTTGCTATTTTCAAAGTTAAGTAACGAGCCTTTAATCGAGAGTGATAACAAATAATTATTTTTTATTTGAATAAGAATACAAATATAGATACCTAGCCTAACAATGGAGCCGGAGAAGAAACATCGTCTAATTAAATACAGCATTGCGGCGATAGCTATTTTAGTGGCTGTTGGATTCTGTGTTGGAATAATATACGCCGTTGCTGACTATTACGCTAACGAAGATGATATTGATGTTGCTACTGAAAAACCAACCACTTCAACAGTTTTAAGCACAACTGCAGGTAAGCAATCATAGACTATTCCAAAGAATTCGGACACTGATAGTATGGAGGAAGTCAACGTTTTCCCTATTTGACACATTCTCTACGATGAATTTGCTTGAACTGAATGCTGTTTGCTAGATAAATTCTAAAGTCAATAAGTCAAGAGCAAGAAAAATATGAACATTCCGCCCTTTATCGCATGTTATTGAACGAAGAAAATATCTAAGCAAAGTTTGCCTGTGCGCAGTGGTGGGATTCAGCCGGTTCGCACCAGTTCTATAGAAACGTCTCACGGAATTTTATGAGATCAGCGAATCGGTTAGCATTACATGACTTTTTGTAACAGAACCGCCTGAAAATATGACATTTGTATGATGGAACCGGCTGACAAAAAATTTGAATCCCACCACTGCCTGTGCGCAATTCCTGATGAATGTAATCACCCATCCATGACACATAATGAACTATCACAAGAGAGTAACTCATGCGCAGTAACGCATATGTTAATGTGGCTTTTCTTCTTGGTATTTTGTAGTAACACAGAATCCAGTCCCAGAAATTACTGGAGGAGACATTCTTGATTACTTTGTGGATGCAAACGATGACGGTCTGTACGTTTCATTTGTTCATGGAGCTAATTCAATTTCGGAGATGGAAAAAGCATTGAGTGATGGTAATTCGTAGATAAAGAATCAATATCAAATTCTCAAATCCATGCTTCCGAAAACAAATAACTGGCTCATTTATCCCATACCCGACATGAACTGGTAACCGAATGAGAGGCCGTGGTTTGTCATATGACATTCCTCTCCACATGAATAAATATGTAAATCCCATCCTAAATATGTAAATCCTATACTATATTTCTTTCTGGAATTCAGAAATTGAAAAACTTAAAAGGTAGACGAATTGCGACCTGTTTTATTTACTTGGCAGTTAAGTCGAACGTTAGTGGTTTAGTTATTTAGGCTAACTTTACCAAGGACGGGACTTCAAAATGTCGTGTTGGTTGTTATAAGGTGAGAGACTATGCATACGGCTTATCGAGCTTGAAGATGAATAGGGGTCTGTGACTGAGCTATGCTATACAACCTACCTATGGTATATATAATGAAGATTTTATTTATTAGATTCGATTGACATGCTCGAAGCAGATATAACACTTCGATATTACGGGCTTGAAAACCAAACGACAGAACCTATTATGGCCCATCCTCCTGCCTTCAACAGCGATAACACACTTGCTAATTGGTTTGAAAACGTTATTCCATCCAAGAAGGGAATAAAAATGGACATAAAGGTTGAAGAAGTCATACCTCATGCTCTCAAAGAACTACAGTACGTAATTGGATAACATTTTTGCTATGTAGACCAGCAGCCAAAATGAAGGCAAGCTTCGAGGCAAAAATGGAAGATTATTTTTGCTCGTGAATAAAAAACGATATATTTTCAAAAAATATGGGTATTTTATGCACAACGGCTGATTAGGATGTATTTGGACTCTTACTGCAATTCAGATTACACAGGAGCAAATTGATGCAACCAGTGTGGATCAATGCCGATGTAATACAAGGACCTAATACGTTGTCGACTCCGATAGATGGAGATTATTTCGTCCATAACGTCAATCAATACTTTCCTAATGTTACTTTATCATTAGGATGGACGACTGGGTACAGGTACACAAATACATTTCTGAAATACGTATTTGGCCCAAATAGCTACCGTTGTGAAATTTTTTTTTTTTTTATATTCTCGACTGGGCTTATCCCTATTCCAAGCACTTTGGCTGAGTATTGTATTGACATCAACACTTAATTGTAATATCGTGTACGTGACTGATACACTCAAACCATTACACTTGTTTTTATTTATAATTAGATTTATTCTTAACTATATGTTATAAATTTATTGTTAGGATTGCTCTTGAAAATGAAGAATATTCGTGGGAATCGATGGATGATATGCTCCGCCTAGCATCCAGTACCAATCAAAGAATAACTTTTCCGATTCGCGCTGCTCTTGCAAGACAGTCATGGTATAAGTTTCTCTGGCTTTTAGAACAAGATAAAAGGTATGTATGGAAATGAGGCACATAATTTTCTCGGAATATGAAAACCTATCGAACTGTATTTATCATAATATATAAATCTGAAAAAGGGATGTATTTAATTAAAAAGTGAGTTTGCGTAAAGTGAACACGTTGCAACAACTATGTAACAGTGTGGATTGGTATCGGGCTGCCATACACAAAACGGATTTGAGTTTTAGGGCAACTACGCAATATGTGTGTTGCCAATCATGTACAGTGTTTTCTGTAAGGAGTTCACTATAGAAAAGTAAAGTGTAAATGGCGAGACCGACGATTAAATATTGGAGTGTGTATAGAAAGAACAAGCGATGCTAAAGTTAGAAAAGATATGTCGGCCTCTCAAGTTAGCGCTTATAGGAAATATGCAAAGCCAGATGTATGTGTGCTGATTTGATATATCTGTTGTCTAAGCCTATTAATAGAGGCGGTCGAATTTTTTGATAAGAAACGTCGGTCTTCGGACCAATGCTAATTTATTTCAATTGTTAAACGAATAGAATGGAAAATTATATATGATTATTGACGTTCGACTGCGGTATTGACCCGGGAGCCTGAAAGTCTTAATCCGGCCCTACCTTAATCTGAAGGGGTAGAATACAATATAACGCTTGTAATCCATCGAAGCGAAGTCATATTATCCTACTTCAAGTTTATCGCAGTAGGCTACAATCGATCATGGGATGATGGTGGTATTGAATGAGCTTTAAGCTGCAAATCTGTTTTGTGTAGGAGGCAAAATTAAACAAATAAGCTAACTGCGTCATTCGAATGAGTAAGCATTGAATCATACGTTGATTACATATAAGCTTGAAATATACATACATTTTTCATTTGAGGTTCTCTTTAACGGTGTGGAGCGCAAGCGTCGATCCCGTATCTTTGGAAGATAAAGTGTATATACGAGACAATTACGACACGTCAAGAGTTTTTTACGACACTGATCCAAATTTTGTGGAAGACATAAGAATGGAAGGTAAGCATATAAAATATAATTTGAACAGAAAAGACATACACGGTGTAATCACGCAAACATAATTGAGGTGTCTGTTTCATGACCGGTCTAGCAGCCATAAGTCAAATTTAGGTCACTGGTCCGACAACACATAGAATGGGGACGATAAAAATAACCTTTTTTCAAATATTACCTGCATTATATTCAACCACCACTTCAAATATAACTATATACTGTATATATGCAGGTTCATTACGACGTATGCTACAATACCCCACACGCTACATCCATTCTCACGAAAATATTTTTACCAGTTTAGCAGGTTTGCTGATGTTGGAGGGAATCTACAAGGAACGATCCCTTTTTCAAACGTATTTTTTAGTCGCAAAATCAAAAAAGGTCAGCCCCCAAGGCACAAAAAGTTGCTGTCAAAAGCAATGACTTTCCCCATAAGTGTTGTAAATTGTTTGTACATTTGTCTTTTATTTTGACGCGTGGGTTGGATTTTTTTATTATAGTCTTTCTATGGGGAATTCCCTATTTTCGTGAATAGTATATTTTAATACGACAAGATATTGTTGCTACGTTATTCATCGCACGAATACAACTAATGAAGCGATCAACTGTGAGCAGATGCATACTTTCTGCATTTTACTTTGCAATTTGAGTGTCATAACACTGTCGCGGATGTCGCGCAAGTCGTTGTATAGGGTAAATTGTTGCGGTGTTGTTTTGCATGCACTGATTGATAGAATTATTCGAACCAGCCAGGACAGTCATAATCTAGCGTGTTAGTGGGTTTAGAAATAACATTTTCAGTATAAAATTCTTTCATATATGAATAAACCTGTAACATGAAAGTTTAGAAACAAATTCTGAAATTGGATGTAACTTAGTCCATTATAGACGTGTCGGTATTCCAAGTTATCATTCTTCGCATCATTGAAGTTTTGGCACAGCTTTATTATTGCTCCATAGTTATTAAATTATTGGCTATTAGTTGGTAGATGAATATTACACCAGGGACTAACATTTTATTGAACTACCAGTGTTTAAAAGACTGGAATTAAAATACGCTCTTAACTTTGGTATAGATATATGTTTATATTTTTTAATGGTAATGATATACCTAATACATGAGGAAGAGTTATAATTAAACATACTTTTAGGTAGGGTGACCATACGTTCTTTTGGAGGATTTGTCCTACTTTTTTGTTAAAAAATTTATGTCCTCCGAGGACGCTCTGAAACGTCAAAATGTCCTCCTTTTTCAAGGGATTAAATATTTAAAATTCTGTTATGATATATATATGTATAATCTACCGTTTTCGATGTGTTAAGAAAATTTTAAACCAAGTAGAGACTTGTAATTATCATTAGACATATGACAAGCAATAAATTGCGTTGTGATAGCATATCATACGGGGTTACTCTACTAGGAGTCTAGATTAAATGCATACGCTAATTGTTATACATACTCGTTTATGACGTAAAAAGTGGATTGTTCTGCAATTATGTTTTACGTCATTTCACCTTATATTTTGCAATAGTAAAATTTCGATTTCGGCAGAAAATTACATTTGTAACTTCAGTAAATTTTGCGAAACAGACGTGATTTAGAAAAGGTCGAACTGATAGCGAAATGGAGTGCATTACTTGCGCTACTTTGGCGAATAAAGGCAAGCTCAGCTTACAGTTGCACCTTGAACATTTGCAGTCGTTTCTTGCTGTGTTTAATGAATAAATAAGGAATAATGATCATTCAGGGGCTTTAATTATTAAAATCAAAGCTTGTCTTAATGCTGTTAAATTTACGATTGAAGAAAGAAACAAATATTCATACAATCCCGAATCTGAATTGCGTAGACTTCAAGCCATTTTCACGATATTGCAAAAAATTACGCGGCAATGTTGACAAAGATTAAAGGAAAAGCCAAATACTCATGATCTAAGGACAAATAAATTGATTCTTCTGTAGATGTTTTTCAATAAAGGCAAAAATGCATTATTTCATTTTCGTCACTTCTATATTTAATCCTAGAGAATTTAGTAGATGTATAATCTTAGTCACAGGTGAAATAAGGTTCTACTAATGTTAAGATATCGACGGTTCTACCAAACGATGTGTCCTCATTTTAGGATTTGGAAATATGGTCACTCTACTTTTAGGTCATATTACTGCATTGGATGAATTTCAATTTGTTCATTAGGCGCGCTGTAGTTAACTGATGCACTTTACAAGATGATAAAAATTGCTGTCAAGCCTATTCCGGCCTTAATGTTGTTTGTAGCGACATTAGCTGCATGGTACAAATATTGGTATTTGCCCCATTATTTCAACAAACAATATATTTCTAAAGTGGAAGGTGATCGCACGGTGGAAAAAGTGTTCTATACTGGAGGGAATGCCCTCGACTTCTTCAGAATTCCAGGAAGAGATGCCATGAAAGTAACATGGGCACATAGAGCAAACAACAAAGCTGATTTGGAAGCAGCTTTAAAAGGTACGCACACTTGATTTCGAGACTGAACAAATAGTACCAAAAACATGATAGCATCACTTTGAAATGGTTGAAACTAATGAGGAATTTCTAGGAATCGATTCAATTATTGTGATCAATCACAAGAACAATACTGTTGATGCAAGGCGGGAATCTAACAGTATATGCCTAGAAAGTAAATTTTTATCATAGTGGAAAGCTATTATAACACACGTTCATGACAACATATTTTTTCGCTACAGATGAGTCAATAATGATGCTCGAAGCTGATGTTAGAACTCGCCCATCAGATGGAATCCCTGTAATGGCTCACACTCCTGCAGATATTCCACTGACTGATCAGACATTAGAAGAATGGCTGCAAAGAGTGAGGCACTTCATACTAATTCACTCAATTGCAGAGTGTTATCAGTAAATTTACGAAGCAATTCCTTAAAATGATAGAATAATGTAGGTTGTGCACTCTGAAATCCCTACATAATTTTGGTATTAATTGTTTCACATACACGCTATTTCATATTCAGAATGAGTTCTTAAACCATGCGCTATTTGAGACATGATGATATTGTTCGAGAATATTCAATACTCTAAGCATAGTGTCATAATGCCATTCAACACAAAGGTTTTATATAATACATAGCTGTTCTTAGAATAACAAACATGTTTTCAATCGCATGGATCAAGATAAATATCAAATCAATCTGAAAAGTACATTTATTTCATTGCATACGTTCTGTTCTCGTAGGTATCCAATGTAACAACGAGGGGAATAAAATTGGATGTAAAAACAACAGACACTTTAGAAAAGGCATTTACAATCATTGCAAAGGAATCTCCAGTAGTACCAGTGTGGTTAAACTCTGATGTATTGAGGGGACCAAATTCTGTGTCTATCCCAGTGAATGCAACAATTTTCTTCTCAAAAGCTGAAGAAATATTTCCACATGCAACACTCTCACCTGGATGGACAACTTGTAAGTAATTACTTTAGCTCTCAACTATTCTGTATGATGCTGATTTTTTCAAGTTTGCTCATAGCAAGCACATACTCACCTTAACGATAGAAGAAGTCATACACATAATCATTATGCATTACCTTAGATAAGCTAAAATCCTGACGATAAATCTGATAATTTTAGAACACTCGTACTGTAGCTTTTCTCTCAAATGAATATAAAATCCTAGAAAACCCGAGTACTACAGTATCAAGTTACCATTTTCAATCCACAGTTTACAATGTCATTGGTGAGAATGAAGGATATAGTCAAGCTATGGTTGAAGAAATGTACTCGTATTGCAAAAGTTCACGTCAAGCGATAACATTTCCAGTCCGGGCATCTCTAACAGCGCAATCCGTGACTGAACTCCAATGGCTTATCAAAAAATCAAACAGGTAATTAACAAACAACTTGCTCAACAAAATGTGAAAAACATACCCACTCATTTCTTAAATGATGTCATAATATGATGAAAAGCATAACTAAGTCTATTCAAAACAGGGCAGTACCTGATTTCAATAACTGCATTTTGCACGAGACAAAAAAAAAACAATATATATAATCAAATTTCTGTTTATATACTTCAAGTATTAGTTTTCAAATGCATATAATTACTTTCAGGTACACTTTGACTGTCTGGCACAGTGGCTCGGAGAATGTACCTATTGAAGACTTGCTAAAAATTCATGACGGATTCACAAAAGAACAAGTATATTATGATTTGCCAGAAGATATGATGAATGAATTCGTTCAAGCATTAGAAAGCAGATAACTAGAACTTCAAACGTGGATAATTATTTAATTTTATACAGCGAACATTTTTCTGCCATCGTCACCATGGTGGTGTCATAGGCGCTGGATTATGAAGATAAGTCATCACAACAGATGATACTGATAACCTGTAAAAAGCATATTCTATATTCAAGAGACTACATGTAAAATTATTGCCCTAATTTGTAGTCTTAACAAAATTCAATCAGTCACATGGGTTCTATCTTTGGTGCATTCTATAGAAAATTACTATACAAACTCCAATCCCTTATCGCTGCATAAAAAGCTGTTAGGGTTGGGTTTTAAGCTGTTAACATACCGGTGCCTATTTCAAGTTTAGTAGAGCCACTATATTAAACTTCTAATTGTCAACTAACCCAATGTTTAAATAATTACTGTATATTATCTACTATGCAATTGTGATGCGAACAAATAATTTCAAAAAAATTTTCTATAAATATTGCATAACTTCCTTTTATGTCAAAAAAGGTTGGATGGCAGATACTACACGTACAATGGTTGATACTATTTATATATAATAAATAATAATATTAAAGCTTATCATTTGTCTGCTATAAATAGACTCAGATCAGCCCCGCTTAGCCATCAATGAAATGGGAAACTCTGCATGGTGAAATTGGTGTTAACATAAAGGGGATGTGATTAATCAATACCACTATGAGATTGATGTCATTAACTCTTAACAACACAGGGGCATATAGCTCCAAACACCTTCGTGGCCAGGCTCAGTATTATACAATTTGCGTTTAGCCACATCCAGAAAATGAGCCTAAATATCTTGATCTAGACCAGTCAAAGTAACTAGTCCAAATGCCATCATTTTTCATATAATTGGCAAAGATTTCTTTACCCCTATTATATAAGAAAGAAATTGCATAGCCTACATCTCAATTATTGCTAAAGAGTAGGCTATTTTCTTTTTAAATTCAAACACTTACATAAAACTGCTAAGAACTTGTCTTCCATCGTCATTTGATCTGGAATTTGCAAAACTTACTAATGATCCAAATATTGATGCCCAAGCACACCACTTAATCTAAATAGAAATGAAAACATTGATAAAAGAAGTGAACTGATCTAATTAAAAATTGTTCGTTTCCTTGACACTGTTGAGTAGCAATATTTAACATAAAAACAAGAGATATCCCAACAGTAAAGATTACATTATGATGCTCCTTGCATCATACGCATACAGATCCACTAGCGCAAAGGCATTGAGGAAGGATTGGGAGTTAGTCTCGCGTAACCTCCACTGATAGTAAAGATTACAGTTTGAAAAGTATGTATCACATCACAGTATTCACAAAAAATGATGATGCCGAATCATTATAGTCATTGCTGATATTGACAGCTCAACTGTATACAGTATTCATGAGTTAGGATTTTCATATTTATTCCAATTAGAGATAAATTGCTCAGGGTTTACATGAATGACATTACAGCAATGAGGGATCCCGGCAATCCTCTCTCTCACATATTATTATCCACCATGGGAAGCAGACCCACACCGGGTAATAAGAGGCCATGTTCTGATGTTCCAGCCCCAGAGTAACTTATAAAAATGAATTACCTTTAGCATGAGTCCACACATGCTGAATATCATCGATACCAGGTTAATATAATCAGGTAATGGATCATCGCCAAGATTTCCACTTTGAGGTTTGTACCTGAGTAGAAATAAAGTAATAACCAGATAATGCTGAATTGGAAATGTTCAAAAACTAGGGATATAATAGAAATGGGAGTCGTATTCTTATATGGTACTGTAATTAATACAGTAATATCAATTTTAAGAATGTAACATAAAAACAATTATTTGAAACATGTGCTATCACTGCTATACCAGTATACAGTGCCGGTATTAAGTTAGTATGACTACCGTACCAGTACGGTACCTGTTGACCGTCACCAACTTCAACATGGTACTGGTACCGGTACCATTGTAAACTTCGAAAAAACTGTTTAAATACGGTACAGTAGCGGTATGCTAACCTTACTATCTTTGAAGAATTTTTCTTTTTAGTGTCTACTACTTCCATTGTTGATATTATCCCAGATTCTACAATATACTTAGATGTTTGAAATGACTAGATTGCCACAATAAAGACCAATTTTCAGTCAAAAGACTACAGCAAAAAATAATCAATGCTGCGAAGCGGTGAGGTGGTGCGCGGAGTATTGAGCTCATACCTACTGCCCATATGGGTATATATGGGCTTTGCTACTGCCTAGCGAAGAATGCTTATTTCCCCGACTCTTGACCCCATAAAAATTATCATTTGTTTTATTTTTCATACCAAACCCGGTTCTTTTATGGTGATCAGTAATGTTCTAGATCTCATTTATTACATGTCTTCTGAGGTTTGAACCAGGGGAGGGCAAGTTACGACCCACGGGCCGGATCCGGCCCACCGAAGTGTTTTATTCGGCTCACTTGTGTCTGTTGAAATTACGACTATAGTTTTTATGGATATAAATTTAGGTTGGGAATATCGATGAAAATAACGTCATGATGCCCCCGATTGTTAAATTGTACATAGAATTTTTATATAATGGCTCTTATAAACTTGATCTAGCCATATTAAAACCTAACCTTATCTGCGACTGGCCCACTCAGAAAAGTAATTGCCCACCCCTGGTTTAAACTCCATCATAATCCTGCTGTTAAGTATCGAATCATGGAGATAAATTATCTGTTGACTCACTTCCTGCATTTTGTATAGCGTAATTCATATTTAGTAGTAACCAATTCTGACAGTTTTCGTACAGTGTAAAATGGTTAGGAGCAAGCTTCCCTCTAAGCTGCGCAACTGCGCAGTACCACCAGAACATTTGCGCAGTAAAATCTCATTGTCGCGCAGTCGCAATATTCCGTGTTTGAATCGTGGCTCATATTTCGTATTTTCAATGTCATATTTAATAACGCTTAACTAGAATGCTCGTACTATGTTTCACGCGTATTTTAGTGCCCCCTAGTCATTGTGATGTCACACACATGTCGGTCACGCTCAAGTACCTTGATTTCTGTATGCCAGCGCGGGCCAAAGCGTGGTGCGGGTCGGTGTTGCATTTTGAAATTTTCATCGCGTTTTCTGAATTTCGTGTTGTTGCAGCATCAAAATCTTGTTATTGTCCGCACTCCGCAGTGTAGTCAACACAGATAAAGATATGGAAGGTTTAGAATTTTATTAGGTATCAAATGTTGCAAAGCTATTACTCACTGTTTGTTACAGGAAATAAAAAAATAAATAAACTTAAAGTGAAATGGTTAAATACAACAGTGGAGTGTTTAATACTAATTTGCAATCGTGATACGGGTATGCATAAGCTATAAAACAAACTGCTAACTTTGCGAAATTTATTGCTATTCCGCGTCAAGGAATGTGATAATCTGCAAAGTTAGCCAGGAAGTGGTATAGGATAGGATTATCATATTTATCCCGGGAGAGAGGAAAGCCGATAAGACGGCTTATCCATATGGCGAACCACGGCCTCTCGTCCGGTTACCATTCCAAGTCGGGTTTGGGATTAGTTAGTTATACTGTATTGTTTGTTTTCGGAAGCATGGACTTGGTGGTGGAGGAAGCCGTAACCGACCAGCGGTTACGTGAACCACCCAACGACGGCGAGGAGTCCAGCAATCCTCTCGCACATAACCATCCCTGCATGGGAATCGAACCTGCGAACCCACGCAGAGGTACGACATAGTGAATTGGAAAAGACAAATCGTGGGTGGGAATGGGAACTTGACTATCTAAAACGCCATTTAAATCATAAAACGCCCATTGACGCACTAGATCAAGGGTTTCCAAACTTTATTGGTCGCGGGCCGGAAGAGTGTAGCGCCCGAAAGTACGCAACAGTTGGCTGGGGTTCTGTGGATTTACTTTCATTTGACATTTTTTTGAAACATGTATGTTGGACTCATATTGGCGCTCAATGTCGTAATCCTTCATAACTGAAATAGTTCGTTGGCAAAGGAGACAAATCGCTGAAGTTTGATTCTTTTCAATGCAGGAATACGAACGTTGACATTTATCCAATAAACGTCCGTTTTCAGCGTCTAGGATTCGTTTGCTTTTTCACATAAGCTTTCACTTAAGCACGGCGGGCCATTTTAAATCGTTATGTGTGTCTTATTCGGCCCACGGGTCGCGGTTTGGGAACCCCGCACTACATGCATAACTCAGAAGCGAAACGTGGAAGCAAGAAGAGGTTGTTCAAACTTTTTCACCGCAATACCAACCACTGAAGTGAATGAAGTTTTGAAAATCCCGTCAAGTGAAATAAAGTTTCACATAGATAGTTTTACCATGTTTCAAGCTGAATTAATCGATATTGTCCCGCAAAGTAATAAATAGTCGTATGTCAAAATACACTAAATTGCCACATTCATGTTGAAGCAAAAATCACAACAATTATTGTACCTTGGATGATTGTCGCTTGATTCCTCAATAAACACAGCAAACATGGACAAAGTGTATAATGTTACTTGTGTGCTTTGTTCGCATTCCGATAATATATAATAGGCCACTATTGTAACATTTCACAAAGTTTGCAAATAATCTGCTCAGCCTAAAAATGGTCTTTCTCAGTAAAAAAAAAAAAACAGTTGCACGGTGTGAATTTTTTTTAGAGGGAACACTGGTCAGGAGCCTCCATTACCTTCAACGGTCTTGCATACTGACTTAGTGATTTTCCAACCCTCCCCCTCCTCAATTTTGGAGTGTGAGACGACACTTTTAATTCCTTCCTAAGTATAATTGAATTTAAATATTTAGGGAGTGGCGTATTCATCGATGTAGATAGACAGTTAGGTACATAATACATTTTATAAGTTACTTATTGATTTATCGCTATAACAAAATATCTACCACTCTCTAAATTTTGAAATACCTTCCCTGAAATGTAAATCTTGGGAACATAGGCTACTGCACTGAGCTGGCAAAAATGCTGATGTTTATGTGAAAAGGGGTTTTCACGAAATGTGATTATAAATCGGTTCGATTGTTTAATAACCACCATTTCAACATAAAATATTTTACCATCTGTCATTCAAAAGTACTGATATTTAAATTTAGTCTAGTACTCTAGTCTAGTCTATAGATGCTTTTTTCGGGACGAATTTTTGAACGAAATGTTGATGTCCTTTCTGAATCGCCATCCTGTAAAAATAAGTAAGCTAAGTTTATATATATCAATCGTAAAAAGGCTTACATTTTTGAGCGCAGTTGCAGTTATATACGGAAGATTGGGAATGTAGCATCCGAGTGAAACGGCTCAGATGCAAAGATTTGAAAATAGAAAATCATTGGGTGTATGGACAGGCAAGGTTCATCTATTTCCCTGTTTAATTTAAACAGTGTCAAATTAATCTCGTTGTATGACTTAACATCGTCCACCTATATTCTAGAGTTCTCAAACTTTTTGTGTTGCGGAGCCCTTGAAAAAGTTGACTATTATTCACGGAGCCCCAAAATAAATGTTAAAATTGTTACTTTCCGAATAATATTCCTGAGTAAGTCAAAAGTACTGTACTTATTTTAAATGCTTAACCTCTTTTAATAGGGTTAATACAAGTCATAAATGAATCTAAATGTAAAAGATGAATTATATATACTAAAGCTGTAAACTTGATACTTGACAAACATATTAATAAATTAGGGGTCGGATCTTTTACCTTTAGATATTTTTGAAAGACTTAAAAGGCCGCTAATAACGTACTCGATTGCATTTTGTTACGATCGCCGATTGTTTTCGTCAGCATGGCGGTGTTTATTCTCCCTAAATCAAAAATTTTCCTCGACATATACATGTATGATGTATTGTTCCACAATGACGACGAGTATTGCTTTTTTGTTCTCGTGGGGAATTATGGGTTCAATGTGAAAAACATGTTACCATATTATAGTCACCGGAGACGAAATGCTAAAAATAATAAAAGGGTAAATCCGCAACTCAAATTTCTTGATTGAAAAGCGGCATACTGAAATATTAAAACTAAAACTTAAAATGGGAGATAACACTATAAGTTTTGTTTCACCAGACTCACGTCAGATTAAAAACACGTTCATAGACATTGTGAATCAAAAATTTGGTGTTAGGTTGGGTTTTCTTTGGTTATTCGTCGTAGTAACTGCGAAACCGAAACACAGTCAATTGTGCGCGCGATGTACCTATTTTTCCATTCTGAAACTACCGACGGAGCCGCATGCAATGAAATAAATTTCAATCTTTCGTATTTTGCCCCGTCCTCTTGTTTTTTAAACGGCGACATCTTGCTTGTGAGTGCGAAAGAACAAAATCAAGCTTGACAAATCCCAAGATCGCAAAAATACGACTGCAATTTATGTAGGGGAAAGTGGGGAAGGTTGGGACACTTTTTTTCTTTTGCATATTTTGAGCCGTTGATTCTGCATATTCACTTAAGTTGGCGGGACTAATGCATAAAGGGGTAAATGTAGTTTTTATTCAGCGACTAAGAAATTCCCTTGCAACACACATCTTACTACCAAAATGCTTTGAAAAACGTCTGTCAAGTGTCCCACTGTACCCCACTTGTGGGGCACATTCGGACAGACCCTGGGGCACGATGGGTCAGTCTGTCAAAATTCAACGAAGTATGCCCTTAAAAATAGGCAATTAATCAGCATAATCGTCTAAAGAACAGGGAGACTTCAAATTTGAAGATTTAATATTTTTAAAATCAATGTTCAACTGAAATAGTTCAGATATTTTGACAAAAAATTTTGCAAACAAATTGGATTATTTCCTTCCTCGAATCTAAATCTGGAAATATTATTGATTCTCGAATATATTCCATATTGGGCCATGGGCCGAAAGAAACCATATTATTACACAAAATATAACGCATCTATAGTTCTCTAAGCACTTATTGTATCACACACTCTCGAATTGTGCCCTGTAGGGCATGTCCCACTGAACCCCGGTCCATTGTTTCCCAAAGGAAACAAATATTTTCAGACCATCCCACGGCAAAATTCGGAAGGCACACCCACTCGCCAACGTTATCAATATTTTACAGTGGACTAAAGCTGAAAAATATCAGACGGTGGTTTGTCATGTTGGAAAAAAGTGAAGAAAGAAAAAACTGGAACGGTGAAATTTTAGTTTCAACCTCTCAAAACTAATTTCAGCTCCTAGCTTGTGCCGCTCTACCCGTTCGTTGTCTGTTCGCGGGGACGTTGTAACTCACCGAAGGGCGAATTGAAACATCGAACCGTGGACAGGATTGCGGATATAGTATCAGCGTGAGAGCTGATTTTCCACTGTGCCCCATGTCCCAACGTGTCCCACCTTCCCCTATAGTTGGCAGTTTTTCGCGTATTTTATGTTATTTCAGAATAGTAGTCTTTCATTTCAGTAATCCTAATAGTAAAATTAGCCAATTCAGTATTTTAAAAAGTAATCGAATAGCTCGCGGAGCCCCTGGGTTTCTCTCACGGAGCCCTGGGGCTCCGTACGGAGCACTTTGAGAACCTATGTTCTAGAGTATACTCTATACTGTGACGTAGCAAGTGAATAATTCCCCTGTGCCTTACGGCCTTCTAGAATTTTTCTTGTCACGAACAAAACGCTCGTTGCACTTTACAGGTAAGGGTGAATGCTGTACAACTGTAGATTTTATTGTTGATTGGTTTCCGTATTTTCGGGTTAGACCTATGCTATACATTACAAAATGATTCTCAGGTAGGAATTTTTTACTAACAACATTATTAGGTTTATTCATATATTGGCCGGATAGGTTTTGAGGATTGCTGTATTTTGATTTATCGTTATATTGCATATTGTTTTAATTTGTATTATAGCATACTTGTGGCTGTTCTTTGAGTCCTTGTCAAAAACAGTCACTAACACACTAATACTAAGACTGTACACTAAAGTTACCTCCGACATCAAAACTGATTTAATTTAAGCCTACATTGTTTGGCTCCTATTCAATGGACCTTTCCCCGACCTTTGACCCCCGGAAAATTCTCCATATACGTTACCATAGCAACATTTTCGGGGCTCTTTTAAGAGTGCTTTTGCGAGTTAGCGCCTGTAAAATGGGGTATGTGTTTGAAACCATAATTATGATTCATCGCATACAACAATCTGCTTTTTAAAAGTACCGGTAAAGAATTTCAGGCTAGTCTATCACAGCTATCTCTACACTAATTTTGATTGCTACAAATGAATTAAAACTCCTAGGAAGACAGAGTGATCATTGAATTACCTGATTTTTGGACACGTAGTGTACATAGCGATCGTTTCAATATTATGTTCTTGTTCTTTGACACGTTTTTAAAAAGTCGCTTTTCTCTTTGATTACTGGACCAATTGCTTTGAAATTTTCAGTGGTTAAAGATAAAAATTTTCTTCAGAAGACTATTACTTTTTTTTTTGATATGACGTCATCGGAACTATTGCCATTAGGTGTCGCTACGTGTCCATATATTTGAGCATAGCTCTCTTGTTATTTAAGTTTTCGAAACACAACTGAAAACTAACGAATAGAGTTCAAAAACGCAAAAACGAGGTATTGTTTACAACCACGCTTGAAAATCTGTCTGAGTGAGAAAAATGTCTGAGCGGATGCGAAAAGGGGGCATTGTTACACGTCACTTTTTGCATCTTGCTGATTGGCCAATGTCATGAAGTAAACAAGGAAGTCGATGCTCGGGGAAAGGTCCATGCAATACACCTTGTCAATTAAAAGTAGACTTTGTCAAATTTCACTGAGCTATTGTGTCTAGAATGGTAATCCCTAGAAGTATATCCGCCAATTCAATCTGATTCTGAACAAGAGAGCTACGCACAAATATATGGACACGTTAGACCAGAGCGAATCAGTCTTTACCGGTACCTTTGACGCTACCGGTACCCTCAAAAAAGTTCTGAATTTCCAGTAGCAAGAATTTTGCAGAATCAAAACGTACAGCCAGTCATGACACTGACTAAAATCCGTGTTCCCATGGATAAAAAATAATACAGCAAAATTTTAGACGAAATATCAAATTTCATAGAATTCACGCAAAATTTTGAAATAAATAAAAGTAATAGCCTTCTAGGGAAGAAATTAATCTTTAACCACTGAAAATTTCAAAGCAATTAGTCCAGTATTCGAAGAGAAAAGCGATTTTTTAAAAACGTGTCAAAGAACAAGAACAACAACAACATAATATTGAAACGATCGTTATGGCCACTAAACGTGTCCAATAATATTAATCATCGAATTGAACACCTTAGAGATTCAGTTAATGATAAATTGAAAAAACGAACATTGTGACATATGGATTTACTTGATAAATGCCGATCCTAACTAACCTTTTACAGGCAGGGTCGACTATATACTTCACTGCATGCGATGGATGACGAACCTTTGACAATGTCAGCACAGAGAGAGAGACGTTGTAGAGAGAAAGCTTTGGTTTTCTGAAATATTTGATGATTCAATTATGCCCTTGTCAACAACATTTTGTTTAGGGTAATGTTTTTGCCAGATTCAATTTTATGCTTTGTGCTAATTCGGATTTTCACGACCGGTGTTCTGTTAGCTATTTATTATTCAACTTCCAAGTCTTTTTATTTTATTTTACTAATTTATGCTTTACACCAGGGGTGTGCAATCTGCGGCCCGCAAGGAAAAATGTACAAATTTTGAATGGTGGGCCCACGAAACGAGTTTTTAGTTTAGTTAATCTGGTGCGTGCGAGCAATTCCAATCTCTTTGCGTTGCAAAACCTATACCAGTACTTGGGTGCTACTGTCATGTTAGCAAAACTAGATTGCAAAATCGTGTTGCAAAATACACAATGCAATAAAAACGTGTATCTTACTGAATTTGTTAAAATCAAGAAGAAACGATTTTTTGTGCCCGCCCGCAACTACTAGAAGGGCTATCCTAAATAAAGGTGCGGCCCGCGGCTTCACCCAGTTACTTGTATCACACCCTCCTGTAATTAAGGTGGCACACCCCTGTTTCACACAACTGAACCTATAAGCAAGTCCAATAGGAATTTAAGTGTTTTGGGTCATGTGTCGAACGTGCGTGCATTTACCATGTGAAACTGCCCTGAATTTTTGGTATTTCTCATAATTGTGTTGTTTTATCTTTTCAATTTGTTTGTTCTTATTTTCTTTTTTCTCATTTTTGTTGTGTTCCGTGTTCGTAGTCAGCCATTGATACAGCGGGAATAACTTATGTGCAGATATCTAAATCCGCATTAGATTTATAAGTTTCAGCTTTAGACTTTCACCCAAGATGGGACAAAAATCTCTTCTTTTATATTGAGAAATTCGAATATTGACTCCGACACAAAACAATTTGGGAACTATTTAGGAATAAAGCGATGGGTTTTAAAGTATTCCGAAAGCGAAAATAACATGTCATGAAATTCTTATCACGGAGAGAATGTCAGATGGAGAGCACTCTTCTCGATATCAGTGTAGGTACCATTATTACATTCGTCATGGACGGTAAGACATATATATACATGGTTAAGCTGATGGTATGCCTGCACAGAACTCTCTCTAAAAAAGCGCGCAGATGTGCGGCATGAACCCTCCATAGATAGTATATCTTACAAATTCTCACATATCCAGAAAATTTGTCGCTGATAATTATTTACATATATGAATTATGAAAATAGGCGCTATTCGAAAATTGGATGTATCGTCGTATAGTCAGTTCATTTACAAGTCTGATTGATATAAAGTAGGCACTATACAAGCACTTATTGAATTATTTTCTAGGCACTACAAAACGTTTTTTACAATGTGAATTTCACATAGCTACTTCAATTATATATATATATTATGTGAAAATTTGCAAGATATACTATCTATGGATGGGTACATGCCGTACATTTGCGTTTTAGTTTGAGTGCATTCCTATGCAGGCATCCCATATATAACCATGTATATTTCTTACCATTCCTGACGAAAGAAACGATGGTACTTCCAATGATATCGAGGGGAGTTCTCTCCACCTGGCATTTCTCCATAGTAGGAATTTCATAACATGTTTTTTTCTCCTTCGGAAAACTATAAAACCCATGACTTTATTCTTAATAGGATTCTCAAATTGTTTTGTGTCAGGGAGTCGGTATTCGAATTGCCCAATATACAAAAAGGGAAATTTTTGTCCCAAAAGAATTTAGAGTGAAAGTCGAAAGCTAAAATGTAAAACTTACAGTTTTTGGATTTCTCGAAGTCATCAGAACCCCGTCGAAGTTTCCGAGTTACTTATTTACATTGAACGGGTGACTTAATAATTGCCATAATATAAGTGGTTTCAATAATATTGGTGTATTGTCGTCTAAGTCTCTTGCGATGTTACCAATACACGGCTTTGTTTTACCTCAAATCTAATGCTGTTTTAGATATCTGCACCCCCGCTGTATCTACGTCTGGCTACGAACACGCGACACAAGTAGGGTGACAAAAAAAGCAAAGAAAAAAAAATAGACGGATAAAACAACACAAAATAAATAAAAAAATAAGAAATATCAAAAATGCAACGCACTTTCACATGGTAAATGACCTAAAACGCACATAAATTTCTATTGGACTTGCTTATAGGTTCAGTTGTGTAAAGCATAAATCAGTAAAATTGTAAAAAAACTTGAAATTTGAATAATATTATTAATACCCATATTTAATATACACAATGAACTGGGATAAATAGCTAACTGAACTTAGTACAAATCGGTTAAGTGTTAACTTTGCGCCATCGGTTGTCAAAATCAGAATTTGCATAAAGCATAAAATTGCATCTGGCAAAAACATTATGATAAAACAAAGTGTCGAATCATCAAATATTTCAGAAGAACCAAAGGTTTCTCTCTACATCGTCTTTCTCTGTGCTAACATTTTCACAGGATCGCCATCCAGCCCATGCAGTGAAGTCTATAGTTGACCCTATCTGCAAGATGAAGAAAGGAAAGTGAGGTGTAAGATATGGAAAGTTACTTTGTTTTATCTGTGTTTTATCTTGTTTTTAAGGTGTTCAGTTCGATGGTTACTATTATTCAGAATCAAATTGAATTGGGTGATCTATTTCTGGTCATTACCCAACTAGACACAATAGCTCAATGAAATTTGAAACTCGAAATTTTAAAGTAAAACTTGACAAAGTCTTCTTTTAAATTAACAATTGACCGCAAATAATTAACATGCAAATCGACAAAATGCGTTGGTGTATGTGATTAAAAAGACAAAATGGATCGACAAAATGAGAATAGTAAAACATAATTGATAGTAACACTTTTTACAAAATATCATATATCACTATGGTGACTCTTCAGTCTAGTTCCCAAAATCAACCTTGAGTTCATGACACAATAACATTTGACGCTCCAGCAGCTTTTAACCAGGATAAATTTGATAAAATGGCAGAGTGAATATTATCAAATTATCAGTTGCATTCAAGTACAACGGTAAAGGCAAATAATTTACTTCAGTAAAATCGTGTAAATTTCGAGAAATCAACTCAAAGGCCAAACAAAGCATAGTCGACAAATTATCAGCAAGACAAATATTCAAGTCGTAGCTCAGTTTATCTCTGATTTTAGTCATCTGAAGTGAAGCAAATGCAAAACCATGGTATAGATCGAATGTAACTATACTTGAAATATGATACTTCTAATGTAATTAATTAAGTTTTTGCTGAACTGCTTGTCGAATCGTTGATATACACTCCAGTAAAAGTTCACGTTTTACAAGAAAAAAATTGTAAAATGATCAATAACAAATCTAATTTATTTTAAAAGTACGATTTAAGATCACCAATTACAGGCCACTCAAATATTTAGCATTTCATTTCAACGTATTCATCAGTTTTCCCCACGTTCTAAATTTTGTTGTATGGACAACATATTAACGATATTCATCACGACAGTGTGAATCGATTGAGTCCTTGTTTAATCAGGTATTAATTTTTTTTTTACTACTTCAAATAATAAAACACGCCCGAGAAAAAGTAAAAACATACCTCTTCATTGATTAGTGGCAAACATAAATCTATTAGATTCGATTTATTATGTCTATTTCAAATAAAAACAAAAACAAAAAAACACTTTTTTACATATATAATAAGTATTGCTAGTCTAAAATGTTTTAGCGGGTTATCTCTAGTCTCAGACCAAAGATTATATGCTACTTCAGTGGCCAGATGAGCTGTACATTACCTATTACATAACCTTAGAGTGTAATATTTACCCCTGTGTAGCGACAATTGTCGCATGTTTGCAAATGTATTTACTCCAGCAGTCTACAGTCGATATTTCTTCGTACAACGGTGATTCACACAATTGTCAAATCATGTAGCATATCTAAATAGAAATACTTTCAATTTCTTAAAATATATATTACGTTTTATATAAGAGGTTTTGCACATGCCCTCAATTTTGTACAGTGAAGCATATATGATTTGTGCTAAAAATTAAATGCTATGAAACGCGTGTTGCTAACGAGATATTCATATTAGTACCAAGAATGATAAAAATACTTTTTAAAACATCGTTGATTGCAATTACGGGTAGATGAACGGAACCTATATACTAATACTGATATACACCTACATTATGAATGCAACAGATCACCAAATCACAAATGTGTATTAAACAAGAAATATTGAGCAAATGAAAAAAAGAATCTCACTTCGGGTAAACAAGCCCCGCTTGATTAGTTCGTTAAGTTTGTATGCTTATCTGATTATTTAAAAAATCTTGTCTCATCTGGTAATCAAACTCTGGCAAAGTCAAGTTTTAAATTTAGAATTTAAATTGGATTTCATATAAAATTTTCATTTTATCTCGAAAGGTCCATGCTTCAACCATTTGATTATGTTGTTAAAATTCGCTACCCCCAAAATCTCGATTTGGCGGAACCCCACAAGGTATATAATTCGTCATTTATGAAACATATATATAGCGGCTCGATATTTCTATTTTATTAATCAAAAAACATCTGCTTACCTTAATGTTGCGTCAAAAGAGTCAATGACTACGTTGAATAGCCCGAGCTCCTACATAATAGACAATCCGTTTGTCATCGCGCACCCCAGTGACTGGTTGAGAAAAGCGACGCGCTTCTCCACATTCCCGCTTAAACTGATTAGCGATATCACATAATTAATTAACTGTAATCAAATTAGAAAACGATCGGAGAACGAATTGAGTAATTACTCGGGTTACACGAGGTCGATCCCTTGGCCCGTCGATATCGCGCATCTGGAGAGGTTTTGCGGAATGCTTGTTGTTACACGATGCAAATTTTGCCTGGCGTGTGGTTAAGAAATGGTAAATATAATCCTTTGGTTAGGGTATTCGAAGTTTAAGTACGTTATTCATTTTCCAACGTAAAAGTGGGGAACCTAAATTTATCTTGAAATCAGTGATATTTAATTGAGGCAAACTTTTCGAATAATATACTGCTACTGCTAATCTAAACCTGGGGATTTCCTTATAATAGCTTTATTCCTAGGGTTACGCTTGACACATGAGTATGATGCCAGACTGTACTTGACTTTGTGATTGCTAGTACGTGAGTAAAGCTTGCATAATGGTGCTATTGGTTTGTTCTTTTCTGTGAATAAATATAAGGTCGCCGAATTAGAGTCATAAACACGAGACTTGACCAATGAGACCTGATTTGTACACTGCAGATTACGTAGCTCAGTTTTATTCCCGTTCATTGAGTAAAGCCAAAAAAAAGTTACATGCGGCAATTCTATCGAGCAATCTTATCGATGGTGTTATACTCTTTCTGGGAATGGGAAGCAAAGCAGGCTAGCTGACGGAAGTTGTATGCTTTGGCCAATTTTTATAACACTGTGACATGAAATGTTTGTAATATTAATATTTAAAACATCAAAATAAGCTGCAAACTCACCCCTATAACGTGATGCCCGGGGCTGCCCCTATGTCCCTCTCTAGACACGCCCCCGCACTCCCCTTTTTCCAGTTTAAAATAATTGACTGCTAAACTTCAAATAGGAAGGAGAATGAAAAAAGTCAAACTTTGGATCAATTAGAAAAATAATAAAAGACTCACAAAACACACTTATGGCTGGAACTCGTGTACAAATCGCTGAGCAAAAAGTCTCGCATAATAGGAGAAACGCTAGCAAAGCCCTGCGCTTTAAAAATCGCAGAATTGATTTTGGGATAAACTAATGCCAAGAAAATTCAGCTGGTATCTTGATTGTGTGAGTATTTTAGGCATGACCTTTTTCAGAATCACAATTTATTACAGTTGGCGCTCTTGTAGTCCGTGACTATACATTGGCGTGACTATACAAAAGCGTCCACCAGCAAAAAAAGCTGAGAAACACTGGTGTATATAGGTATTTTAACTTATTTCTCAAATTAGTTAAGATGATAAAAACATCTGTTGCTGATGTCATCTTAGCACGGCGGAAACGCGCACTCCTTCACCGACAACGTCTCAACTCAATCGGAACAACCCTAGGGCGTCCTCCCGATAGGGGTTGGTAACATAAAAGTGAAATGCACGAACCACTGATTTAGTCAGTCCGGCTACTCCCATTATAAGACTGAAATAAAGTTCATATCTGAGAACAGAGATCACAATCATATGTAGATGAAACTTGGAAAAAAATACAGTTGTATAGTTCATATAATTATCAGTTTGTTGTTTTGTTCTACTAATTTACTACTGATGATTTCACTTTTATCATCGTTGGTTCTATTGTTTATGTTATCATGAAGTGCCTTTTCGCGGAATTTTTTCACAAACAATCATTTTGAAACGCAGAATGCACAAAGCTTTATTTTCTTTCTCAAAATCACCAAATATTTTAGTCCTCTCCTGTATTTTTGGAATATTCTGCAGTGGCGTGATCTCGTTTTCGAGGCCTCGCTCTTGTACCGTAAAGCTGTGATCGCGTGTCAGGGCGTTATCCACCTCAGAGTAAAAGAGAATAGATCTATGTCGATTTTTTGTTCAGGAGGTCGTTTGTTAATGAAAAAAAAGTCGTCCAAGGTGCTAGAAAAAAAAGTTTGGGAAACACTGCTCTACCATATAACCTCTGATAAGCGGTGTTGGTTAGATAATTCATATTGTAGGCTACTCACCGTCGACATCAGTAGTTTCAAAACTCTAGAATTCCAACTTTTTAAATTAGATATTAGAACCTCGGCTGTCGCTGCTCGATAACCAGCATTGGTTACCCGCGACTTACTTTCCCCAATAAAACTGTGTAATTATCATTTTCTCATAATTTGTGCTCGTGTGATGTTTTTTAATGGTTGAAAAAAAATAAACTTGAACTTGACCTAGCATCACGTAACCAAATTCACTAATAAAGTCTATACCAAAATCTCCACTGAATACTAGGACTGGAATACGAGACTGTTATCATCAAGGCCGCTTCTGATTTAATTTGCAAAGTAGCCAAAGTCAAAAAGCTGCAAAAGTACGTTCAGCTTCGACTGATGTAGTACCAGTTTAAAGAGATACAAATATGTCAAGGTTATAGGCCTGTATCCAGCTCTGGATTAATTAAGCAATATAAGCACGTGCTTAGGGCACCAAGCAAAAGGGGGCACCGCGGAAATTTCGATAGCAGAATTTTATATGGTGCATCACTATTTCTTAAAATATTACGAGTTGGTCAGACAACTCGGACTTCAGAATGTTCGCTTATTTTTCCTCTCGACCTTCTCTTTTAATGTTTGTACGTTTTCGAACTATCTCCAAAAAATCATGTTAAATAATCGTAGCTTGGCCTACAATTAGTAATGAACACTGAAACTCATTTAGAGTAAGCGAAGTGGACCTATGGATCGTTTTGTTAAATTGTTGTTGTTGTTTTTCTTAGTATTCTCCTTGTTGTTGTATTTTTGTTTCAAAAAAATCTATTTACTCTTTAACTATTGGATCAATTGGACCCATGGATTTCGTTTTAACTCTGAAGTTTCTTGTGACGACATCATCAAAATTAAGAAATTCTCTAATACAAGTGTTTCCCAACTTATGGGTTTCGACCCAAAACTAGGTCGCCTGAAAATTATCTGGGGTCGCCTGTATTTTCAACGAAAACTTAAAAGTTGCTGATTTCGTTTCCTGTTTATTTTATATTTGGTATTGAAGTGTTGCTCAATAGTAATTGTATATGTGGTAAGTATCTAACCATAAAAACTTGGCAGCGTCTATTTTGCTCAAGTAAACCCATGCCACGATTTTAAAAGCTGGCTGATCGCTAACAAACGCAGCTTTGTCGGAAATAAATGTCAGATAAAAAAAGAACTTGAGTAATAATTTAATAATAATAATTTTTTATGTATCGCTCACGTTTCTTCTTTGCGGGGATTGCGGTAATTTTTGTAACGTTACTAAATATTTCAAGATTCTAGAATTCTCACATAGTTTGAATTTTCTTTTTGAGGCGTTATAAGGAAAAAATGCTTATAGCTGGTCTTTTCTGTAACTCATCTCAAAGGTCTATCGACTCTTTATTCTATGTCGTCATCAATGATCGATTCATCTTCTTCAATATTTTTCTTTATTCTCCGCCCGATGATTCTCTCACAATTCTCCGTTCTTATGCCTTTGGGTTCCGCAACTTTCATAGCGAGATCATTTTCAGATATTACATGACCGGCTGTTAGTTTGTGAGAGGCTACGACAGTTTTTCCAAGCTGACAATGTAATGTATTGATGAATACACGGAATATGAATAATTAATTCTCTTATTTCTAGAAGTATGCATTTGTTGAATTCATAATAAAAAACTTGCGTCTATACTGCTATACTTCAAGGCAAATCATAAACGGTCAAAACTAACTGTAATTCAGTGAGATAATTCCTGCTTGTTGAACGAACGTGCTTTTAATAATTTGTAGGTCGGTTTAAGTTATTTTTTATTTTCCTCACATATATATTCAAATCACCTTCAAATAACATGGTTCTTCACTTTTCCTGATCTTCTTTTCTGTTGTCCCCAGTGCTTTTTCTACTGTCCGAATATCCTCAACCAACTGTTTCAGCTCACGAGGTTCAAGTGATGACATGTGATCGTTACCTTAATTGAAAATAAGCAGTTTCTAAAATAGATTTGAACGTGAATTTTGAACAGTTAATTTTAAAAGATATTTTCCGTCTAATACCATAATTAATTTCCAAATTCATGCAATTGCTGTGAGTAAAGTTAACTAGGAATAGGCTCGAATAGCATACAAGTAAAACTACTTTATTTATGAAGTAACCTTTCCAATTCTTGTCCAAAGTAACGTGTCGCTCAACAATCTTAGCTCCCAGTGTAACAGCCGCTATTGTTATTGCAGTTCCTGCTTCGTGACCGGAATATCCAATGGGTACTTCCGGAAATTCTGTTTTGTAGGACTGTAGAAACCAACAAGATTTCAAGCGTTACGTATCCGATTGAACGGGAACGTTTTAGTGGTTAGAAGTGGGGGTTACGAAGGCAAATTTGCGAGGCAGAGGAGGATATTTCAATTTTGTATTGAAAAGCTCTTCAACAATCGATTCGTGAATGTGTTATGCATAAAAAATATAACAACTAATTTCAATGTTTCAGTCATGCAATTAATAAACATTTGACTTTTGGGGCGCCACAAAGCAAACTAATGAGCTACATATTTGTGGCTCCGTGTTGTTGTGATAGCGAAATTTCTACTGAAATCACAGCTAGTTTACCTGAGCTTTTCATCAAATGTATAGCATGTTTTGGGTATTAGGGTGCATAGTGGAGGTACCCGATAAAAGGTAAAATTCGTACCTGTATCACACGTAAATGCGTATCTTCTACTGGTTGTGGATAGGTGCTTGTGCACTGTAGAATACTGAATTTGGGGTTTATCTTTTTCATTCTTTGATAAACTTCTCTGACCGTATCCATGTTCTGCATGCCAGTTGATATAATCAAGGGTTTACCTGGTTGGATTATATATTGTTTTCAAATGTTGGAGATATTCAATATGGCTCTATGTTACAATACCTTATACCGAAATGGATTACATCCCACTTGCCATGTTGTTATGAAGCTACCATGAGCAAAATTTATTTGAATATCCCCCGTAAGGAGAGCTTTATTAGTCATTCGCCATTATGCGTGTAACTCTAAAGTCTAAATCAAGTGTAGAATAGATTTTTAAAATTATCCTCATAATGAGTAATACAACTTGCAAAATCAAAGCTCTCGGCATTACAATGGCACAATAACGTTCCCATAAAACATACCTTTAGAAGCAGCATGTTGAATGAACTGGTGATTCCCTGCATCGACTGAAGCTATCTTGAAGAAAGGTACCCCGATTCTATCAAGAAGGTCAATGGATGACTAAAATATGATTGGTGATATTAATAATCGAAAGAGATTGATATCGTACTCATAAATGACCAGAGGAAATATTCACAGATACATGTACCCACCGCATCCCCAGCCGATGAACTGAAAATAATTCCAATCTCATTTGCATAGTTTCTCAGGTCAATGAATTGTTCTTCAGTAAATTCAATAAATGCTTTGTGTTCACCATACGTGGCTCCCCACGAATGCTTGCTACATGTGAATAAAAATAAAGTACCGGTATGCGTGTATATTTTATTTATATAAGAAGGAGAAGCCGCAACTGATGGAACTTTGCAGCTTGTTGTTTCATGGAAAATCGAGTTCTAGTGTGTGGTATATGATAGTCGAGGCTTAAATGTATTGCTAGGAAACTGGGTATTTGCCCCTTACTGTGGTTCCATGGAAAACTCAAATCAAAGGACTTTGTTTATCATTTGAGTACCCGAATAATAATCATTGGACCAATAAAAAATAAGTTGAATGAATTTGAATTGTTTAATTCTTTAGTAATAATCTCCGCATCAAACAGTGACATATGCCAAAACGTTAACAACAATATTTATGTACGTGCGGTAGAAGATATCTTACGTTTGCCAATATACACGTAATGAACGTATACTGTTTACTTTGATAGCTTATGGCGTTTGATTTCAGAACGAGGATATATTTGGTGGATGAGGTACCTTGTGTATGGTCTTTGTAAAGCCTTTTTGTTAAATTTTTGATCAAGCTGGCATTTCTGAAATTTCGCACAATCTGCACCACAATCTTTTGCCATCTTTATCATTTCCTTTGCAATTTCAATGTCACCCTGAAAGCAAGCGAAACATACACTATTCAATTCACTATTTTACTCATTGTTTACATGGGTTATTAAGGTGGTGGCGTGCCGGTGCCATAAAGTTGTTTGTAATTTGCCTCACTCCACGTGGAAACATGATTTCATATTGATATTTTCAATTGCGATTTTGTATCAATAACCTTAACGTGGTGCCAAATATAGGAAAATATTGAGCGTCTAAATTCAGATAGAAGTTTGACCCATTTGCCAATATCGACTATTCAGTTTTTTTTTTATATCAAAACCAATGGAAGATACAATTAGGTAAAATGCAATGCTTATTAATTAATTTGCAAAATTTGAAAATTATGAAATGAATAAAATTATATTCGTTGTGCAAATTTGGATAGTTCTCCTAAGATTTTCATTTAATTTTTTTTATCAGTTACTCTCAGTTAATTGCCAATAAACATTATCAGTAAATACTATCACACTAATTATTGGCATTTAGGATAACATGCGCTTGTGTACTTGATTCGCAAAAAATGGCAATCTTACTTAAATACTTGAAACATTGGAATGAAAACTTTTGAGTTAGTTGAAAGATAAACGCATGGAACAGTTTTAAATCTTTAATAAATAAATATAACAGTGCCTACCTGATGGTTCTGTCCAATTTCTGCGATTATAAAGCATGGATGCTCTCCACCAATCCATCTTCCCGGGGATACTTCGAAGGTCGCCATACTAGTGCTGATTATCTGATTTCTCAGTAACTATTATGATATTAAACTAGACTACCAACTATCTGATTTTGATAAAATGCTATAAATCTTGCTTCGATGTTTGCTATTATGAGTGTGAAACTGCACTATTACGACCACGTTTCTTCGTTTCACAATCGATTGGTGACGATATGTCTAGATGAATGTTTGAGGAACAGTTATCAGGAAAGCGTCGCACATAAAACAAATAAAATTATGACCACATAATAAACAATATTAAGTGAGTGTTTGGACACTAACGAACGATAATTTAGATGTAAGGTAAATAACTTTCGATTTTTTGTCGAATTTCTGCACCGCATAAAACGCCGAAACAGATAAAAGAAACTTGGGTGCCGAATGTAAATTGCAAGTGTACAGAGGTTTATTTATTGAAATATTGCGTACCATAAAAACAGTGAACGTTTGTGGAATATGTAACAAGTTGCAAGATGTTTTAGTTTTACTATATCACAATCCGAAAAAATATCTGATTAAATTTAATTTTGCTTTTAATTGCAAAACGTAGACGTATCTCAAAATTATATTCTTGACAATTTGCAAGAGCAGTTAATGGTGGATCTTACGTAAAACAACATAAGTAAGCTGAAACAAATATTGATATATACATCTACAACTCGTGAATCCATTTCTTACTTATATGTATCACATAGAATAGATATCTCGATTTTTGACCTTGTTCGAATATATTCATCCATTTTCTCATTTGTTTCCTTGACACTGTAAAGTTCAAGTCTTGCACGAATGGATATGATGAACATAATGGCATTCATATATTAGATTCAAAATGGCGGTTAAATTTTGAGTATTTGTTCTGATTAAGATTTCGAACTGAGATTTAAATAAAAATATCGATGATTTGTTTAAAAAAATAAATGTATGCATGGCTTTTAATTTTTAAATATATCCTGAAAATGATATAGGTCGGTCAATTTATTGAACTACGTTTTTTAGACTTTGTTTTTCATATGCTTGACCATTGCTTTGTTGTTTGGTAAACTAGGAAATATCTGCAATTGGTACAATAAATATTCAACACTATGTTATATTTTGAAAATTATACAAATACACATTAAATCAAAAATACATTTTATGATGTGATCATCATTTACAATAAAAAATTCATTGAATACTACAAGAAAAATTACATCCATATCCTCAAAATTTAATTTATTCAAATCCATTCAGATGCATAAAAAATATTACGTGAGTATATGACTTGAAAAATAGAATCACCATTATTAATAACAGACATGACTGAGTTGATTAGCACATATGAATAAAGTCGACAGCTGATTTACAAGATCTCAACAATTTCCGTCTACTCGTTCTGTAGCTCTCATTTCAAACGGCGGTGGCAGGTAAAGAACGCCATGCTCACCGTCGTTCAGATTCGGGATGTTTTTTTCATCATCCGCTGCAATGTCAAAGGATCGGACAAGATTAACCAGAATGACGAATATTTCAACATGGGCCATCTGATATCCTGCACAACTTCGACGTCCCAGAGAGAAAGGCATCCAGTATTTTGATTTCTGAAACGAACCATCGGTCGGATTGATAAATCTTTCCGGTCTGAATTCTTTTGGTTTTTTGAAATATCTTGGGTCGTTGTGAACAGCAGATGTCACCGATAATATCTGAAGAAAATCAGATTTGCGATTAAAAACTGCAAATTTTGTAGAGTCCAACTTGAAAAAAAAATAATAATGTAAACGCAATAGTACCGGTGTGTTCTTCGGTAGCGTGTATCCGTTAACTTGAACACCTTCCTCGACAGCGCAAACATGACTCAAAGCAACAATTGTGCATGTTCGCATCACTTCGAATATGAAAGCTTGAGTGAATGGCATTTTATCGCGATGGGTCATCACCACGGGGTTGTTTTGACCTGTAAATGGATAAGTATGTTTATCATATTTTGTGTAATTCTTATTTTACTGCTTGGGAACAATAATCATGACTCGAGTTGCTTTCTTATTGCAACCTAAAGCTTTTATGGCATATATGACAAACATTAATTCATACTATTCATTGAAATATACTTAATAAAACATTTACACATAAATTCGTGTCACAATTTAAAAAATGAGTGGAGTATGTGTCCTGACCATGAAACGTATAGAGATGTCATCGCTGGAATGACTAATTTTATCGATGGAATGACTAATTTTATAGTGGAAATCAGTTGACCCACCTACTATTGCATCAGACTCTTCTCTTATCTTCTTTTGATATTCAGGTTTCTTCGCGAGAATAATCATGCACCACTCAAGGGTAAAAGACACCGCCTGTGATCCGGCATCTAGAAAATCACGTAATAAGAGAGCCAACTGATCCTCCTAGAAATTAAATAGTAAATTGGTAAAATTGATAAAAATTGACTTCGATTAAGAGAGATTGGCGTGTGATGTTGTATTCAAACTGCCCGACGGTTTAAGGAAGTCGAGTGCATCGCGCCTTCCGTCCGGCGCGAGCGCCCCCTTTTACTTTATTCTAAACTTTCCGTTACGTTCTCCCTCACGGGTAGCGACGCAGCAGCGACCTCCCGTGGATTTGGATGAATGAACTCTGTTGACAGAGGAAGCCAACGACAACACAGAAACACAAGGACGAATCAAGCAATTATTTTACATGCAAGTATTTTGAATTTGATTCTGCAAACATTGACAAGGGTTATCATCGCAGTCGCGAGAAATATCCACACCTCAAGACGAGTTCGAAATTTTGGTTAAATATATTTTGTACATAAGGAAATACGAAACTTTATATATTTAATATTTTGCATAGTATATATATATGATGAAAATTTATATTTTTTTTACCCGGAATGTTTCATCATGATCTTCTTTTTTCATCTCTTCTATAAAAATATCAATGAAATCTCGAATTTCTCCTTTTACATACGTTCTTTGATGTTCTTTAATTCTGTCCATGCACAAATCTGAATTAGAAAAATCAAATATTCTTCAAAATGTAGTAGTAGAATTTGCAGATAAGAATTTATTTGCGATTTGATGACCTAAAAGCAGGTTAGGATTTTTTTTTTAAATGAGAACAAAGAGACGAAACGAATAATATAAGTCTTACCCCGGAGGTGGTCGAAGTCTTCTGCATATCTTCTCATCGCCCCGGTAAATGGAGGAAACATTGATAGATATCCACAGTAACTCATCATATGAACCACACTAGAAATTAAAGGCAAAATAGTTTTCTGTGGCTTGACGTACAAAATTGTTCAAATAAAAAAAATGTTTTTTTCAACCACTAAAAAAGGTAAGTTTCACACAAAATACGAAAAGAAAAAATAATCAAACACTTCAACTGGGGAGGGGAAGTAACGAGGAACCAAAGCTGGTTATCGAGCAGCGACACCCATGGAACTAATATCTAATTAAAAAGATCGAGAAGTTCAGTTACTGTTTTTGACGAGAGTATAGCTTTTATACTGTATAGAAAATTAATCAACTAATATATTTAGGTATGCATGAATATTTGAGATTATATTAGAAAGCCATCAGATCATAAGCTTATCAAGGTATTCCCCTCGTTGGTTACATCCTTGAAATAATAGTTCGGGGAAAGTAATATAAGGAAACATCGCCAATGAATCAATGATACCTTCTCACTAGCCGACGAGCAAGCTCCTTCGTGGTAGGTTCTTCGTACGGAAACCTCTCGCCCATGCAAACCAAACTCACTACATTTACCACTGCTGATAGAAATAAAGCCTGAAATAAAATTAGCATTTTGATTATAAAAAGCTAATAGTTAAAAATCCAACATGTATTTTCTATTTGCATTCTCCGTATAAGAATCGTACGAGCTCTTGCGTATCACATTTTTACTAGGCCTATTTTATATTTCATGTGTTGAGGGAATATAGAAAACTACTCGACAACACACATTCCAGTATTGCAGTCACAGCTCGCCTATTGCATGCTGTGTAGAGTGCAATCGAAAATAAAACACTTACTTTAGGATCAAATGGCTCCCGAGTCCTTTCGCGAAAAGCTTCGACTAAAGCGGTTGCCTCTACTTGAATTTTTTTTTCCATTATCTTTTTACCGACGCCAAGTCTAGAAAAACGAAAAAAAATCACATTTATTAAACAAAGTTAACTTAATGGCGTTGGAAATGGAATTTATGGCTTCGCACTTATACGGTTAGCAGTTCAATAGTCAGGTTGATCAAGTCGATATATCAGCACAGCTCCATTTTATATTTTAGTTTTTATGTATTTCTAGAAGTCTACGCGCTTGTGTGTGATTGTGTAATATATTAGCCAACAAAATCCCAAGCTATCGCACAGGAAAACCAGTGAGTTCCAATGTCGAAATGCGCAGTACGACAGATAGTGCAATTCTGAGGTTCCCAGACTTCTCAAACTCCATACACTATCACGCTCGATAGCAGTACGACACACTTGAAATAAGATTCAATTTAGTAACATTGTATTGATGCATCGCGGTGCATTCAAAATTATCTCGTGACAAACAGATGCTTCGGGAACCACTGATGTTATCAAATACAATTTCTGATTTACCTTCTCATGGCAGACAGTGTGAAATGTCTTTGGGCATCAGATACTGCAGTGGAAGCCCAAATTAGTCCGTTCTTTTTTGTACAAACTTCGTAGATATGCATCGGTGCTCTTCCGCGGGTTTTAAAACCTTGTTTGACTAGAACCTGGAATGAAATTTTCTCTTTCTACTCTTGGCTCTATTTTTATTTTGCAAAATTTCAAGGTAAAATATTCTTTGATTGCCAAGTCAATAATAATTTATTGTTATATAAGATATAAACAGGGTTGTCATCACCGTTTGTCATGTGTGCTGTTTTGTGTCTCTAATGAACAACAGCCCCAAGCTTGGACACACCCATCCATATATCAAGTTATCTTGTTGTTTGTTATCGTATTCAGGCTAACGTCGTAATATAATTTCTAAACGGCGTGCATTCGACTAATGTAATAAAATTAAATAACTGAGTGAACATTCTATAGATTACAAAAACAACCAAGTTATTCATTTACCTGATTGATAGCTTCATAGTCTGTGAGCACTACACAGGTATGTTGTCCAATTTTAACGGTATAAATTCGTCCATATTTTTCGCTCCATTCTTCAAATCGTTTTGCTGCATGCCCCTTTAGAAAAGGAATGACCCCCAGAAGCGGAACACCTTTAGGGCCTGGTGGGAGTCGCTTGTCTGTGCGATACCAGTACAAGCAAGATATGGTAATTATTAAAAGGGTAATTTCGATGAACATTTTAGAAATTTATTCGACTAAACAGGCACCCGAGTGCACAAGCTGGAAATTGAAAGAATATAAGTGTGATCACCTAGCGAAGGAAGACAATACATGTAGCATAGTCAGAAATTCAGAAGATATTTTCAAGGCGGTATGCAACTGCGAAAGCAATATCCTGTTATAATTACTCAAACATATATATGAGATTTTATAGAATCTTTGCATCATATATATATTAAAATATTATGTTTCAACTAATTATCGATTTTCTTTGAATGCCAAAAGTTATGGCTCATTTTCTACCGCACAGTGAAAGTATTCACAATAGTCATTTAGAATATCTACAATTTAAATGTTAAATGTATTTCTTTTTGCAATCTTTAATTACCGTATTTGAATATACATGTACAACAAAGTACATTAGGTATGGTACAACGCGTTACCCATATCATCACGAATACCTATCGTTAAAGAGTAAATGCTGAAGATCATCTGACAATCTGAGTCATGCCCGCGACTATATATACAAGCAATGTGTTCGACAACAGCGTGATAAACATTTGGATAGTGACTGTAATGTGTTTGCAGCAGATTTCATCACTTTTAAGTTTTCGAAATTTGAGGTTATTTTTCTATAAATCCTTGCAAATTTCAAATAAATATCCGCTCATTCAATTCTGAATTAGTTGATAGTCCAGGCATGTGCTAGCAAAAATTCAACTTAAAACTGTATTGTAAAAATAATCGATTAAATAAGGCCAGTTGAATATGTACTAAATATTGGACGCTATAAAGAAAATAGAACGAAAAGCCAAATTTTCTCTTTTTTTCATTTGTTTTGGACATACCAAGGCCATATTATAGTAATCGCTGCTACAAATCATTAACAGATAAAGCTAAGCCGTTCATCAATTCAATATAAAGTCTCTTTATAATAAAAATACGCAAAACAAGTGAAAACATGTTGGCCGGTATGAATTATAAAAAATGTCCAGGAAACGTGGAAATGGAGGGATCGTCCACAGAAGGTTGAAATCCGATGTTTCTGTCTGAACAAGTAGCTTAACTTAGCAAATTGCCTTGATATTTTACAATATCAATAACGCGACGATTGTTGGAAATATTACACTTTTTTCACGTGTTTTCGTCATTTTCTCGTTAACAAATGCGAAATTGAAATTCCGAGAACGCTACCTCCACAAAAGTAAATATTCTTTCTAACAATTTTTCATCTTTAAAATCCATGAATGAGGGAAGCCTTAGGAGGAAAGAGGAAACATGAATTTAGGAAGAAACACAACGACCACGATTGCGTTTATATTTGACTTTTAATTTCTCAAGAAACACAAGTTTTAGAGTAGCATTCATATGCAATATGCATAATTTGTTGTTACTTGTGACTTCTTCCCTTAAAATTATGTCTAAATAAACTTCGTCCTCAACAGACTGGTGGATAAAAGCTACATGTTATTAAATATTAAATTGAAACATTATAAAATAGTTCTTATTAATTGATTTACCTACTTTAAATTACAGTCATAAGCGACACAAATTATAATCAGCTGTTTTGACGAATATATTCTTTACGTAACAGAATTTATTATGTGAGACACGTATAGACTAAATTAAATTATTTAATTAATTAAATTGAAATTATGATCTAACAAGAATAAAATTCACAATTGCTCGTTTATTGAGCTTAATAATTTGATTAGAATTAGACAAATGGCAACAAAACACAGAAAAGTTGATGCCAAGGGTTCAATGGCGCTGAAAATATTCAAATGAAATTATTTGAGATGCAATGCAATGAGGAAATAAATCTATATTCTATTCGATAGATGTATCACTGCTTGATTTTTATTATAAAAAGTATCATCCGTTCGGTTTTCAATTTTCTAAAAATATGTGTGGCCCGCCAATGACTTGCAACCCTCAATTTTGTACCGCGAGCGACAAAAGGTTGCCGACCCCTGCGGCGGATGGCGGATATATCGTATTTTGCACATGCACAGTACTGTAATCATCTTGTTTTAAAACGCACAATAGGCGCTGTATAAAACTGGTTCAATGCCAATATTGGTTCTATGTTATATAGACTCAACATCTGACGTGGCGATCGCGGTCGACGTGTTGGCCACCCCTGGATTACGTGAATTGCTAAATGATATTTCAGAATTGTTGCTCTGGCCTACTTTGGGGCATATCAAACAATATTATTGCGTCGCGAGGTATTATTAATCGCTGTTACAAATCATTGACAGAAAGAGATGAGCCGTTCATCAATACAATACAAAGTCCTTTTACGATTAAAATAGACAAAACAAGTGGCCGGTATGAATTATAAACTTTTATATAAGAATTTCGAATCACTTTCATAATGTCCATTGTCGGTGTTTATTGGATTTCCGCTCTAGGAGACTGTTATTCTCAATCTAGTGATATTGTGTTCCGCCGAAAATCAATATTGCTGTTCCGTTTCCATGGTAGCAGCATAAACCCGCAACGATCGTTGCAAAATGTCGAGTAGGTGCAATTTTAAGCGGATGATAACGAATTGGTGGATTGCGGGTCGCTTCAAGTAAGAGCGAAGATCCTCAGCGTCTACCGGCTTGTGTAAATATTTTGTTCTACATTTACAGTAAGCTCACGCCAATTTTCTATCAGTGGTAGTTTGATTTGATTGTTTTCTTATATGATCCGAACTGATATACCACAATAACACTCTAGACTAGCATAATATTATGTTACATACTTGCGAAATGTGCCTTGTCACTGCTTTGCTGCGGAATATCTGCTGCATTCTATTTTCTTCTGTATTACAATATCATTAAAGATACAGGACAAATTTTCAAAACAAAAATAAGCATTTTATATGGTATAACTAAGATAATGGTAAAAGGAGAGTGGAGACAATATTTGTGGAATGAATGCATGAAACGGTTCCGTTCATATCTGGCCTTCAATTTATCAAGGAACACAAGTTTTAGAGTAGTACTATACACTCATTCAAATATGGCTATTCTAAGAAGTACCAATATATGCCTAATTTGTTGTTACCTTTGACTCCTGCCCGTAAAATTTTGTCCAAGTAAACTTCGTCCTTAAATATTATTCTATTGAGAGACTTTATTAACTTGAGCAGTTTGGGGCATTGTGCTACAACAGAGTAATCCAATTTATTGAGTGGAATAGATAAAAGGTCCAAATGTACCGGTAGATATTGAGATCTGATCAAGTAGTGTGATAATAAAATAATTGAAAACTCGAATTCAATCAGTTTTCGATTTAAGGAACTCTGAATATTTGTAATTTTATAAAATTAACAGCATATATATACTAAATACTGAAATAGATTTGATAATTTATACAAATTTATGCTGTTAAATATTCGATATTCTAAATGTAGGAACGATTTTCAAATATTAAATGCTAGCACGTTACTGGTACCCTACAGTGGGCCACATTTCTGTGATTGGCATTTTCGACGCGAAATTCACGATGTTTTACCTCAAGATTCCATCGCTTTTTCTGAGCTCCTGGTATTAGAAGAGACAAGTGGGACACAACATTTTGGAGAAACCCAAAACAGAGCTCCAACTTTTCATACTTCGCACTTTCGTCCCTCGTGCAAACTTTCGGCGCATTGGTGCACCATTGGCGAAGCGAGAGAGTGCAAAGTGAGAATTTCTACCTCATCGAAAATTACGTCCTCGTCGATATTAAATGTCACAGAAAACTATGTTTAATGAATTTGAAACATACCTTATTTCTCTAAAATTGATGTATTTCGCAAAATTGATTTTTCTCAAGTAAACCATACGTAAATCGACCGTAAATTGGTATTAGCCTTGCATTGCAAATTTAGGAGTGGAGCGCGTTCCGTATCCTTGTAGTAGACGAAATGGTCACATGTCCCATTTTGCCGAATATCCGTATGAGATGCGTTATTTCAGTAAAAATTTACCGTGTTACAATACAATAGAAACTCTACCTACGAAATTGATTCATTCCGGGAGCGCCTTAAGTTTATTAATATTCGGTGCGATGGGCGATGTAGCAATGCAGTGCAAATTTTTCATCTGATCGTCATAAATCAGTGATCTCACGCGGGATATTTGACATTATTCATCCGAAAAAACTTACGCTCGTACAAGTAGCCTAAGTGCTGTCAAATATTGAGGTCATCAAAACTGCTTTTCTAGCTTCACAGAAAAAAGATAGAAAAACAGATTGAAATACATGGCAGACGATGAAAATAAATTCAAACATCTCTCTTCAGCAATAACGCTCACAAAGGGACATAAAAAAGCTTTCGATAGCTGGGTAGTGCTTCTTGCGCGTTTGAACGACGAGGAATGACTGGTTTTGATGGACATCAAAACCAGTCCAGCGAACCCGTCTGGTCAGAGTGGTCTCGGAGACTATTTAGCGCCCTTGATTACATGTCCAAACCAACAAGTTGAGAACAGCTTTGGAGTTGCCGGATTAAATCAAATAAGTCATGATTTGCAAACACTGCATATATTTTATTTTCAATAAATTCAATACAAATGTTAATTGGAGGATCAAAATTAAATGCACGTTCTTGATTTAAGTTATTTGCATAATATGATGAGAGGTTGCTTTCCCGTTGAAATTTGCCCACAATCTAAGAACAAAACGAAAAATTTATTGGGGGCATAAAAGATGAACAATTTAGATACCGGTATGTACAGTAAGGGTAACGGTACCAGCTAGAATGCGGTATTGCCGTATGGTGCAATTCCAAAAGAATTCTCAATGCAAACTGAAGTCCTACTGCACTCAGTTTATACCAATAAATCTTTGGGCATCAAGATTAATTCTCTGTTTCAAAACAACAACCTCTCATGCCAATATGCCGCACCGGGATCCCACCAGTACCGGTATTTCAAATTTGTGTTCAGCAGCGACACAATAGATGCGGAAGATGTTTAAATTAGACTTGCCCTATCTAGCTGAATTTTTATTAGTTTAAAAAAGCAACTCACTTACCAGAGATGAAAAAGAAAAAAACTTCCGTACCTCCTTCGATCACGGTGATTCACGATTGCTCGAGTAGCACGGCGAAGCAACTGAGCAAGACCGGTTAGCTCATTTCCAGACCTCCTCTGCACTCTGCAGGAGGTCTGATGTTCTGGACCAATAGCACGGATTTGAATCGCAGGCGAACCATTGAAGCGTGAATATGTGGTCTGCTAGACCGGTTCCAGCGGACATGTAATCAGGCCTGGAAAGACATTGGGATTCGAATAATACCGCGCGGGTCACTCGGAAATCTTCGGCGAGCCACGGATTGGACGACCCTGCTCTAAAGTAAACTAAATTGCAATAAAATGAAAAAAATTCTCGTTGTGTTTGGTCAGTATCGAAACTGAGGATGAAAATAATTAATTAGGCCTACGACACAATTGGCTTTTGGATTAATTGGCGAGGACGCACAAACTATCTCGACAAAAATGAAATATACGATAATAATTGTACAATATTTTCAATCAAAAACATCATCTATCTCAGGGTGGTCCAAGGTGTCGGCCTCGCGGGCCACACTATTATTTTTATATTGTTCGCGTGCCACAATAGTGCAAAGAATAGGTAGATAGTGCAATACAAAATAAACACTTGGATTGTCCAAACGCATTGATCATCATGTGTCATTTATCAAGCTAAAACATGCAAAAAACAGCAAAAAACTCACTGAAACGTGAAAAAATCTTACTATATCAACATTTAGAGTAGGATTTCAAATTCCTCATAACGGAGGAAGTGCCAAAAGCAGATAATGCCAATTTTAGATTTTTACAGACACAACTTGCAGACATATCAAGCAAGCATTAAGATATTTTCCACCCCATATCCAGTCAAAAATCTGGTTGAATTGGTCGGCTTTTTTTCAAACTCATGTTTACAAAATAACTTATAAATAACTACGGATTGATTGAATACGAAATTTTATCAAATTTGAGATACAGGAGGGTAATTACTGAATTTTCTGACATATAGGCAGCATTTTTTGTAATACTGTTTAGGCTGGATACAAAAAAAAACACCCAGCAGGAATTATATTGTTCGGCCATAGCATTAATATTTAGTTATCAGGCATAGCCAACCTAGGCTAATAGATTCCTCATTTTTTGTTTTCTATGAAGCCTATTCTTGTTAGCATATATTACCGACCAACAAAAAAATTGAAACTGAGTCTTAAAAAATGTGCGTAGGTAGATAAACATACGAGAATAGGTAAGCCCTATGGCAGTGATTCCCAACCTGTGGTAGGCCTTCCAGGTGGTACGCGAGTACATTCTGTTCGTTATTCGACCAAAGGGAGTTCTTAGTTGAGATGGGGTTGACGTATTTCCCCCCGCATATGTGACGCCATAGAATGTAAGATTAGATGCGAGCACATATTCACCTTTAGCCTAGCTAGACTCTTAGTCTAGACTTAGAGTGATCCCATCGTTGCGGTTATTGCGTATAAACCGATTTATCAAAATGGTGAATTTCGGTAAAACGTCTGCTCAAAATATTCAACTCTTTAACCTGATTTGTGAACAGCTAAGACGAAACAAAAAGATTGTCCCTCTGGCTTAGCATGGTCTGCTCGTTCTCACGCTACTTCATGGTTGCTAATTTCTCATTCTCGAGTAGTGGCAGCAATGATTGTCATCACTGGCTATTGCAAACTACAGTACTGAGGAATTGAAAAATAGTGGTCTCGATATGCCTAGGCAATATGTAGTCGGTGGTTGCACCAAAGCTAGCTTAAAGTACGATTTCGACATTATTTTCGAAAGAAAATACAAAGTGTCTTTCGTGCTTTATATTATTGCTATATTTGCTTGCAAAGTAAGAATGGAAAATAAATTATATGTATAACTTTTTCGAAATAATGTTTAAAGACACCAAATAGATGATTATCAGCACCAATGACGTTACTAGCAATAAACGTGATTAAACGTCGAAAATTATAAAAACTTTGTGTAAACGTTTTTTTTTTAGTTTATCTACATCTAATTTGGACCGCACAAGAATAAATTGTTCTTGTAAGAAAGGTATAAACTTTCCAAGAGAAATGTCTTGATTATTTTTGAGACGCATCAACTAATATCTAATATGAAAAAAAATTGTGAATCAAAGTTTAACAACTAGCTGCGAATTATATGCATGGAAGTTATATTAAAAGTATTATACAATCAAATGTAAAATACAAACAAATAGTTTAGATTATTATTATTAATGCACGAATGTAATTACGTTATTACCTGAATATTTATTTCATGAGATGTTTATACAAAAAAAGCCATAAACTTTACCATCCGCCGATAATTTCTAATATCAAGGTATTTCGAGTGAAAATTTATTACTTTTAATAATAGTATAAAGTTTTTAAATGACAATGCTACATTATTTGCATTGGTGTTTTGACATTTATATATGTACTTAAACAAAAGCATAGCTCAAAAATCAAATAAAATCCATATCAACTAAGAAATGATGAAAATAATGCCTGTGAAGTTGTGCAATTTTATCAACATATTTCGAACGTCTTTTTTGTATCATGGTGGAAAAAAATTCATATAAAAAGTGAATATGTATTCTCTCTTGTCGCAACTGGTTCACGGCATTCTCGTGGGACAGTTCCACTATATCACCGTCACATATTCGCCATGCCATCTTGCTTCCGTATTCCTGTGGTTGATGATTGTTGAATTCCCACGCCGATTGCACTCTTTCGAGGTCCTGATCCTTTATGAGCTTCCATTCGGTCGATTTCATCTAACATTAAACTTACGAATTACGATTATCAGTTGATTTTTTAAACTTATTAGAAATAAAGCTCAATTAATAAAAAGATACATATATATATATATATATAGCATGTTTTTAATGAAAGGCGAAATCAAACCTAAGATATGCTTTACCTTTCACCCGGCGCCTACAGAATTTGGAACTTAAGTTTTTCCATACAACTGAAGGCTCCAAATAGTAGATTACTGGATTAAATGCACTGTTGATGGGGATCAAGAAAAGAGAAATTGCAAGGTAGCCATCCAGTGATATATCAATGCCTAAATGAATATGTGAAAAAGCGATAAACAAAAAAATTGATTGTATATATATATACGAAAATATGCAAGATAGTCGAGATAGTTGATAATAAGGCAATTTCGGTGCATAGAAGGCTATGAATACAAATCTGCTGAGTAATTGTGAAATGATAAGAATTAGTTATGCGTATAAAAATACATTAATTTGGTAGATTGGGAAATTTTCGACTTGAGATTAGAGTATTTATTTATTATATATGGGATATCTTGCAGAAATGAGGTGGAAATATTTGCTTATTATTAAAGCATAAGTACTTGGCTACGTACCTCCCAAGCAAGTGGAATATTTATTTCAACCTACATGGAAAACAACTTGAACCGTGCTTTCGGGAACATGGGCGCAACTATTTGCTCATTATTGCAGTATAAACTATAGTTTACTGGGTATAAAGCACAAGCCAATCGCCGATATAGCCTTTCTACCTACCGATTACTTGTAAAATTCCCATAATGCAAACTGGCATCCAGCAGCAAAAGTCCGTTAACAAGATGAAGCTAATTTTTTTTTGCAAAGCCTTAGATCTGCCTGAACTAGTTGATTCCACCGCTAGGTTGGTTTCTACAGATTTCCTTAAAACACAATAATCTTTACATCTGTTGTAGAACTATTTTATCAATTATATTTCGACGTTATTATGTTTTTAATTAGCGGTAGGCAAGATAAAAACGCAGATATTTTAATTAATAATCTGCAACATATTGATTTATGCAGTCAACTATTTCAGACCAAAATGGTTGTCTCGTCCTAAACTTGCAAAAATAGAACATTGTTTTCCAACCTATGGATCGCGTCACAAAACTGGGTCGCCTCAAAATTCCCCTGGGTCCCTTGTTTTTCCAAAAAATTCATTTATTGATTTAAATTTATATATATTGAATTTGTTTATTTGATTTTGATTTGGTATTGAAGTGTTACTCAGTTGTATATGTGGGAAATATGACAGTATGAAGACGTCGGAAGGATCTATTTTGCTCAAGTAAAGCCACGCTACGGGTTTAAACTCGCTGAGAGCAAACGAGCACAAAATTCCTAACTTTAAAGTAATTTATGGTAAAATAAATGTCATGTAAAAACGATAGTTTTGTATTATTAATTAAATTTTGTGGCCATACAAGCACTACATACCGCATATAGTTTAACAAATCCTTCGGTCGCGTAATTTTACAAAATTTATTTTCTAAACAATTTGGGTCGCTTGAAAAAAGATTGGGAACCATTGAACTTGAAGTAGACATAAATCTGTTTACCTGTATATTATGACGTAACTAATGAAAATAACGAAGAAAGAGGAGAAATTTATCAACATAAATATGAGCGAATAACCCCATGATTTGTTTGTTTTGGGGTCCGGGAGCAAACGAGGGAGACAAACGCTGTGTGCTGAGTAATATCCAAATTTCTTAACTATTGTGTAGTTTGGATTTATTTGCATTGCAAAATGTTCAAGCATATCCCAGGATCCAGTAATTCTGAAAAGCAAAAGAATAAAGCACATATATATAAGAATTGTTGAATATTTTGTAGAACGATTCTTTGGGAAAATAGCAATTGTCAGGATATTGTAGAAAGTAGCAGAGTACCCCCGTTTTGAGCTGATCATCTTTACAGTGTTAAAAGAATTCACACCTTGTTGTAGTAACAGCTACCCTGCCAATATCTTCCTAACTTGACCTTTCGGACAGCACGTTATGGACCACCGGGAGATTTGAAAGTATAGCATGAGAAACAGCTGATAGAATGATTTAAAATAACTTGTGAGTCTAAAAGGAAACATCGTCTGAATACGAGCTCATCTATTTTGACACTTTGATGACTCATAATAGTTGAACTGAACAGTCATCTATCTATTGCTCTGTGTTTCCTCGAAAATAAAACCTAGCCTGAATTTTAATAATAATTTTAGTAATAAGACCTCCCCTTAGAATAAGACCTAGTGGAGATTTTAACTTGGTTGGCAAATTCGTGGAACAAAATCACAGACGACTTTGTTAATTAACAACGCACTGAAATAGGTCTACCTAGATAGGAAATTCTCATTCAATGAGGTCTTTATAGCTCGACATGAAACTGTAGGTTCAAATATTTGCCAGAAAATTCAGTTTAATGAAATTTTCGTTCAAAATTTATGAATTTAGTGACTTGCGAGACATTCCAATGGAGGATGATATGGCCTTTTTTGGATTCTATGTTTAGCAGCTTTTTTTAAAATAAAAACGTGTTATTTATAAGTAAATTTATATCGGTTTTCATATTTTGTGTATTTGAAAATCTCCTAATTCTTTAACTCTGTAATTATGTTTTAAAAAAATGAAAATAAAACATCCCCCGAAAATAAGCCCCAGTGTTATTTTTTGACAGAAAATTGGGGGAAACACGGTAATGTAAATGTTCCATTTTCACCCATTGATATGTTTAAATTTACACTCATTAGATGGTTACGTCTCCTTCAATTGACGATAATTTACATCAATTGATCTAATTTGATTTAAGGATAACGATGGTAAATGGATGTTAAAATGTAAAATCGTTTACGTGGAATTATTAGTGTTGATAATTCCTGTCACGAGAAACCAATTGTTCAGTTCATCAACTTCAATACTTTTGACAGTTGCAAAAAACGGATTGTCAGCAAACCTGTAACCAAGAAAACATAGTTCGTTTGTATTAGGCTATTAAATATAGGAATGGGATAGATTTTTCACTCGCAGTCTAGTCGTTGTGAATCATGACATGAATTGGTATGTATATAAATCTTTTCTACTCTAATTCGCATTTGGAATAAATCAAATACATTTTTCATTCCAAAACTCTATATAATTTATAGGGGAAGTCAACTAGTCCTATAGGCTGTGAAAAACAGTTATCAATAATGAGAATAGAGTTATAAAATGAGACTTTAGACGACCTGGATATATCGTTTCGAATACGGAATTTCTATTCATGCAACATTTTCAAAAATTGACTACTGGCTTAGACCAGAGTAGGAAAAAAATAGAATTTTCATATTTGGGCTATTCCAAGTGACAGTACAGGACAATTCCAGAAATTTTGCATGTTGTTGGATGCAATATATTTTCACATTTTCAGCTACATGTTTTGTTTCATTTTTCAATCAGTTGCTTTATTGAATAGGTAAAAAATTGCACAAAAATTACACCCAAGACTTACTTAGTAGATACAAAAATATAGTAAAATATAGCGTGACACTACAGAACGGCAAATCCACCATGCACTAACAGTACGTTGTGTTGTGCTGTAAATTTTTGCGATGGTACAGCAGAAGCCCATGATATTTTCTGGTACAGTAGCCGAACGACCCATCTATGTGTTGCTCAAGTTACTTAATGTAACACTGTAAATCCATGTCAATAATGTGCATATTGTATGTGACACTACAGGACGTGACACTACAGGACATTTTTCCACTTCGGAATAGCGGCCTCTATCATCTCTTAAAATTCTGGTAATAAATCGTTAAATGGGTGAAGAAATGTCCTACAGCACTGCAAACATTTAAACTTTATTAACTTAAATTCAGTGCGTCAATTTCATATGAAATAACTGTACCACACAATCAAACACTTTGTGTCAGGAATCATCACAAAATATGTCAATTACACCAAAATTTCTACATTTCAGGCCATTTTTTATAAACCATCAAAAACCTGGGTGAAATTTTAAATTGTTCGATTAAAAGAATGCAGTCCAATAAAATTCCAATGCCTTTTGATATCAAAAATAAAAAAAAATACTTTCACTACACTTTTTGAAAAATTGATGGAATTCAACTTTTGCTTGGAATGGCCCATATATATATATATATATATTCCGAGGAAGAGGAAAGCCGATAAGGCGGCTTATTCATATGACGAACCAATGCCCCTCGTCCGGTTACCACTTCCTGTCGGGTATGCGATTAGCTAACCAGTTATTATTATTTATTTTATTTCTCGGAAGCATGGACTTGATGTTAGAGGAAGCCGCACTTCCGCAATAAAATGAATGACGCAATAATAAAGTCCGCCACACCACACGTACCTGACACTATCAATGAAATAATCTTCAAAAACTGCAAAGGGGAGTAGCGGAAACAAGGCAAGGATGATTGAAATAATCCAAGATAATGCTATGATTTTGAAGAACCAATTCAGTGGAAATCTCTCGAATGATCTGCAAAATTGAAGACTGTTTCATAATTAACAAGAAACCATGAACAAAAGCAAACAGGTATTTATCTTCGCTATTTTGGTTTCGCATAGTTCGTTTCTTCGAAAGCTTCAAAACATGATTTCACTTTTGCAAAAATGAGTTTTCATATGATTCAAATAGCATGCTTGCTTATGGTATAACTAAGTTTCCCTTATGCTGCTTTTATAAACATTTAAAATGTAATATAAAAGCCAAAGTTGCATTTTGAATTAAAGACGAATGATCACAACTAAAATCTCCTGTATTTTGTTACCAAATTGGGTACTCCCGTAGTGTGTGTACCATGTTCGGGTTAGGCCATATTTTCATTCCGATTTTTCTTTTTTTGGTTTTATTACGAGTTCGGGGACTGTCTGTGTTAGCCAAGTGAATATACCCAGTAGTGGGATTCAGCCGGTTTGCACCGGCTCTATAGAACCGTCTCACGAAATTTTATGAGATCAGCGAACCGGTTAGCATTACATGACTTTTTTGTAACAGAACCGCCTGAAAATTCGACATTTGTATGTGGAACCAGCTGACAAAAAATTTGAATCCCACCACTGAATATACCCTGCCCATAGGCTTCTGTCCCTTTACACAACTTGATGTATAGTATACGAACAAAATTAGTTACCTCCATATTGGTACACATAATTCTGGAGCGCCCAAAATTGTATCAAATTTGACTTACTTTGATATTGTTCTTGATCTGAAAGAACTAAGCAAAATTAATGTAAAAACTGACGATTCTGAACCGATGACTAAAATAGCTCCCAGAGCTGAACAAGTTATTCCACTTCGCCATTCTTGGTCCTCTTGGCAGTAATGACCGGAAGATATATGAGATTGGATGCAGATAGAAAGGTTGTATATCTGATAAGCATGAAAATCGGAAAAGTTATGAAGATAGGATTTTCAAATGTATTCCGGGGGAGAAGAAGATCGATAAGACGACTTAATCATATGACATACTACGGCCTCTGGTCCGGTTACCATTCAATGTTGAGTAAGGGATTACCTAGCCAGATGCATGAAATCGATGGTGGGAAAAGCCGTAACCGACCAGCGATTACGTGAACCACTCTACAGCAGTGAGGAGTCCAGAAATCCTTTTGCACATAATTACCCTTCACGGTTTTCAAACTCACACAGGGTAATCGGAGGTGCGATAGCAAGCGTCCTCCTAACACTTAACACAATTCACTATATCGCCGAGCGCATAACATTTCTCATAATGAATAAAATATAGCTTCGACTTTAAGAAACTCATGCTTACCCCAACTAATAGATCAGAAATTGAAAGGTTCAACAACAGCAATTTATTTTTTCGTTCGTTTCCTTTTGGTCTCCCCCGGCGACAGAAAAAATCATGAACAGAACAGATGATGACAAGAATATTTCCTACAACAGCTGATATACCTGGATGAATATACAAATACACTATTTTAAATATTTCCACCCTCTACATTTTCACTTTTATTGCAATTGAAGTTGTGCCTGTGCGTGTCCGGATTCCGGAGTATTCAACGTAGAAAATCGCGCCACAGGACATTTTGCTGCCTAGAAAAAGTCGTCGCAAGAGCATTTTGCTCTAAAACAACTATTTGTGATAACAGTTCGAAAACAGTTATGTTTATAAGGTTAGGGTATGCTCTTGAATAACGTATCTTATTTTAAATAAAAAAGTACTTCGAAAACCTAACTGTTTTTATCACAAATACTTGTTTTACAGCAAAACGGCTCATGTAACGATTTTTCATGCGGCAAAATTCCCTGCTTGTATGCATGGCTGCTGCACAATCTGCAGGAATAATAATTTAAATTAACACACGAAATATTGATAAAATTATATCGAACATGAAAATACTTACTAATTATCCATGCTGCTATCAAAAAGTATTTATTTTCAATCATATATTCTTCGTTTGAAAAAACGCTGTTTGTGCATTCTTGACGACATTTCACTTCATCTTTCCCACTGGTGCAATCCTTGGCCCCATCACAGGCCTAAATTGAGTCGGAAATTATCCGGTACTCTCGAAGTATGTGAACCAAGATGGCGGACAACGGAACGTAGTATGTGTACCACGTTATGGTTAGGCCATTATTTTATTCCAATTTTTCTCAATTTAGTTCTATTACGAGTTCGGGGATTAGGCAAGTGACACCCAGAGTATTTGTACCCAGAATTATGGCCTAACCTTAACCTGGTACACATACTACGTTCCGTTGTCCGGCATCTTAGTTCACATATTTCGGGAGTACCAATAATCCAATACATTCAAAGAAAGCATTGCAATAAAATGAGATTGAATAATTATCTTTTTTTATAAATATATTTGGATCTGTGGATTAAAATTAAAAGCATATTCATATTTTCGATGTTATTGCAAATTTATTTGTAAAATTAGTATATTTTTATTGGTATTGCAAGCTTCATCACAAATTGCCATTGCCGCATTAGTAAATATCAAACAAAATTGCTATTCAGATCATTCCGATCACGAGTCATTAACTTTAGAAATGATTCGAACCTTATTTCTGTTTATGTATAACACTTTCCCGCCATCTTCGCAATAAAAATGTGTTTCATCAGTACAGTACATTTCATCGCTATCGTCTTCACAATCCTGAAAAATCAAATATTACTAATTAATTAATTGGCGCTCTAGAAGTATGTGTGCCAATACGGAGGTAACGAATTTTGTTTGCTTGTTTTACATTAAGTTGTGTAAAAGAACTGAAACCTATGGGCAGGGGGGTGGATATTCACCACTTGGCTAACACAGACAGTCCCCGAACTCGTGATAAAAAGGAGTACCAATATTTTACCACACTACACAATTGTATCGTATACAAATGCAAGAAGTATGTTGAAAATAAATTTAAAACAAAATTTTATTTTTTTCAATATTTTTGATTTGTTTTCCCAGATTTCTTTCAACTTCATTTTATAAATAAAATACTTCTACTTTCCGCATACGAAAAAGCGATTCCAATTTTTATTAGTCTTTTAATGAAATTTATTAGCAATAGTTTATATTTGTCATTACAATTTTTTACTCTTCCGAGGTTTTTCTTTTTTTGGTGTGGGCATATTTTACAGTCCTCACAGTTACTCTATCCTAATTAAGTAATTTTCCAGTTGATTAATTTTCTCTCCACAATTTTATTGTGATTGTGATAAATTAGTATTAATTAACGTCACTTTAATAAGAGTCACCTAATAAATGTTAAAATTGAGAATATTCTTTTTATATAGATAATGATACTAATAAAGGACGATATAGGAATCCTACCTGAATCGTGTCACATAGTTTTGAATCGGGAATGTTGATCGGTAATCCGCTTTTACAGTAAAATCTGAATGAGATTATGTTTGCTAATTTTGATAGAATTCGATCGCATTCAATCATTATGCTCAAATATACTGTATATTACATTTCATAATAAACGGCATATTGGGTTATCCTTTCTACAAAGCTCCAGTAATTTTTATTTACAAAAATCTTCAAATTATTACTATAGAGAAAAATGGAGAAAAATAAAAGTTTTGATAAAAAATGACGGCGCTCCAGAAGTATAGGCACCAATATGGAGGTAACTCATATTGTTCGCCTACTTCACATAAAGTTGTGTGAAGGGACAGAAACCTATGGGCAGGAGGTATATTTACTTGGCTAACACAGACTCGTAATAGAACTAAAATAAGGAAATTCGGAATAAAATTATGATCTAACTGTAATCTGGTACAAACACTACGGGAGTACCAAAAAGACTTAGTAAAGAGGTAATGAAATGTAATTGAGAAGACTGATTTGTACAACGTAAGATAGAAATTAGCGACTGATGTATTGGGAAAGATCAACAACATTTTTCAAGAGGAACGGTGGCAGAAAGATACTATACGTTATTAACTATATAGTACGACGGGTTCAAGTTTGCTTCCAAACTAATAGTTTTTAGTTGTTGTTTAAAGCATCCTTAACAGCTACGTTATAGTTAGTTTTTGTCATATTTTTGAACTAAAATAGGTGAGCATGCAATTACCTCTTTGGGCAATTCAACTCGTCGTTAGTTTTGGTCGTTTCAGTTCTGCAATCTCTATATCCGTTACAAATCTGGTAGCCAAACAATATATCCTTGATTTGACATTGGATCCATGGACCATCCATGTAGTGCCTCTCATCACATTCCTTACATTTAAACTTGTCTTCTCTACTATCCCTGATAAAATTATTGAACAAGATTATCTGGACGGCAGAAATATGAGTGCGTGTTATTTTACTGGTTAACTTTACAATTACAAATTTGAATAATAATACAAACTTGGCTAATACAGACAGTCTCCAAACGCGTAATAGAACTAAAATAAGTAAAATCGGAAGAAAATTATGGTCTAACCCTAAACTGGTACACACAAAACGGGAGTACCGAAATATGAGTTCGTGTTGTTTTACTGGTTAACTTCACAATTACAGATTTGAATAGTAATACAAACTGATTCATTTTATCAAGTACTAAATATTATTACCCAATATTAACACAAAATTGCGGTTTGTTCAGACATCCCTCACATTCTTCATATCGGAATTCGGTGCAGAGAGAAATTCCGTCACATCTTGTTGACCATATCCCTGAAATTACATTTATATCCCATTACCAGAAATAGGTTGTGCTCAAAACATGACTCAACAAAATATGCCATGCAAACATAACAATCAGCAATAACCATATTAAATCAGGGCTGGCCAAGATAAACTGTCATGTTTTACGTCTCTTTTGTAGAAAGCCCGGCTAAATAAACACCCCCCCCCCCCACCGCTCAACTTAAAAAAGAGTAATTGTCCAGTTACAATTTTCAATCATTGATAGAATTCAGCGATGTCAGAATTAAATAAACGAACGCGCCGCGCTATTACTTAAAATAAGGCTGGCGCAATCCGCAGTACTTAAAACGTGGCGGGGATGTTTTACTCAACTCTTTTTGCATTAGTGGCGGGAAACTTTCTACGAATGCTCCCTCTCTTTCCTTTGTTCCCTTGCCGATTTTTTTACCAAAGTTATTGACTACGAAGTGGGTATATGGATCGATTTGTTGAAAAGCTGGTATTATTAGTCTTGTTGTTGTTGGGGCGAATGCTTTGGTAAAAAAATTGATTTTCAGCGCAACCCGCACCACGGATGAAATTTGGATATGCCATTGACAAAAATAGATGGTCCAGTAGTCAGTACAATAATATATTTATTTAACAATGGAAGAAATCCTCGTGAAAAGTATAAATACTCACGTTCGTTAGGACATTTGAAACCGCATTTTTCATCCGGTGAGCGGTTGTTCCCAAAACCTAAAAACACAAATAATTTTGCATATTGATTGGTAGGTGAAGTGTTAAATATACGGCACTTCTACAAATAGCAAAACCTTGTTGGGGCCTTGAGGGAAAACGCGTTTTAAAATCCGTGTATTTGAAATTTTTATATACTTTTATATATTTTTATATAATTTTTATATATTTTCATATAAATATTATATTTATATTATTTTTATATCAAAATGTCTCTCTATTTTAATTCATTTGTGTTCAAGGTAACTCGCAGTTTCGGCGACTCATGTCAAAATAAACTCATTACCGATCTAAAATACCACGCCAATCCGCGGCCATATTAAATTTAGTTTTGATATATATTGCACACATGCGAATTCGTTGTCGTCATTGGAAAGATCTGGTATAATATCCCAGAAAGTATATTTGATTTAGTGCAGTTAAAATACATATAAAGTATATTAGTAGATGAAAAATACATATTCATCGACTCGAAATCCCCGCGGTACGGCTACTGAGTCAGCCCTCGAGATTACGCCAGTCCATAAAAGAGCCGACTTTTTCAATCGATATGTAATGGTTTTTCTGTTGAATAAAATATTCAATCCATGACATATATTCCCATTTAGAATGGTTGGTTGCTTTAGTCATTTGATTGTGATCATTTAAATCTGTGATTGCGTCGATAAAATAAAAGCACCACTACTCCAAAAACCACGGTAATCCGCAACCATGAAAATGTGTGGCAAAGTGCCCGATTACATTTTGCTTTGATTTGTATTCTTGCCAATTCACCAATATGAGCTGTCTCTGCAACTCTTACTCCGCTCTATCGCAATGCCGCCACTCGATTAATTTTAAGATATCACCGTTACAGATATTCCTAAGTCTGCGATAAATACCACGGAGTAAAATTTATTTCAAGTCGGTAGCCGCAGGCACAAGGAGTTTATGAGATTTGCAATGTCTAAGAAAGGGTTTTTAATCTGTCGCGGTCCACCTCAAAACAAAACTCATGGTGTTTTCCGTTTTATTTTTAGTATTTTATAATGCCGCTTTTACAATAAAGAAATTTTTGGTTGCGGATTCACTTCTTTATTCTATCTTTAGCATCTCGTCGCTGATGATTATATAACAAAAACTAACTCGGTTTCCTCATAGGTGTCATGGTTCCATTCGAGAACAAAAAAAAGTAATTATAATCGTCTTCGCGGCACAAGAATATGTCGAGGGAAATTTCTGATTTAGGGAGAATAAACACCAAAATCAAGATTTTTACGGCTTAAATAACACGCCATGCTGACGAAAACAATTGAGATTTAAATAAAATGCAATCGCAAACGCCTTAGCGACTTTATTTTTCAGCGGTCAAGGGCCGGGGAAACGTCCACATGTATGATAACTATTGAAAAATGAACTGCTTTTAAATTTACATAAATTCATTTGCACTTCTCCATTTTGTTTGAAACGTTAGGCAAGCCAAGCAGTCTGTAATTGTTGCTTATTTTTAACACACAGTAAATAATTTTCGCATTGCTCAATAGCGATGAAGTAAACAATTGATTGAAATTTTACGTGTCTTATGTAAACGATTAAGCAAAAAATACATTAAAGTAATATAATACATAGGTTTATTGCGTGTTTAGTTTTACTTTACCAGGTTTTGCAAACTGAGCGAAAAAACGAGAATGTATGATGAATGCGAGAAAGAATGCGTTTTATGCCTAAACAATTTGAACAATGACGCTATGAGACCAAGACTCTCATAGCGCCATCTTAATATATAGCAACCTGCCCATCACAAAAGCATTTTTTCAAAGCAAAATAGGGAGGACGCGAAGTTTGTAAAATTGTTCAAAGGGGTGCGCGGCTCAAAAAGTTTAAGAACCACTGTACTAGACCCAATATTTAGAAAATGATTTTTGTAAGACCATGAGATATAAGTTTATGATTCACGAGAATCTACTTACTGATATGGACAAACTACGGCCCGCGGGCCAAATCCGGCCTGTTGGGTAATTGCATCTGGCCCGCCTGATGTTGTTACAAACCCAACTAAAACCAAATTTTGATGTTTTAGCTGAAACATTGCTCAATGAATTTGTTGACATTGCGATTAAATTTACTTTTGGCCTATTGGCACGAGGCCTATTTTCCGCATTTAGTTTTGTAACACTGTAAATATTGTTCATAAAATTTATCTTTTACGTCACACTTACATTGGTCCGAACTTACTTACCCCTGATCCAAAAACCTTGCCCACCCTTGAGTCTACTACATTCATGAGAAGGTATTTAGCTTGTACATATTCAGAAATTATTTTACCTGCAAGCAACGTCATCGAACCAATTTCAACTGATTTTTAATACCGTACTCAAAACTTTTGTGCAATTTGTGTTTGTAAACATTCGCATGGAATTCATGATATTTGAATTTATGATAAATTTTCATTCAATTTCCATGCCAATCGGTATTTGATTGTTTTCATAAATCAATGGTATACACCAGGGGGGTGCAACCTGCGGAAAGATTGTGCGGCCCGCGGAAAAGTGTCAATTTTGAATGATGTGCGGCCCGCGAAACGAGTTTTTGATCCAGAACCCAATTTTGCCGGGAGAGCATTTAAGTGCTTATTAAATATGGTCCTAATATGATTGATGAGTAAGAGTTAATATCCTTTTTGTATACATCTTATCGTGGACTAAGTCAAAAGACTGAGTCAACACAAAAGCAATAATAAACTTTTGCGTCGTTTTCAAGCATGATATATGCTTGTCCGAGTTTTATGAACCTTGGTTGTGCGTCACTCCATTTTTGGAAAAGTTTTATATCTGTAAGTATTTGAAATCTAAGATACGCACATACGAGTATGTTGTTACTTGAAAGAAAGCTATTTGAGCAGGCCAGTAATCGTTTTAGCTCGTAAACAAGGTAATAACCACAATAATAAAGAAACACTCAGCGTCCTCGCTGAGAATTTCTCGCTATGAACCCGCTCTTTTGTTTCCTGAATATTTAGCGTTCTACGCCATCTGAAGCGACATGTTTGGATTTGTCTGAAAGCTTACGTAATTGTCTAATTCAAGAGACTTTGTTGTCGAGTCAGTTTCGCTTGAATTGATCACACCGATGAACAATACAAAACCTTTTTCAAAAAAAAATTTTTCTCCCATTTACAACGCGCACGGTTAAGCGAATATCGCACGCATCAAAAGACACAACTGGCATAAAGCGGCAAAATACCGCTTTCCGATGAAATTAAACTGAAGGTTCTCGCACGTTCGAACAAAAAGTTATGACATTTTTCAGGAGGGGTATACAAAATTCTCCAGCCAGAAAGGTTAGATTGGGTAATCTTCTAACTGCGAGCAATTCCAATTCCTTTGCGTTGTAAAGGTTATACTTATGCTCGTGCAAAGCGACCAACGCATGCCAAATTATCAAAAACGAAATTTTTTGTGCCTGCGACTGCCAGAAAGCATTTTTTAAATAAAGGTGCGGTCCGCGGTTTCACCCAGTTATTTGTATCTGGTCCTCCCTTATTGAAGGTCGCACCCCTGGTATACACAACCGTGTACGTAAGTGAAACTGAACACTTCAGGTCTCGGCGAGTTGTACATTGGGAAAAATTTCACGATTCGTGCAATGGCAATCTACAGGCAAGTGGTATTAAAGATTCAATATATACAAAAGTGATATTCATGTTCTCAACCATACCTATTGGACAATCGCTTGTGGCGTGGCATTTTTCTTCATCACTAGAATCTGCACAATCATCTCTGAAACAAAAATTCATCAGTTGTTTACGTTAACTCGAATGTTTAACGTTTTCTTTTTTATGTCAACTTACCTCCCGTCGCATATCGAGGCAGTAATTCGCGAAAGACCCCCGGTCCGTGGAATACATGCAAACTCTTGTCTCAGTCGGTTTTCTGAATCTAGATTTAAAATTATGTAACTAAACTGTGAATCTATGACTTTAAATCTTTTTACTCACCCCATGAAAACTTAGCGTGACCGCAAATTGGTGGAATTGCTCTTTTCCTGCAAATACACTCGTCTGATGCGTCGGGACAGTTTATTGTGCCATCACATACTTTACCATTAAGTATAATAGTTGGGTGGTTCAAACATCGGAAGCATTTATCGTTGAAAAACTCTATAATAAAAACAGAACCGAATATTATGAGAATGCAACATTTCTGCATTTCATTGATAACATGATATTTTACCTGAAAATGTGTTTTTTTCCTTCGAGCAGAGACACTCGTCTTCTCCTGAAATTGTTCACACAATGGATATAATTTCTCGTGACTGTATTATTTATATATATGTAAGCTTACAAACAACATGGCATTTTTTTGGATAGATTAGGATTTACATATTTATCCCGGGAGAGAGGAAAACCAATAGGATAACTTAATCATATGGCGAACCATGGCCACTTGTCCAGTTACCAGTCCATGTTGGGTATGGGATCAGTTATTTGTTTTCAGATGTATTGACTTTTATTATTAAGGTCTACAGCTATAGAAAAAGCAGCATATTTTGTCATTTTATACATTTACATTCATAATAATATATTCAATCAAGAAATCGGTGAGTGCATAGACACAATATATGTGCATAAGTTAAGATTGAAGCATAATAGCGATTACTGCGCAAGCGAAGGCGCATTGTGCTAAGTCATTCCCCCAGCACCCCCCCTGATTATCCTGCGCGGTTTCGCAGGTTCGAATCCCGCGAGATGATAATATGTGAGCAGATCGCTGGTCGCCGTAGAATGTTTCACGTAATCGCTGGTCGGTTACGACTTCTCTGTCATCAAGCCCTTGCATCTGAAACGAATAACTGGCTAAATATTCGGACGAGAGTCTGTGGTGCGACATATGGTTGAATTCTTCGAATATAACAAGTTTTCCATTTTTGTTTGGATTGAGGAAAGACAAATACGTGGTTATTCTTGAGATGTTTTTCGCGTTTTTTAATTTTTACTTTTCAAATACATATCATTCAGAGTAATTTATATAACGTGCGGTATGACTTACTGGACTAACTGAATGTCTGTTATGATGTCATAAATCTCAACTTCAGAGGCCGCGCAGTTGCTTTTTATTATCACACTATATAATCATTCAGCAACCTAATATGTGATTCGCAGAACATCGGTCGAAAATCACTCATTCAGTTAAAGAATTACCTCCAATACAATCGAACTTTCCGTCACATATATTTTGTTCAGGAATCAGGCATTCAGAATTTTCTCCAATCATAGTTATGCAAAACAACCCGCCCTGTGTCTCATTGTATTGTTCCGTGGTTCCTATTTCGTCGCTTCCATCTCTTGTAATCAGGTAATCAAAATACTTTAATTCATTTTATGAAATTTTTTTTTTTTTTCATAATGGAGATATTGAACTGATACGAATAAACTGAAAACGACAATGCATCAAAGTGTTAGAAATTACACAAATATATATGGTAAAATTACAGAACAAACAGACAGACGCAATCAAAGTTTCAGCCAATGCGTCTCATGTTTCATTGATTCCATTCGTAAGAATCGTCTTTAGGATATTACGAATATCTTACAGACGGTTAGAGTCACCGATTCGGTTCACGCAGGCCCGATTATGGAGGTACGTGTATAAATAGGAGGCGAATCTACGGCTGGGCATTTTTGTATACCTTATGATTTCAAAATCGAATCGATTATTTTTTGGAGTCGAATCTAGCATACATGGGAAAATTTTAATTGTATCTCCAGATACTAAATTATTGAAGACATAGATAAAATTTATCAGACAGAAAGTTTGCTGAGTGTTTACACATAATAAAAAACATGTTTCATCAGTAACTGGAAAGGAAAGGAAACAGTAATTTGTCAGTATATATTGTATTGTGAAAACATGGCTTCAATAAATAAAATTGAGGGATTCTTTTCGAGAATTGAAGAACAATGGAAACAAGATTACCATGATTCGAAATTTTCGTCTGAACCGATTCTAATAATTTAATATTTGATTCGAATATTCGATTCGAAATACCCAGCTCTAGACGAAGCTCGATTGCCGATTAAACATTTATGTAATGGAATTCTTCTATCATTATTATATCGTTGAATAATATATTTTTTACCAAATACTTACGCGCAATCTTTCACTCCATCACACAGTTGGTAATGGTTGTAACAACCTGAACCATCGTTACATTTGAACCCATGGATGCATGCTGCTTCCGGCGTAGTTGACACTGTTGTGGGAAAGAATAAAGCTATCATGAAACAGAAGGAATATCAAAACAGAAATACTAAAAATGAAACGGCTAAGTAGTCTTCATTGGAACAAAATATTTATTTTACTATTTACTATTTATAGCCAGTCTCTCGAATCTCCAATAAAATAACATTGTTTTTCATTTTAAGATATTTTATTTTAGAACAAGACTTAATGTGATTTAAATAAATATTTCCTTAAAATAACTGCATACAAAATGATAGTTATAAAATAGGAACTGGAAAAAAGTTCTCGTGTAGATTGACAAAATCTGATTATAAAATCTGATGAACGGGATGCATGTCTTCTTGGGCGCGAAGTGGACCTACAGATCGTTTTGCTATTATTTTTTTGTTAGAATTCTTTTTCCTGTTGTTACGAAAAAATTGATTTTCTTTGTAACTGCTTGACTAACTGCTTTGCAATTTTCAGTAGCAAATGATTCCTGTTGTGACGTAGCAGCGATTTTTGAATGACGTAGTCAGGTGGGGGTCGGGAATGACACATGTAAATATTATTACGCCACGCCCGCTAGAAGTACTTGTGGTACGAAACTACACGGATATAAGGTAGCCGTTCTATAGTTCCGACCTCCCCTCGGAATATTATATTATTTGAGAGATTTATTATTTCCTACTAATGGGAACATGATTTTTGAGTGCCAAGTCGGCTTCGATTTTGCAAAATCTTGCGACGCGGAAGTCGAAAGTTTTTCGATAACGGTGACGTACAGTAGGTAGGTAAGTTACTGTAAAAGCTAAAGTACTTTAAATTAATCAATGCTATACTTGTGAGTTGAATAATTTAAAATCTCATTTCACGTTGGCGCAAGACACATAAATCAACGCTGGTAAAGCTGGGCAGTCCGGGTTCCGGTACTAGTAAGTGACAATAGTCGGTACTCCCGTATATTGTGTGTACCTGGTTAGGATTGTGCCATAATTTTATTCCGATTTTTCTTATTTTAGTTCTATTACGAGTTCGGGAACTGTCTGTTGGCCAAGTGAATATACCCCCTGCCCATAGGCTTCCGTCCCTTTACATAATTCGGTGTAAAGTAGGCTAACAAAATTAGATATCTCCGTATCGGTACACACACGTCTGGAGCGCCCAATAGTCCACATGTTCAGCTTTATCCGGGATATGGGGAAAACGTGGGTAAAACATTTAGTTTTGAATTAATTTGTCCATGTTAGTTCCAGTAGCCTACTATTGATAGTTTTGTTTCAATATTGACTTACTCCTTCGTGATGCTCGCACCAAATGTACTAGAAAAATATCGCACATAAACAGAATAGTCAATGTCCAAATTATATCCAGTTTCTTCATTGTTTTCAGGAAAATATGAATGTCACAAAAACTCCGAATCAGTTAGAGCAGTATTCTAATATTAAAAAGATATTTTCCTCCTTGCCTCGTGAAGATAATATGGTTTGAAGTAAAAGACAAACAAAAATACCTGTTTGAAATAAGATCAAAAAGATATTGTGAGGTTATCATACTGATTTAGATCACTATATTCTCCTTTAAACAGATTTGAATGAATATGAATGGCGTCTTAACACCTTTGTCAAGCTTCTATCACTTGCACTACTGATGCCATCTGCAGTAAACTTACTTTGCACCATACTCACCACTTGTGCTTCTTGTACCCGTTGTTTTACATGTCATAGTTTTTCTCAATTGTGTGCCTCACTTGCACTACATATATCTACTAAATGTACTCCTTAAAAATTAAAGAATTTTTTCTAACATTTTCTATATAAGAGAATTAAATGTATGTTCCCCATTTTTTTTTCAAATTTCCTATATAAGAGAATTAAATGAATGTTCCGCAATTTTTCTATAATAAGCCTATAATAAAGCATCGCCATCGATTCGTATTGGCGTTGCCAAATCCTGTCTAACGCTTCCAGGAGGAACTAAGATGCTCGACCGTGACCGAATGAAGGAGGAAAATGTTACACAATTTTATTTGCAGACTGTGCATGTTGGTTTTATCACGTAAATTACATTATTTTTTTACGCACAGCGTAGTAAATATGATTGGATATATAATAGATTTTTTTTGTATTTTCAAAAATATTTAGTATTCAATATTTAAATTTATTTTTATGAATTGTGGACATTCCTAACAACACTGAAAATATTTAACATATATTAGAAAAAGATAAAATTCAAAAAAATAAAATTAGGGTTCGCCGCGAATGTCTCATTCTCCCTCCTTCAACTTACCCAGTCAAAAATAGTCACCGTTTTATAAAACTGCTCAGGCCTCTTCCATTATTATATCACGATTCAGCGAAATCGGTTTTCCAACATACTCGGTTTATTTCTGTATCAAGAATTTCATATTTTAAAATCAATTTTACGAAATAAAAGAAAAAATTATTGCATTCACATGAAAGCGCATTATTTCATGTCTGAGAACTTCAAACAAACGATTTGAGCAAATTCAAAAACTATTTTATTTTATTTTTAGACATGTGTTTCGTGGTAGAATTTCTAAATTGCCAAGTGAAACTGTTGTTTTTTATTTCTTGTTTTGTTTTTTCAGCTAAGTGATGGCAATAAAACTGTTCCAGCGTAATAAAACGACATTATCGAAATTGCGGAAGACACATATTAAAGCATATTATATATATAGTTCTTGTCAGTGAAATTGCAAAAAAAAAACTTGAGAAGTATTTCATCTTATTTCTCTTTTTCTGGAAAGCTATAAATATAACGGAAATGAATGAACACGCTATATCATTATAATAACACAGGGTTACTCTAACTGAGTATCCGGATCCACTATGTTGCCATAAAGGGGTTCTCTGCGGTGCATGAGCAAAGACATTCGCTAGCTACCATTCGCGATGACTACATGACATGACTAAATTGACTGTGAATTATTTAATTAGGCTTCCCGCTGCTTGTCAGCAGGGAACCTATTGTATTCCTGTGTTTTATTATTATTATTATTTATTTATTATTATTATTTTTTCAAATTGGTCCTACAAACTTGAAATTCACCTCAAATGTGCAGAAGTTCTCAGCTAGCAATAAAATGCAAATTTTTTTTTACGCGGGAAGCCTGTTAAAGCTGCACGCAGCTCTAGTTCTTTGATTGAAATGCATCTATTTTTCTCATTGGTTGAATTTTTCTTATCAAACAAACGAATAAAATAATCAATGGAAATAAGATAAAAAAGCAAAACTACACATTTCATAACAAGCAAAAAGGAGGACGCTGATACGCAAAGTTTAAAAATAAGTAAAATAGCATATCGTAACAATGTTTTAGAATTGGCATATTGTTGTATCATACTGACTTTATTTTTTAAAAACCTTTTAATAGTATTAACTATTTTATAGGAAAAAAAGAAATAAACCAAATTTCGAAGCGGAGTAAACTTTATCTAATTTTCTTGACTATTTAAATACAATGCAAGTTTTTACGAATTGAAAATTTTTTATACAAAACAGGAACATGTTCCCACCAAATGTTTACAAAAAGAGTCTGATACGTCTGATAATAAGCTTCAGTACGCTTTTTGTAGACTTGAACTTAATTCATTATCTTAGTTGGGTTCATGCGCTTGTATTTTTGTAAAATGCAAAAGTCGATTTGCTCATATTGTATTAGTTTCGTATATATTTACAAAAAATTAAATGCTGGATATACAGTAATACCTCGGTAGTCGAACGAAACGATACTCGAACAACCCGGCAGTCGACAAAAAAATCCTATGCTGTGGTATTCAAAAATGCTGTGGTATTCGAACGGAAATTCGGTGTCAAATCTTGACTACTTTTAAATATCGCTTTCTAAATTATTTGCTGAAAAACTAACTTCCACGGTGGCGAATGCGTAAGTTTCATCTATGAAAGCATTCATGTTTTCGAACAAATATTCAGACAATAAGTCGTTTCGAAAAACTCCATTTTACTTTTTCATTTCACTTAACGTTTATATACCGCCATATTATGTTGAATGCAATTTTCTTTATGAG